TAAAACAAGTTTTATTAAGCTCCTTGTAAATAGTTAGCTTCTTAGACAGTGTATACTGTTTTTTGGCTGAAGGTACATAACATTATTACATATAAAGTTTCTTTTTCTTGGATTCAGGATTGGGGTGTGGGTGGGTCGGGGATATCGTTTGTGATTTCTTCCTCTTGCTGCTCTGACTGATGACTATGTTGGTTCTCATGTTTCTCTTGCTGGTCTGACTGATGATCATGTTGGTTCTCATGTTTGTCTTGCTTCTCTGACTGATGACCATGTTTGTTCTCGTGTTTGTTATGCATTGGAGAAACAAAGTGTAGAAGAAATTCACCACATTCTTCTGTGTCACACATATCTGGGCTACATCTGTAAGGTTCACTGAAATGTGATAATCCTGAGATATGGAATTCAGTGATTCCTCCACTAGGACTGTTGCCTGGACATACATAACCACAGCCCTCAATACTCCAACCAGGGTCCTCATTAGCATACTGATCAGACGTATCAGTACCACGACCAAATCCTAAACGTCTAGCTCCTCCTACTCGGAGGCCTACATCTCCACCGTGTCCTCCATAGTGTAGACGTTCATGTTTGTTCTCGTGTTTGTCCTGCATTGTAGAAACAAAGTTTAGAAGAAGTTCATGGTTAAAATCTTTGTCTCCGCGCATGTTTGGCCCTGGCCTGCATCTGTATGGTTTGGTGAAGTGTGATAATCCTGAGATTTTGAATTCAGTGATTTCTCCACTAGGATTATTAGCAAGACACACAAAACCACAATCAGGGGAATAGACTGGGAAATCAAAGCCAGGTATATAGATAGGTGAACCATAACCAGGGTCATTGTAGCCAGGGACACCTCCACCAATGCCAATGCCAAATCCACCCCCACCAACGCCAACGCCAACACCAACACCAAATCCACCTCTGCCACCACCAATGCCAAATCCACCACGAACAATGCCTGATCCGCCATCATTGCCTCCTCCTCCAAAGCCTTGGACGTCGATATTACTCAAAGTGTGAGCTTTGTGGTTGTGATGATGATCAACTTCCATAGGCTTAGTGTGAACATCAATAGGCTGGGCAGAGCATATTGCTAAGCTTAGCAAAACCATAAAAGAAATGAGAAAACATGTTGGAGCTTCCATTTTAGCTAAGTTTATTTAAGAAAAAACTTTGATTTGATTATTGATGATGCTATACTATTACAACACAAGGGTATATATAGGCAACAAGTTCCTAACACAATTGGAGCATTTCCAGAATAAAGGCAAATCTAAGGCAACATTTGAGGTTGCATGTATTAATTTGTTGGAAACATGAACTTGGTGTGAGGAAAACAAAAAACAAAATTTTGTCTCACCTCAATTACAGTTTATGGGAATTACATTATCTGGAACTTTGTTATAAAAAAGAAAAGAAAAAAGAGAATGGAATCTATTACTATGGAGATCAAGAAATGGAAAGGAAAAACAATATTAAAAATTGAACCTACACATATTGCACCAAATAACAGATTTTTAAGTCTTGTGTCAATGTGTGGAATGTCCACAGAGCACTGGGCTTATATCGAATGGTTAAACAAAAAAATTACGCTATGTAGTGCATAGTCTGGTTGAAGTTCACTATATCTGAAGTACTTAGGACATTTGGTTATTGAGATGGGATAGACAAAAATATCTCATGAATCGAAATGTTCTATAAAATTATGTTATTCTACTTTCTATAATAACTAGTCTCATAATTTTAGTACACAATGATTTCTTAGCCTAAATGCTAAATAAAATACTAAAAAAATTCTAGAGAATCTAATCATTTGAAAAGAACTGAAGCTACAAACATCAATACATATGATTTACACTAACAAGATTTTAAACATGATGTTCATATATATTTGACAATTGACATAATATGTCTTGAGGGACTGAAAAAAATCAGTTAGATTAGTCAAGTTGTATAAAATGAAATGGATTGAAGAAACTTTTAGTAGGGAGTTTTCTTAAATTGATCACGCTAAACATAAATTTGAATTAATTAAATAAGTGAATTATGAATATCATATGATTAAAAAAAAATGTTGAACTAACTAATCAAGGTCACAATTAGACAAGTACTCCGGTTTTTACTAAATGGAGAAGCCAACTAGTTGAGTTCACAAGATGATTATTTATTTCATTACTCTAGATGAACGTCCTTAATTATTATAAGTGAAATATCCAGTATTTTATATTTTTATTTATAGCATTAGAATTGTAACGCCGTTCGGTTAATTGGATCTTAGAATTTTTTTAAATTAATCATATTAATTGATTTTTATTTTTTTCAATGACAAACTTAAAACACCTTTTTCATTATTCAGTAGGGAAAATGCATAAGTACCCCCCCCCCAGCCTATACCCGAAATCCCAGAGACACACCTAATCTTTACTAAGGTCATATTACCCCCCGAACTTATTTTATATGTAATATTCTACCCCTTTTTGGCCTACGTGGCATTGTCTTGTGGGCCCAGCGCATATTGACATTTTTTTCGAGGATAGTGCCACATAGGTCGAAAAGGGGTAGAATATTATAGATAAATTAAGTTCGGGAGGTAATAGGACCTTAGTAAAGGTTAGGTGTGTCTCTGGGATTTTGGGCATAGACTGGGGGTACTTATGCATTTTCCCTTATTAAGTAAGCTACTCAAATAAGTTGTTTATTTTACATTTTTGAAATCTACCATTCCCTTTTTAAAAGGCCCATTTAGACGTAATTTCAAATTATTATATTAAATTAATAATTTAAAATTATGATATGAAAAAGGAATTTAAATTATGTTAATCTAAAGTTGAAATTTTGTTAGATATTTAATTTTTTGAATTATATATTTTTCTTTGTAAATATAAAAGTCTCATAATTTGTAAAATTATCAAAACTTGCCCAATTCTTAGACAATTTTATAAAATGAATAAAATTATAGCTTATAATTAAAGTATGAGAAAATGGTCAAATGAATCCATAACCTATTATCAAATTCTCAACTACACTTATATTTCTCAAGAGTCCTATTATCCCTTATACTAATTTAAAGTGGAATTATTTGCGCTGAGGTGGCAAAGAGTGTGTAGTTCACTCTCATTGAGAGAGTGAATGTGAATGACAAAAAAAAACTAATTAAAACTTTAGTAATATTTCTTTTATTTTAGAGTAGCTTTTTGTTTTCTTTTAAAAAAATTTATGTTTCCTTTTATTTTATTTTGTACTTTTTACACTCTTTCTCTTCTTTCTTTGGCAGAGAAACAACACCTGCGGCAGCGGGCAACAACACCGGTGACGACGGCATTTCGATCCATCATACGAGCTTTGCTCCTCCACCTCCAGGAGCTCGCCTCATCGACCTTCTATTACTAAGCCTCTCACTATCGAATTCACACTCCTCATAGGGGCTCCACTAAAAATCCATAAGAAATAACCTTTGTTACTCCACCATGTGAGTACATATTCATCAACCGCCAGTTCCGCTGAGAACCACCATGTGAACCACCATCACCACTTTCTCTATTTTTCTCCATAGCTTCAAGATATTCAAAGTTGGAGATAAGCACAAAATTTAAAAAGTCAGATGTTCACTTTTTTCAAATTTGAAAAGACTCTGACTACCAAATCTACAATGAACTTTTAATTGTACAAAAAACAAATAAAATTTGTATATTTCAAGATTCCTACCCAAACAAACTAAATTAAAAAAATAAAACTTTTGGGAATTCAATTATTATTGATTTTCAGTGAAAATTTCATCAATATGAGAGAGGAAAAATAGATCGTGTAAAAATGGAGAATTTGACGGTTAATTTAGTGATTATTGAAAGAAAATTGGAGATTTTTGAAGATGGAATTGAGAGGAATATAGGAGAGAATTGAGCAGGCCGGTGGAAAAAAACCCTATATTGAAAGAATTTGAGGCAAAGTGGTGCAACTCCGACGAAAAAGCTCTGGCAGATGGCTGCTTCTATGACGACGGAATAAAAAAATGAATTAATTTATTTTGATTTATAAAAAGGGTAATATTATGTGGCAGGCGCGTGCCGACCACTCCATGATACAAATCTGGGTATGAGTTTTTAAGGGGGTATATATTCTATTTTTAAAATGTTCAGGGGTTAATAGGATCCACGTGAAGTATAAGTGTATAGTTGAGAATCCGGTAATAAATTGGGGGTTATTTGGTCATTTTCTCATTAAAGTATTGATATATTTTAACACACCATATTAATAATTCACATATTTCCATTTTTTTTTGTTTTTATAAATAAATACTTACAATTACATATTATTACAAACTAATATATACACATATTTTTACAAATATCAACTAGCCAACAATAATACTCCTTCCGTTCCATATTAATTAATCATTGTACTAAAAATAATTGTCTCATATTGGTTATCCACCTTACTAAATAAAAAAAATATTAACTAATTTTTTCTATATTGCCCTTGCAATTAATTCTTTGTTAAAAGTATTCACATTTATTTGTAAAATTTCCAAAAAGTTTTTAAGGAGTGAATTATAAAATTATCTTCTTATTTATGATTTCTTAAGTACCGTACAAAATGAAAAGCGATCAACTAATATGGAATGGAGGGAGTAGTAACTAACTATTCGTTAATATAATTCTTTACATTGGTACGAAGTACGAACAATCTCTTTGCATTGAATATTAATATGTTTTACAAAATTTAAAGTGATGAGTTTTTTCTTATTCAAAATATAAACTTATGAGTGAAGTTTTACATTTTAAAAAAGGGAGACTAAAATTACAATTTAAAATTCAAAGAATTTAAGATTTAAAATGATGATTTAGAATTGAAACTGAAATTTTAAAGAGACAAATCAAACTTTTAAAATGCGATCTCAACGTGTAATATCTTAAAAGTTGAAAATTAGGTTATATTATGCACTTTATGTTTTTTTTTTTTTTAAAAAAAATATGAAAGAAAAGGGAAAAAGAACTAGGCTTTTATAAAGCAGAAAAGAGGAGAAATTTCGTCTTCTTGGATGTAATGTTCTTTGAGGGTATTTACTTCACTTCTCATAGAGAAATAGAGAATCTGAAAGAATCGAGAATGGGCGGAGGAGGATCAGTGAAGGAAGTTCAATCAAAGACGGAGCTTGATAAGATTGTCGCCGATGGATCACCGGCGATTTTGCACTTTTGGGCATCATGGTGTGAAGCTTCTAAGCACATGGACCAAGTCTTTTCTCATCTTTCTACTGATTTCCCACATGCCCATTTTCTAAGAGTAAGCAAATCTTCTCAATTTGTGCATATATGAAAGAGAAGCCCAAAAAGATTGTATCTTTTTAAATTTATTGATCGATTTCTGGTATTAGTTTCGGATATAAGACTGCCGTTGTTTTGAATTATCAAAATCAATGAAATATATTGATGGGTTATTGATAGATTTTCTGTTTGATATGATCTTGTTGGGGGTTGTTTGGAATTTTTCTTTTTTTAACTATGGTGTGAAGGGTTAAGAGTTTTTGTACACTTTTGATGTGAAACTTTATAGGAGATGGACCAAGTTTATATCTTTTTAATTTATTGGTTGAGTTCTGGTATTTTTATTGAATGGTTTTTGATGTGGCTTGTGGAATTTTGAATGAATTGCTGGATTGCTATTTTCTGTTTGATATGCTCTTTTTGTTTGGAGGGGGTTCTCTGGGTTTGTTTTTTATTGCTGTGCTTTGAGGGTTTAGGGTTTTGTTGTTCATTCTTTAGTGAACTGTAGATTCTACATATTTGGGTCTCGTAATGTGAAAAATTTCCAACTACATACAGCGTAAACTCTTCAGTTTTCATATGTAAGAAAACTCAGAAAGTATATATATATATATATATATATATATATATATATTAATACAGTCCAGTGGTTTAGGCATAGGAGTGACAACTTGGAGATTATTGATTTGAATCTGGGTTATAACCCCATGGTGTTTAGCCTTGGTGAGCAGGTTTACCATTGGTAGATTAGTCAAATGCGTGCAAGCCGGTACCGGGTCCCTCCTTCATTAGTAAAAAAGACAGTTCATAAGATTTTGGACGAACTACGAATCTTTGTGATGTGCTATTGAAAGATGTTTTGATTGACATATTGTTTCTGTTTGGAGTGATTTTTTTGAAGGTTTGTTTTGGGAAGATATGCTTTGAAGGGTTTATGGTTTTGTAGTAAATATAGCTCATTCTTGTAGTGAGAATGAGATTTTTCCTTTTGCGCAGTAAGTCTTGGTTTGTAGTAAACAATTGTTTTGATAAGATATATAATTTTAATAATTCGGGAAAGCTCTCATGTACAAAAAGTATGCCAAGATGTATATAATCTATACAAAAATATGATTATCTACTTATGACACCCAATCTTCTATACAATAGTCTATCTTTGGTGAAATTTTAGGGTGCTACCGTTAAAAGTTTTTGGGTCAAACTTGGTACTAATAGAGATAAGCTTTGCAGAGGCGGAGCCAAAATTAGGAGTTTGGGGTTTCTAAATTTTAGGACAGAAGATTGATGGTAGAGTTTGAACCCATAACACTAGTGTGAAAGGCATTTCCACCACCCCTTCCTTACCTTGTTAGGGGTTCACAAGTTAATATACATATATATTTATTTAATTTTCTTATACAAATACGGGGTATACAAAAAAGCTAGTGAGTTCGTCCGGACCTACGAACCCCCACCTAGCTCCGCCTCCGAAGCTTTGCTCTATTAGGCAACTATTATTACCTCTTAGCTCATTGTCACATTCTCCAGAAGATGTTGAAGAAATAAAAGCAGTTTGAGGAAATGAACATGCATTATTTACTCAAATAAACGCACAAAGGTAGGGAAAAACAAGTACCCCCTCTGTTCCAATTTATGTGGTACCATTTGACTTGCACAAAGTTTAAAGTAAGAAAGGAAGACTATTAAAATTTGTGGTCTAAAACAAACCTTAGTCTTTTGTGTGGCTATAAATCAATTCGTTAAGGGTAAAAGAGGGAATTTTATTGATTGTTCCTTATTATAGAAAGGTGACATTCTTTTTGGACAAACTGAAATGGAAAGCGTGTCACATAAATTGGGACAGAGGGAATAACTATGAATTTATCTCCCTGAATGGATGCACACAGAAATATGAGTTCTTGCGGTTACCCAGCTATGTTATATAAATTGAAGACTTTGTAATACAAGTTTTTTTTGGGAGGGTGGGGATAGGTATTGCTCTATTGATTTGCTTCAGTCTTACCTCAATTTGGTAGTTCAAATTTTTAAGCAAGTTGAGAAAATGAACACCCGCGATAACTCAAATAGACACAGAAAAGATAAGGAAAAAGCAATTAACTAAGAACTTGTCTCCCTGAATGGGTGCACACGGATAGATATGTTCTTGTGGTTGGCTGGTTGCTTAGCTATATTATTTCTCTCTTGATTTTCTGCAGTCTTACATTGATTTGGTTCTTCAAATTTTACTGCTTGGATAGAATCTTCAAATTTTACTTCCTGCAAGCAGAGAAGTGGAGAACACAGGACACTCGAATAGTTGTTTGTTCTAGCATAGTGAATTGGGAATGAACTTTTCTTCTATAGTAGTTGATGCCATTGTAAACTGATTCCTTAATGAATTATGTCCCGGTGCTACTGGAATTTGCTCATTACTCATTCTGATGTTTCAGCTCATTTCTGACAGTGTTCTTTTGCTTCTGTCTTTGTATTCAGGTTGAAGCTGAAGAACAGCCTGAGATATCTGAGCTGCACTCTGTTTCTGCTGTTCCTTACTTTGTCTTCTTCAAGGTATCTCACATGGGAATTTGCTTTCGTTGTCCATGTACTGTTTCTGTTTGTAAACCTTTATTTGCTTCTGAATAGATGGGGAATGAATGTCTCACCCTCTTCTTGTGCGACTTCTACCTGCATTTCGCTCAGCTTGCTTCTGACTCCCTAGAAGCCATTCTGTGACCTTACTGTTTTGGAGGGTCAGTAGCAGAAGTAATCCTCAGCTCATGCACCAGTTATCCTAAAGAACTTCTGCTACCCCCCGGCTTAGTTCAGGACTCACCACTTGTGATGTTTGGTTTTGTATAGCTACTGGACATGGCATTGAGAATCATGATGATATAACTGCTAGTTATCTGCTCACTTCCATAGTTTTATAAGCGATGAACTCAATGAATATATTTGTGTTTTGCCAACAAATGAAGTATTGAAATGAGGATTGTGTTTCGACCTTTTTATTACATTATTAACCTAATGATTTCCATAATTTATTTATAAAGAAAAGTGTACCTACTTAAAGGAGGCCTTTTACATAGAAAATGTATGTCAACGGAATAACAAATATAATCAGAAGATCCTCAATAATCTAACCACTTAAAAAAATAAAATTTTAACAATTTTTCAGAGTTTCTTTTTGTTCTCCAGATAGTACTTGATATGAAACTCTGTCTCTCATTTCTTCATTTATTTCTATAAAGATAATGCTTGACTGTGCTCTGCCAACGACATGTCATTCTTTGTGCTCGTAATCTTTGAAAACCATATGCATCTTTAGGTGTGCATGAGCAGAGTATAAGAGCCATCTGGACCTTCATGTGATGTCGTCATGTCGCTACTATTTGGTGGCAATTAAGTGAAGGACAATGGGAAATCTGCGACCTCTCTTACTGTATAAGCTTTACAAATTGTCAACACCGGCTATCTTTCTCGTTAAACTTCACGTACTTTCTACTGAAAGCATCCTTAAATTGGTAACTCTTCAGTGAACTCTACGAGTGCAGTCGGATATAGAAGTCCTAAAACAATCTTATTCTCACTTCTTGATTTCCGTAATTCTTCTATGCCAAACCAGTGCTTGGCATTTGCAAATCTTACTGTCTTCTGTTAGCCTGATTTTCATGAACATCACATCATCACGGGGTTATTACGTTGATTGCTAGATATTTTTTCTCTATTACACTTGTCTTCTGAAGATTCCACTGTTTGTCTTTTTGCCATTATCTTTAGGTGGCTCTGTGCAAGTCTCAGAGTAAGGCTTATGCAGTAGATAAATCATCAATGTGGCATTTCAAATTTTTGAGTCACTAACTTCTCTGAAGATGGGACAGAAATATTTGTAGCTAATTATTTTGAAAAGGTGAACATCTGTTAGCAAGATCAAGAAACATTAAATTCATTTGTATTAGCCAAACAAATATGACGGGTTTTCCTGAAAGAATTGCCTAAATTTGCCTCACACAAGTCCAAGATAACATTCTTCAAAAATTAAGTGAAGGTGTTCACTAATTGTGTGAATTTGATTTGAAAATTTGTTAGGTTCCATCCCTTAAGTGGTAATTAGTAAACACTTCCATCTGTGATTGTTTGTGACATTTGAACAATTACCTTTGATTTGAACCTACGTTTTTGCTTGTTATGCCATCTATAATGTGCTATTGCTTTGCTTATTATAGGAAGGTAAGGCTGTTGATACATTGGAAGGGGCTGATCCTTCTAGTTTGGCTAACAAGGTTGCAAAAATTGCTGGGTCAATCACTCCTGGGGAACCTGCCGCTCCTGCTAGCCTAGGAATGGCTGCAGGTCCCTCTGTTCTTGAAGCAATTCAGGAATTGTCTAGAGAAAACGGTGCCCCTCAAGTGTCAAGTTCTGGTCTTGATGATCGGCTAACAAAGCGACTTCAGCAGCTGGTTTCTTCTCATCCAGTTCTGCTTTTCATGAAAGGGACCCCAGAAGAACCCAAGTGTGGTTTTAGTCAGAAAGTCGTTGACATCTTGAAGAAAGAGAAGGTCAAATTTGGAAGTTTTGATATTCTGACGGACAATGAGGTCCGTGAGGGGTTGAAGAAATTTTCCAATTGGCCAACATATCCTCAACTGTACTGCAAGGGTGAACTACTTGGTGGTTGTGATATTGTTATAACTATGCATGAGAGTGGTGAACTTACAGATGTTTTCAAGGATCATGGGGTTGGGGTCTCTGATTCTCTTGAAACTAAACCAAATAAAACTGCGGGTGGGAAGGGTGGCATCTCTGAACAATCTGGCTTGAGTACTGCCTTGACTACTCGTCTTGCAGGTCTGATAAACTCTAGCCCAGTTATGCTGTTTATGAAAGGAACAGTTGATGAACCCCGGTGTGGATTCAGCAGAAAGGTGGTGGATATTCTTAAACAGGAGAAAGTGGAGTTTGAGACTTTTGACATTCTTTCTGATGATGAAGTCCGTCAAGGACTGAAAGTTTATTCCAACTGGTCTAGTTATCCACAGCTGTACATAAAGGGTGAACTTATTGGTGGATCAGACATTGTACTGGAGATGCAAAAGAGCGGTGAGTTTAGGAAGGTTCTAACTGAGAAGGGGATACACCAGAAAGTAAGTCTTGAAGACCGTTTAAAGAATCTACTGAACTCCTCACCTGTAATGCTCTTTATGAAGGGTACACCAGATTCTCCAAGGTGTGGTTTCAGCTCGAAGGTGGTTAATACCTTGAAGGAGGAAGGGGTTGATTTTGGATCCTTTGATATTCTATCCGATGAAGAAGTGAGGCAGGGATTAAAGACCTTCTCCAACTGGCCAACTTATCCGCAGCTGTATTACAAAGGCGAACTGGTAGGAGGATGTGATATCATCCTGGAATTACATAGCGGGGGTGAACTCAAGTCAACATTATCTGAATAGAAGAATCCCCACCAGACCAGGTTGCGCGTATCAGACATAACATGTTAGCTGAGGTCTTACATGTTGTGTTTTTTATTGTCTTTGAACAAGAATTTCATGTTACGAGAGCAGCATTTTAGAGATGGTTACTGGTACTCTATATTTGTGAGAGTCTTGAGTTTGATCTTCATTCACAGTGTGTTAGCCAGTCATGAATTATGTATGCTTCTGTAGAGACCTTATCTTTCTTTTCTTTTTTTAGTTTGCCTGTGGTTCGATTCTGCTTCCATAACTTCTCTTTTGAGTCGATGGTTTATCGAAACTATTACTTCTTTGATTTTTTAAAAGATTACACTTGTTTTAGACCAAACTAAAGCTAGAAAATCACGGGAACAAAGAGAATAACAAACTAACAAAGCATCATATGATGTATACGCCAGACGTGTTTGAATATATATACGTACTATTAACCAGTAGATCATTAATTTGTTTATGTCCCTTCCCTTACGATGATGTGGTGTATAGAATTTAGTTTATACACAAAAAAATTAAATATTATTTCGTATAAAGTTTTCATAATTTAAGATATAAGTCGTACACACTGTTGGTATGATAATAGTACAAACATTTTATCTTGATTATTATGAAAACGTTCCAATTCAAACATTTTATGCTATTAAATTATGAATGTATTGAACGAGACCAAACAATATCTTGATTTATATTTTATTTTACTTATACACGATTTTCGTGTAATTATTATAAATAGCAAGTACTCCATGATTTATTAGGATAAGGACAGTTCAACATAAACGGATTATTTACCAAATGAAAAGATTCATTAATTGATATGCGATCCCTATTATTTTGGGTAACTTACTAAATTAAATTGAGACTATGAGAATATGTTAAAAGGAAAACCTAATTATTTTGGTAAAGTTTTTACAACATGGGCTATATAAAGGGCTGTTTCCGTCAAAAAATAAAACAAACTACTACTTCGGCTCGACGAGAAAACATATTTCATCACTTCAAATACGTAAGTATTTTTATTTTATTTTATGTTTGATTAAAATTTATTTATGTAGTGATAACATTGTATAATAGTATATATATATATATATTGTGGCTGACATTGCAACATTCAACATTGGCATTTACGTTCCTGCAATTTTTCTTAAGCCTCTCACAAGTTAGTTTTTGCATAGCAGAAAGTGAGAAAAGACCAATGGCCAGTTATCAAATTGCAGGAGGATATCTTCAACCAGAAGAAGAAGATTCAAGGCCACCATACTTCGATGGAAAACATTATCGCCATTGGAAGGCTAGAATGAGAGCGTATGTGCAATCAGTTGACGATCAAGCATGGCTAATCATACAGAACGGACCACTACCAATTCCTGGTGATGAGGAAGGAAAGGAACATGACGATAAGGCATCCTATACCAGAGAACAAATAGATGCCCTGCAAATCAATGCTAGAGCTAAACACATAAGATTGTGCTTTAAGCATGGAAGAGTTTGTAAACACCTATAGATGTAAGACTGCAAAGGAAATGTGAGACAAGTTGGATATAATCCATGAAGGTACAGAGAAACTAAAGGAAGCTCGGATGTATCAACTGATTCATGAGTACGAGACTTTCATGATGGAAGAAGATGAAACCATTAAAGATATGTTCGGGAGAGTTAATAAAATTCTTGGAGATCTCAAGGCTTTAGGAAGATCATACTCTAATGATGAACAAGTCGGAAAAATTCTGAGGATTTTGTGGCAACCTTTTGTTGATACAATGGAATATGAAAGTCAGGCTCAAATGTCATATGATGAACTTCGAATCAAGCTTATCTTCAAAAGCATGGAAGGGAAGAAAGAGATTAAATGTTGTCTTCAACACCTTCTTTGAGGAAATAGAAAATGAATTAGATGATGATGAAGAAAATCAGAAAGACTTGGCAATGATTTTCAAGGGAATGGACAACATCATGAGAAGACGAAAACAAAGCAAGAGGTCCCAGATTGATCAGAACTCTATAAGGAACAATGGAAGGAGGAACAACAAAGGACCGGCATAAACTGTTATGAACATGCCAAGCCTGGACACACAAATGTGTTTTTCACACACAAACACATGTCCATCACTAGACTAAACAGTTATCTAGAATTGACAATTGAGGAAATTCCAACAGAACCATTTAACTGTTAGAACCTCCTCGTTGGTTTATTCCAAGTATCACTTTTGTTTCTTCATTTTCATCAATGTTATCATCTCTCATACTGTTTAAAAGGCTTTCAACTTCTTTACCACCTGCTATATATGATTTTAGTAAGGCATGATACATCTCTCTGTTTACAGCGACAATGGGCCTCAGTGAATGAAAAAATGATTCAGCGTCATTCACATTGCCATTCTCCGCAAACAAACTGAGTATTCTCATGATGACCTTAGGGTCAGGCTTCCATCCTTTTCTATCCTTCTTCAAGGAAAGAGCAACTTTCATGCATTTCACAGCCCTCTCAAACTTATCTTTATCTAGGTAGCCTGCTGCCAGTCTTCCCCAAACATTTGGTGTTAGTATCTTCCCTTTTGTTGATAAATCTTCAAGCATGGTCTCTGCCTTTTCATATAGCTGTTTATCCGTATACCCTATAATGACTATGTATGGTACTCTGATATCATAACAGTTATCAGATGTCTCCCACTCCTTGAGCAACTGCTCTGCTTCTTCAAGCGAATCAAGTCTCACTAGGGCTTCTAACATATTTATATAATCCCGATTTATGCACCTCTTTAGAGCACTCTTCTCAAGAAACCATAATCTTATGACTTCATCTTTGTTTCCTAGTTTAGAATGTACAGAGATGAGGTAATTATAACCGATCCCTTCTTTATTATCTATCTTCTCCTCTGCTTTCTTGAGGAAACTGTTTGCTTTATCATTTAGGCCTTCTTTAACATATGTATTTGCCACAGCAGCATAGGTGTTCCAGTCCATGACAATGAAGGATTGGTTCTCCATTTCATTTAAGACCCTCTCCATCCCCTCAATATCTGATCTTGCTCCATACGAATTGATACAGATTCTATAACTTAAATTGTCAGGACAGACCCCAATTTCCTTCATATGGCGTAGCATTTCAGGGATCCTTTCATACTCACCAGTTCTCGTGTACAGTGACATTATATCGTTGAAGGCCACAGAAGATAGAGAAACACCCTCCTCCTCCATCTTCCGCAGATGTGTCAATGCCTTTTCCATTTGGCACTGGCGAACATAACAATGTAGAAGAGCACCATATGTCTTATCATTCTTATCTTCTTTGCTCAAGTTATTGAAGTAGCTTTCTGCATCAGGAAACCCATGAACCTTACCAATCAGATCCAGTTGTACTGCATGCTCAGTTGATGAAAAAGTGAAAATACCAGAACTCTTCAACCACTCTGAAGCCTGCTCAACAATTAACATCCATTCAGTCAGGACAAAGAACACATATACATGCAGAAACAGAAGAATCTGATAAATGAACAACATTTCCATAACAAAGACATATCTTCCATGAAAAATATTTTCGATGGAAAACCCCTTAATAATCATTTATTTTTAAATAATCAGAAATGTTATTGTAATCCAAAGAGAACCATGAGGTCTTAGGTTCATATAATTCATATACGAGTGGAGGTAGCAGGTAGCCATGGAATAGTCCAAGTACACGCAAACTGGTCCGGTCCGGGCATCACCAATCATAAAACAAGTCCTAAATTATTACTAACATTTGAGCAGCTTCACCAATTCCACAACACCAATAACAGAAAAGTAGACTATCATATTTCTAATATTCCAATTAGCTGCAAACGTTTCAACAAAATAAAAACAGCAAAAAGAAAATAAACCCAAAAAGCAATCTTTTTTACTTTCAAAAAGAAGTATGAACTGATAGGTACCTCCAGGGCCTGACTGAAGCGTTTGCGTTTGCGAAGATCAAGAATGATGCGTTGAATCTCCGCGAATCGGATTTTATTTCCCTTGCAAACCCATTCATCCAGCTCATTGGTTACGCTACAGCTAGGGTTTCCCAGTGGACTTATTTTAGAGTAGAGTGACACTTTCTTCGGCTTGTCGGAATGGTAAAATCGATTTGTAATTCCGGTTAGGGCTTGGAAAATCCGGCGATTCACTTGCATTTTCCGATGAAATTTGGGTAAAATGTGAAGCATTGAAATTAGGGCTTTAGGGAGGTTTTACGCGGGTTTTAGAAGTTTCAAGCTGATTGGGAGAAGAACGAAAGGAAGTTCCATTAATTGCATATTCACCCTTCAATTTCTGGAAATATACAACTTCAGCAACTTTTTGAATTTAAATTAATTGTGATATTTGGAAAAATTAATACTCCTTGTTTGGTGAAAAGCTGGGTTAAATACCTTAATTTTTAAAAATAAGTATCATGACCTCTCAAAAGTTTGATCAAATAGTTGAATTTTCAATAACTAATGTAGTCAACTTAGTTATTACTAGTCGTTGGAGAAACACCTATATTTTTTTGGGAAAATGGTCTGAAAAATATTTTAACTATGGCCGAAATTGTTGTTACAATACCAAACTTTATGGAGGATCTTTCACCCCTGCACAATTTAATAGTGTATTTTAAAAGTATATATGTGCCCACGTGGACATGTTACTATTTATAATTATGCAATATTTATGATGTCCACGTGGGCACATGTATACCTTTAAAATACACTATTAAATAGTGCAGGGTAAAAGGTTCTTTCCAAAGTTCGGTATCGTAACAACAATTTCGGCCAAAATTCAGATATATTTCAGACCTTTTTCCCTATTTTTTTCTATCTACTCTCTTATTTCCCCTATCTAAAAAAAAGTTGGATTTTCTTTCTTGAAGTCTGTTGTTTCTACTCCCAATTAATTATCAAAAGAAGTTGATTAATTTTAAGAAATACGTCTTATAATATTTTTCATTATTTAGACAAAATATTCTTTAAAATAATATTTTTAACACGCTTTAAACAAAATTATATTTTCCGAACTTTTTTACAATAATATTAGTTCTAGTATATATCATTTCAAGTTGCGTATGAATAATCATAGTTCTACAAATGATTTACTTCTCACCTACATTCTTGTATTTCTTCCAATCAACTAATTAAAGTTATAAGTAGTCAATTTAGTCTGTGGCCAAGAAAAACAATGAACTTGACAATAAAAGCAGTTACCTAATTACTGTAGAAATTAAAATTAATATTAATAAAAGTCAAATCTTTTAATTCTAGTCAGCAAAAATGCAAGAATTTTCAAAGGAATAAATTGGCTTTAAATTAACGTTAGATGTTAAGTTCATCTTTTGAAAATTTTAGTTCTAGAATTAATCAATGTGTTGAAACGAATATTAACTTACGACTAGAACAACTAATTAATTTTAGGCAAGACTTGAAAGATTCAACTCCCAATTTTGTTATTAACAATATACTATTAGGAGATTTAGGGGTGCATGGGAGGGGGTTTAATTATTTTCTCCCTTATTCCCCTTTCTGAAAAAAAATAAAATAGTCCGATATGTAGCTAGGGTATATATATTTAATTATACATCTATGATTAAGAAAAGATAAAAAGTAGCTCGATGTACAAAATACTTACGCCTGTCTAAAACAACCTTCTAGTTTTATTATGTGGATTTTCCACACATTGAGAAAGGCATTGCAACAACTTCATTTCCAATGTTTTGAAATGTGCAATTTGCAATTGCAATTCCATTTTTTCCTTTTTCAAGTTTTGGTTCTCTTCCATGAGAAGTTGCCTTGTTGTATTCTCTTGATTATTTCTAGCTAATAATAATGTGCTCTTTTTAGAAGGATTTAAGTATGTAGGAAATACACTTGGCTCACATTTCTTTCTTGTTATTTCTGCTAGCAAATGCCTGCACCCTTTCTGGAACTTTTCATGATGAAATTCCCAACGTTTTGATGCTACTTTCTTGAATCCCTATATACATTTAAAAGAATTATTAACATTAATTTAATCAAATAAATACATAAACAAAAGTTATTTAATTTTCTACCAAGATCGTAGAAGTCTAATATCAAGATAAAAGGGTGAATTTCACTTCCAAACTCTACTTTAAAAATCAAACACCCCCCCCCCCTCTCTATCTAGAGAAATAATCATTCTCCCCTTCTAAAGAGCACGTTAATGTATTATGCATAAGAGATGAGCGAATAAAGTTCGGAGGTATAAATGATTTACACCACAAGATAAAACTGATCTTGAGCTAGCTTAATTTATATCAAAAAGCTAGCTTTAAAAAAAAGAATTGTGTAAATTATATAAACGAGTTTCAGAATCTTAAGAGATCTTTATCAGAAGTCAATTTCTTCCATGGTAAATGAAATAATGTATACTATTTTATTGTCAAATAAGTTCGTCACGAAACCATAACAGGACAAGATGTCATAAAAAATTTGACTTTGGAGTAGGATGATTTTGTTGATCGGTTTTGGCTTTCAACCAATTTGACTACCATTTTAGTCACTAAGAAATGTCACTATAGACCAAAATTTTGACAAAAATAAATGAAAAGGTTATAGTATTGTTTACGATATTTCCAAAATAAATCTTTGGAAACTTTTTTGGATAAAGATCGTTTATATTTTAAATGAGCTGATCTTTAATTTTGATTTTGTCCTTAACAATCAAATTCATATCTAACAGGGAACGGACATAAGTTCTTTAAGAATGATGTAAAAATATTTAGTGATAACAAAAATTAAAGAGCGGTACAAAATATATAGGTAGGCCATTTTGACAGCAATTAATTATGTGATTTCTTAAAAATAAATTATTGGAAATTAATTACACAACCAGAAGTTAATCAAATGGACTACAATTTGCTAATATAATTGCCTAATAAATTGACTTTGGGCCACCAATGTAGACTAGTTTCACAGTAAATTTATATCAAACCAACCAACAAATACATGTCATATTCCACAAGACAACTTGATTCAATTTGGTTGAAAGTTTGAAATAACATATCTCTGGGCCTATGATTGAAGGGACTAATTTTAGCTTCTTCTTTTTTTTTAACCATAAGGTACATTTATATTATCTTTCATCTTATTATCTGCCAAAATATTATCATAGTAGAAAACTTTATAAACATTAACATAAAACGGCTTATAATAAAAATAAAATTAAAATATTACTATGAAACAATCATGCATTCCACTTATAAAACGAAAAGCAAGATAAACGAATTGAAACGAAGAAAAAAGAAAGATAGACTTACATAGGTATTAAGTTGTCGAATGAAACTGGAGAAATTGTTGTGCTTGAAGTATTTAGGTAACATAACCTCAGAAAACTCATCTGGACACCACACAACAAATCCATTTCCTTCACCATTCCATGAAACAACCTTAATATTATTATTATTATTATTCTCTTCTTCTTGCTCTTCCAAAAGATCGTAAGTTTTCGATAAGAATGGCGTCGGACACTTCGTCCTCGTCGTTGACCGTCCGATTTTCCGATGGATATTCCGATTATCTGTGGCCATAGATATATAAATGGGATTTTGTTGAGTAACCAAAAGGGTGTAGTGCTTGTTGTTCTATTTATAATAACGTGTAATATGTATTATTGAAAGTTTTTAGAAGGGGCCTGGCACGTTTTGTTCTATTTTATCGCTTTTGGTGGGCTTTCCTTATTTTATTTTATTTTTAAGTTATAAAGTACATAAATCTCAACAATTTTGGGTGTTAACTATATCATATCTTGAAAGTTTCTCAAATTATAATAATCTCAGGTTTTTAAGAACTCGATGATACATTATTTCTTTCACCCAATATAATAGCAAATGATATATAAGTTATGTATCATATGTATAAGTTATGTATCAAATATATAACTATAAATCAAATTCATACTGATTCAAATTTGAAATGATTGAGGTTATGTATCAACAATAACATTTGTACTAATACACAAATAAAATTGGGTGAAGTGATGTATATGTATGTTAAGAGAGAGAAGGAAAAAGAGAAATTTTGTAATTAATTTAAATGGTAGGGTTTTTAGAGATTATGTTGTCTTGTGATTACATAATTTTCTCTCTTTTTTTTCCACTTGATATTTGAGTCTGCATTGAAATTTCGACTAAATTTAAATCACGTACTATATATGAAGTCAATTTTTAAAAAAATATTCTCAATAAAAAAAAAATTCCATACCCAAAATTTAAACTCGAGAACAAAACTTTCTTTGTCAAGTGCATGCAAACTTTTTAAATACCATAGACAACAAAATATTCAATCAGTGGATATTTTTATCTTTTTGTGGTGATGGAGATATATATGATAATTATCTTTGACTATAGAACATGTGTAGAAGTTTCATGATTCTTGAATATAATATAATATAATAAGCCAAAGATACAAGGACTTTGGACACATTTGCCTAATTAGAATTTCTTTTAACGTAACGTCAAAGACCAATACTCATTCTTCAAACATACAATATCATATCATAGTGTTGTCGTGTCGTGTTCTGGGTAATGTTTCAAGTAATTTAGTTTCATACAAATTAAGAAATATATTTATATATATTAATTTTTAATTATCTTGTAAGTGACTTTAAGAAGAAAAAGATCTGAAATTTATAATGTAAAAATATCGGATATTTGTGTAAATATAAATTTTTTCACAAAATCTATAATTAAATTGTATAAATATTAAAAAGAGAGTTTTTAAGATAATTTTTTTGGAGTATATAAATTATGAAGAGGGAAGTGTCTGGAAGAGTAATGTCACTTTATTCAAAATTATTTATTCAATTATTAATGCAAATCCAAAAAAATCAAATTAAATTTATTATCCCCACCACTATGTTTGTGCACGCACGGCATGACACATATTTCATCCTTTTCATTTGAGGCTTTTTTGAAAATAAAATTCTTTTAAAATTAATAGCCGTCTTCATTATTTTCTGATTTTTTTAATGTTCGATTGATCAAAAAATTTAATTTTTTTTTAAAAAAAAAAACAAGTTACTAAAAATGAGGAAAATGATTCATTCAGTGAAAATAGAAAGAAAAAAAAAGGTTTTAGAAATAGCTTCTCACATTGATTTTGTTATTCTCAAACACACCTTATTATCATCACTATTTGATACAATTTTTTATAGTATTTGTCTAGATTATATACAAATATTTTTTTAAAAATATTTTTGTTTCTACCAAACACGTAGTTGGTATGTTTTTGGAATACGTTTATTTTTCTTCTATTTTTACTTTTTAGTACAACATGTGATGAACAGTTACGTAATATTTGGATATGTTTGATTTGACCTCTCAAAAAATTCAAACTCTTAGTTGATAACTTGATATGTCTTTTTTTTTTTTTAATGTTTTAAAAACTTTTTTTTTTCTTTTCTATTTTTGGAAATGAAATAACTTGCGATGAACAATTACGTAGTATTTTTGAATAGATTATATTTGACCTTCAACAAATTCAAAACTCTTCGTTGGACTTCTCAATACCATCAAATCAGTTCAACAATCACAATTGAGGAACACTTGAAAACTTGATTTTCATGTATTTATATATTTTTCCGAGGTTTAGATCAATAATAAAATCATATAATCTCGAATTAAACCAAAAAAATATTATGAACCTTTTACACATAAACTAGCATATCATCTTTTATTAGCGTAATACTACTAAATAAATATATTATGATAAACTTTATAATTAGCAATGAGATTCCTTTGATTTGCTGGTTTTTATTAGGAAAAAGTTCTACGTATCAAAATTTATAAACCAACCAAATATAGGAAAGTGCACCTTTTTATATATATTTTATTTCATTTTATTTATATCAAAATTAATTTGTTAGCTGACTTGATTTGACTCAAATTAAATCTGTTAAGTTGGACTTTAGAGTATAGAAGCCATGTTTGCATGTGCAATTTTTAGATTTTTGTTTTTGTTTTTATTTCAAACGTCTTCATCTCACATTTTTTAATTAAAGTTCTTTAATTTCCAATGATGCCGTGCGGTAAATAAATTTCTTCAAGTTGAGTCTATTAAAAAGACGATTTTCCCTATTTAGTTATCATACACATGCTATGTTATATTATACATTTGTCCTAATTTGACTTGTTCCTTTCATTAGTTATCAAAAAAAAATAATCAACATAATGACTAGATATTGAGATCAATTAAATTAAATATCTAGTGTACTCTGAGTTTTACCTTTAAAAGAATTTCGAACTCTGATATAGTTTAATTGAATTATTCATAAAAGCTTGACATTGTGACCTTTAATTTCTTCATTATTCTTCAAACAATATTTGACATTATAACCTTCGATTTATTAGTAGGATCAATCGAATTAAACACTCATGCCACACATATTTTGTTCAAAAATTAAAGATCACCCATGGTAGATTTTATTGAACTAAAAAGACAATATTGCATGTGTCGGAGTTCTAACTTCATAGTTGTCTACTGAAATTTGAACTAGTCTTCCTATGAATTGAATCTAAAAATAATAATTGGATTGGAACTTTATTATTATACATTGAAATTACATTTAAAATTTTAAAATTCGAGCATAGTGTGCTCGAGTTTCACTTTTTAAAGAATTTCAAACTCCGACAGGCAACATTGTGTATTTTTTAGTTTACTAATCTTTGAATTATATTTTAGTGAGAGAGAATCATTGAAATCATTCCTGAACTATTGTCATTTTTAAAAATACCCCTTTACTTGACTAACTGAACTTAAATACACTTCAGATCTTGCAACATGAGTGAATTACACCCCTAAATTCTCGTCAAATTTAGGGGTATTTTCGACACTTCTCTCAAATTTTTATTAAGAGTATCATGCTCTTACAATAGTTTGAGACCACTTGCTATGTCATGTGGAAGATTGCGGATGTATTAAGGGTGTATTTAAGTTCCGTTAGTCAAGTAAATGAGTGTTCTTAAGACTGCCAATAGTTCAAAATGAAACTAATAATTCGTGCCAAGTTTAAGGGTGTTTTCAATACTTCTCTCGAGTAATAAGTTTACTTTTGTTAAAAAAAAAAGTGTCAAAAAGTAGCTAAACAAAAAGGATAAATTTTAGGAATCACATAGTTTTAATATGAAATTACAATCTATCCCTCTTTAGTTTGTAATTACATTAATCCCTTAAAAAGTAACACAAATCGGATACATTAAAGAGTATCTCAGATACATTATAGCATAAACCAGATACATAATATGTAGCTCGGATACATTAAAACCTAGCTTGGATACATAATATGTAGTTTGGATACATTAAAAACTAGCTCGGATACATTATAAAATAAAGCGGATACATAATATGTAGTTCGGATACATTAATATGTAGCTCAGACACATTAAAGAAATAAGGGATTTTAGAGGTTTTTAGAAATAGAAGGGGATATTGGAAATAAGGGAATAATAAGACGTGTATTTTAGTAATTTTTTCAAATAAAAAGTGGCTATTTTTGCCAATCCCCCCCCCCCCCCCAAAAGACCGGATAAGACAGTTCCTTGGCCCAGCAAATATTGGGCTCGGAATAAGCTGGACTACAAAATTTACCTTCCTTCTCATTTGGGCTAAACTTCAAATGGAGCGGGTCATACGAAGCTTCTTAAACCCGCCTAAAACCCCCAAATTTATTTCTTCTTCGTCTTCTCCAAAATGAAGCTTTCTTTCTCTGCCTTATGGAAACAAAATCCAATACATTTTCAGAGAACCATAATCAACCGTTTCTATGGAACAACATCTACTAAACAAGATAAAAATCAGAAGCGTGACTGGGTTTTCGCAAGAATTGCACCTTTAGGTAGCCCAGACGTGCCTATGGTTCCCGTACTGGAACAATGGGTTGAAGAAGGAAAAACAGTGGTGAAATCCGAGCTTCAGTGGATTATCAAAAGATTAAACAGCTACAAAAGATACAAACATGCCCTTGAGGTACTTTATTTCTGTTTTTTTTTTGGCTGTTTAGTGAGTTTTGATACAATGCATTGTGAAAGAAACTGTTTGTGTTCTCTGTTTTTTTAAGCAAATGACACAAAGATGAACTCAAATGGATAATCCAAATTAGTCGCTACAGCAAATATGACTCTAATATGAATTTGTACCAAATGGTTAAATTGTTATGAATTAAATAAAAGATTGAATTAGCTTGAGCTTTGAGGAAGTTGGCTGACTACAATGCTGGAAAGTATACAGCTGTGTGTTATGAACTTGAGATCTTAGTGAATTATAGTGTTGTATGTACGTGTGTGAGAATGAAATTTGGGTCCTCTCTACCAAGGAAGTAAGGCCCTATATATAGCTAAAATCAAGGGATAAGATCCACAAAATATGTCCTCTTAAAGCCTATTAATTGCTCATTAACGGTTTGTTATCATCGTAGAGTAACGGTTGGCGATGATCTCGTGATCTTGCATAACGGTTGAACTTTTGAATGAGTGTAATGTGGTCTGCATTTCGTACCCGGTACCACATCCTCTGCCTCTCCGGAGCTAGATGGGCTTTCACCGTAGCATCGTTTCCAGATGACTTTGTACCGACCCTGTTTCTTACTGACTTCTTAAAATGACTTTGTGTTGTCTCATATGCCGTGACTTGTCACTTCTACCACGTGTCATCTCATGGTTCGCCCTTCTGTTCCACATTTCACTACTGGTGGAGAAAATAAGTTACTGCAGTTGATTTATTTGGCACCTTTGTTGCGTATGTATACAAGTGCAGAGGTGGATCCAAGATTTAAACTTAATGGTTTGAACCTTTGAGCTTTTTAGCACTAAACCCATTTACCGTAAATTAAAATTATGGGTTCAAATCTAAATATTTGTTGAAATTGTAACAAGTTCTTACATATATATATCTATGATCTGTGTGAAAAATTATGGGTTCAGATGAGCCCATAACCAAAAGGCTTCATTTGCCTCTGTACAAGTGCATGTTAGAAGTCACCAATGAGCTATGGCATACCACTCAAAAGGTCCTGCCACTTTAAAGAACAAAGTCTGTGATAACTCAGTTTATGCAAGTTGATACTATGAAAATAATAACCTGCAAATGTTGTGTACATCTATTGCTTCCTAGTTGTGATTAAGTCCGTGGAAAAAAATATTTTGCAGTTGTGTTGTTCCTTACTCCTTAGTCACTTTGTTAATTTAACCAAAGGTAACAGCTAATGAGCATAGGAATGAAGAAAATAGCTCCTCACATTGCAAGACCAAGATTTGTTGGTGTGAATAGATCTGAGCTACTTTCTTATATATCTTCATACTTGATCCTATTAATTTTTCCCTTTCATCTTTGTGATTTTGTGAACAGGTGTCTCATTGGATGACAGACAGAAGATATTTCCCCCTCCAACCTGCTGATGTTGCAGCACGAATCAACCTAATGAATAAAGTTAAAGGTCTAGAAGAGGTTGAAAAATACTTCAATAGCATTCCACAGATTCTGAGACGCCCTGAGGTGTATACTGCTCTTCTCAATTGCTATACCAATGAGCAGTCTGTAGAGAAAGCTGAGGCCATAATGCAACAACTAAGAGATATGGGGTTTGCTAAGGGTACATTGTGCTACAACCATATGATGAACCTCTATTATAAAACAGGAACATGGGAGAAAATGGATAATATGATGAATGAAATGGAGCAGAAGGGCGTAAATTTTGATGAGTTCACTCTCACAATACGATTAACTGCATATGCTGCTGCTGGAGATTCTGAGGGAATGGATAAAATATTAGCGATAATGGAATCTGATAAGCAAATCATTTTGCACTGGGATACTTACAGTATTGCAGCAGAGTTGTATTTGAAAGTTGGGCAGGTGGAAAAAGCTCTAGAGTTGCTGAGTAAACTTGAAAGCATGATTTTGACTCGTGAGAAAAGGAATGGTGCATATAATTGTTTGTTAAAACTGTATGCGGAAGCTGGAAAGAAAGAAGAGGTGCACCGAGTGTGGGATTTGTATAAGCAGAACATGAGAATTCTTAATAAAGGTTACATTACTGTGATGAGCGCATTAATGAAATTTGGTGATACAGAAGGAGTTGAGAAGATCTTTGAGGAATGGGAATCTGAAGCTTTGTCCTATGATTTCCGTGTTCCAGATGTTTTGATTCGCAGTTATTGTAGAAATGGTCTTCTGGAGAAGGCTAAGGCCCTAATGGACAAAGGAATATCAAAAGGGGGTGTTCCATGGGTCACCACATGGTGTCACTTGGCAAATGGATACATACGTGAAGATCTAGTCCCAGAGGCTGTAGAAGCATTGAAGAAGGCCATCTCAATATGCCCGCCTAATTATAAACCTAGCAAGGAGACCTTCGCTACATGTGTAAAATACTGGGAAAAGCAGGGAAATGTGGTTAACGCAGCGGATTTTGTGAGGTCTTTAGAACAGGACCATATCTTCTCACCAGTTTTTCGTGACAAGTTGTTGTGCTTTATTAAGGAAGAAAAACTTCAAACCTAAGCGACACAGCTTGTATTGAATCAACTGATTTGAGCGACTCTCACAAGGTTAGGCCTTTTCCAACTAAAGCTTTATATATGTACTGAAGCTATCAGGCTTAGGAATTAAAGAGAAAAATTATCGGACAAAGATTATTTTTCTTTGCATTTCAGAATTGAAAATAGCTGATATTTCTCATTGAAACTTAGGCTGCATATTCACTGGCGATAAGTAATTTACTGCAAGATTACTCCTTAGGAGAGACTAGTTGCTTTACTCTTAACATATATTGTGTCAATGAGCTTTGTTTTGAAGGCCAAAATTCAACTTAATGTGTATCATCTCTGTTTGGGTGACGAAGACAATACAAGAAGGTACATTACTTTGTTTTTCGCCATATGGTGTTATTGTAGTTTATGTATTGTGACAATCATGTTCTCTGAAGAAACATATCTTGAAAAATAACAACAATTGCTTCTTGTTAATGAAAACTAGATGAGCCAAAAGCAAAGTTATTCTTCATGTGGCTTTAAAGATACAGAAGAAAGATTATATTTTGAATCAAAGATGAAAAATGCATTCCAACAAGAAGTTAGGATATTTTTTGTGGTTGGCAAAACTATGACATGCAACTAACCATTTGAGTGCTTTGAAAACTTAGGTGTGAGATTATTAATCACATTATTAAGTGCAAAGTTGATTAAAATATCTTATAATGGGTGGGACGTGAACTTAAATTATGAATTATGTTGGATGTGACAATTCTAATTAAGAATGTTAAAAAGATATTTGATCAATGCTATGATTTTTTTTTTTCTAGAAGGTCACCGCCCTAGGGTCTAATTTACTTTGTATTATAAAATATTAGGACCCCAATTATTGTGGACTTTTTGCTATTTTCTGTTTAATGTGTATACACCTTTATAACTATTCCACCAATCATTTCCTATACTAAAGTCTAAAGCCATAAATGTGAAATTTACTAATCCAACATATTTTGATTTTACTAGACCTTAACTCTAAGAGCAACGTATCCTTACATTTATCCAAATTAATACAAACTTAATTACTACAGTACAATTTGTGTTACTTTAAAGGCATGAAGGTCAATTTTATAATAGACAGAATTATTATTTGATTATATTTATAATATTTCAAATTAAGGAGTTCTAGAATATATGATAAGATAAAAATATATTCGAAACAAAATACATCACAAAAGATTGAAAACAAAAAATAAAATCAAGTTAGGAAAAATTAGGAATTTTGCCATTATAACGTGAGGTAAAATTAGGCATAATTTTTTTTTTTTATATTTAATAGCTTAAATACGCTTTTCTATAGGAATTTTGTGATGACAATATAAATGGACTAAAATTTGGCATAAAATAACCTACTTTTTATTCTTTTGATATCTAATAACTTAAACACATTTTTCTTACTAAATATTTGGCATTGATTGCCAATATTATGATAAGATTTTAAATTCAATACTTTTTACCTTATATAAATCTTACTTAAATTGTCATAAACAAAATAAATAATTAAAAATCTTAAAGAAAGAGGTTCATATTTTTTTAAAATAACTTTTTAACCTTGTTATATAACAACTAGTTTAGTGAATAGTTATTATGTGTTGAAAAGAGTCTGTAATGTCTATGGAACATTGGTTAAAGTTGATAACATAGTTATATACCAGCCTGCCATTCTTAAAATTGTCATTTCCCCATTAATAATATTTATTATGATAAGTATAATATGAAGCACACATATGGTGAAGTATTATAAAATAAATATTTTGGCCTGCACCTTTATTTTAGTTAGTGGTAATACATTATCATATTTTTCTTAGAGTGAAGACAATTGTGGCTATAGTATTCTATCATTTTAGTGGGGACAAATTTCCTAATAATTGATTCAAAGAGATATCATCATTTATAAATAAAAAATGTGGACAAGCAGCATGATAAGTGCTTGCCCATGATATGTTGGGGCAAGAGGACCATACAATCACTATTGCCTGCTATATAAAACAGTGATTTAACTTATCCACATTAATAACATTAAGAAGTTTGCCATGAGGGGTTTTTCATCTGGTGTTCAGTACCCACAAGTTCGACTGTTTTAGATTTGCACCGGCAGTTAGCACTCCCTACCAAAAATTTTCGAAACCGTACCTTTGGTTATGGTAGGAGCAGCTCATCCACTACACCACATTATTTGGTGGTGCCACTAGAAAAACTCTATAAACTTAGCTAGCTCTTCCATAAACTTCAAGATATGTTGGATCCAGAGAGGGACAATAATAACTCAAAAATGTCAGTTTGAACTCATTATGCTTGAGCCAAAATCTTGCTTATTATCATCTCACATATATGATTTTAAATGATTTGATGCTCATCAAAAGATCAATTTTATACAATCTGTACAAGATGAAATGGAAGAGGACAAAAGAGTGCCTCAAATGAAACTAGAATAACAATAGGCAAAGAAGAAAACAGCAGAAGAGGAAAAGGGAAATTCTGTTTAGAGACTTGTCAGCCTGCATTTCCCTTCTTCTCAATCTTGGACTACTATTTGCCACTAGATGGTAGGAGTTAGGATATGTGTATAAACTCTCTGAGTTTCCGAATACCCTAGCGTAAACCATCTCTCCTAACATTCCAACAACTGGATGAAAGACTCCCACTGATGTATTGTTTCCATGATTGAATGAAGGCGGCGATGAACTGTTGGGGTAACTGGCATAGGGATCATAGGCATTAGGATGTGGTGGTTGCTGAGAAGGATTAAAGGAATTTGACAAGGATAATGGACCGAAAGCAGATGGCCTGGGAGGCACTTTTAGAGTGAGCTTGTTTTCAGGCTCAGATTCAGGCAGTGTTTCCCCACGCCCGTAAAGAGGGACTAAATCTGTTTGGGAGATTTCAGCCTTGCAAACTGGACACTGAGGGCGTTCATCCGAAGACAGAGAGTCACTCTGAAACTGAAGCCACTTGTAAATGCATGGCCAACAATAGAGATGGCCACAAAGTGTAACAACCGGATCACGGGCAAAGTCCAAGCAGATGTTGCAATCGAAGCAGGCAGACGTCTTCTCTGAGTCTGATGATTCTGGGGTAGGGATCGATTTCCACTCGTTTGAATAATACTGCTCGACGGCCATGAGATTTGTTTCTGAGCACTTGTTCAACCCAAGGGTCTTTCCAAATCTGAAATCACAATCAATAGTTAGCAACAAGAAAAGTAAATTTAAATCAAAGTATTAAAGAATTGTAGAGCATTAGTAAGCAGGCTACTGCAATAAGAACAAAAAGGGTGGGAAGGAAGCTAGATAGTAGCTTCCACCCACCACGCAACAGAAGAGAACAAAAAGACAAAGCATGTGAATAAAAAAGACAAATTTTAAAAGATTAGTGAAGCTTCAAAGCAATCCATAGCAACCAAGGGAGATGGAGATCAGTTGGATCAGAAAAATGATATGCACTTTAGCTTGTTTCTTTCATAAAAATTATCAGCAAAAGACTTCTCAGAAAAAAGATCAAATAGCCTATTCTTCCACTGCATCAAATCAGTCCACTTAGAACTAAATTCCCAGAATTAGCTGGGCAAACTAATTGCATCAGTTTGACAAAAATGTCTCAATCTTGAATCTATCTTATAGTCAAAATCTTAATCCAAACTACACATATACCCCCTTAAACTCCTTTCCATTTTCCCCATCTACCCCCAATTCAAATGGTTGAAAAAACTACCAAACATGATCAATAGCAAAGATTCATTTTCAGGTATAACTAAAGAAACCCTCTTGTAATTCATAACCATAAGGTCAAGAAAATCCAAGAAATCATTTGTTTATGGTGGGTAGAAGGTGAAGACTTTAATACCAATAAAGATAATTTATAGTAGTACAATATGATCAAACACAAGAATTGATTAACAATAATACCATACAGATCAACAGAGAAAACCCCATCAAAGATCCAACCTTTATACACCACTAATCACCACAGAACAAGGTAAAATCAGTTTTAATATTCAAGAAAGAAGAGGAAGAGCTCAAATTCTTACCAATCAAGCAAAAGGGTTGAAAAAACAATCAAAGTTTCAGACTTTCAAGCTTCAAATGGAGAATCCCATGTGATTAAACAGAGGAAAAAGAGAAGAAAATTGGTTTCTTTAAAGAGGTAAACAAGAAGTGGCTGAGCTGAGAGGGAGGAAATGGTGAAGCAGTTTTTATAAGAAGAAATTTGGAACAATGGACTTTCTCCTTAGTAACCAATGCTACGTGGCTTGTTATGACTGGTCTCTCTCTGAGTATTTGATTCTTAATTGAATCTTCAATTTTCTACCTAATTACTACTATTTATTTTTCTTTTCATAACACCACCAAATTCGAGTACTTGTCACATCGATTAAGATCACTCCGTTTTAAACTAGGTTTAAAGTTTGAACAAAAAATTTCTATTAGGAATACCATCTTCGAAAATAGGCTTTGCAATGACTGAATCTGTATTAATAGAACTTCATGTATCGAACATCGAGTGAAAAGCAAAAAGGGTCAGTTTAGCTCCTTTTGAATGTGTTGTAAGGTATTTAGCGCATTAACTACTGCCTTTTCAAGAAATAAATTGCATTTATGTTATGTATCCGTATAAAACTCATATAATTAGTTCCTAGCGGTATGAGATTGACACATACATTGTTGATTATTGAAATATTAAGTAATCTAGAAATAACTTTGGACAAATTAAAAGAGAAAAATATTCTATATCTTTCGAGTATATTTAGGCCATGGACAAAGAAAATGTGTCTATTTCATGATGAGGATTAGTGACGAATGATGATAAAAATTGTGAGTGCTGCAAATATGTTTCGTTTAAAAATAAATAAAAACATAAATGTTCTGAAAATAGTATATAAGTAATATTCTGGGCGGAGAAAAGAAGGATCAATAATAATATCGATAGTTTTAACATGGTGTGAGCTAATTGATTAATTTATTGTTTCTAAATTGTCCTTTCAGTAATTTTTCTTGTTCTTTGTTCTGTAGAACAGAGGTTTTACAATTCTTGAAGTAGCTACAAACAATTTGCCGACTAGCAATCTTTAAATTAATCAAATTTTTTGGAACAAAGACAAACAAAATAACATCTCTCAGAAGGGAACAAAAATTGTCTTGTCAAAAAATAAAAAATCGTCTTAATGGCTCTTTGTTAATTACTTCTTATATTTTAATTTTGTTTGTTTGTTTGATTTTTCAATTGACATAAAGCTTATGAAAGTAAATATTTTTATTTGAATTTTATGATTTTATACTGAAAATATATAAATTGTATATCAAAATACTTTTTAATCTTTGTGATTTTAGATATGGCAGGTGAAAAATTAAAATTAAAAAGTTATCAAAAAAGGAAAGTGACATTCTTACTAAAATATATTTAAAAAAGAAAGTAAGACAAACAAATTGAAACGGGAAAAAAAATATTTTTTTTGGTTGCTTCTAGTTTGTATTTCCATTCCATCTAGAAGGTGGCATGTCATGGAATTAATTTCCTATACCATAACCATATATTAAATATGACATATACAAAGCTGGAAAATGAAAGGGGCTGAGTGGAAAAGTTGGTCCTACTACTAGAAAAAAAATATAGTAGTTGATGAAAATGTTGAGATACAAACACCATTCCGTTTAAAATATATATAATTTTCATGAATGAAAAGACACAAATCACACTCAAGAATGAGTGCTAAGGACACATGGTCCATTTTAATTTGTACATATTGTTATAATCTATTTTACCTAATTTTCAAAAAGTTAACTAAGAATGATTAACCTAAGAAGAGCAAAGTGCAAAAAGGTGAAGAATGGGCTAAGTATGTTGAGGCATTGTAGAATAATTTTTCCAATATTACTTTATCTTCTAGAAGTCCATTTATCTAATTAACTTACCTTATCTTCTAGAAGTCCATTTGTTTAATTAAACTTACTGTACTTAATCATGATCAAAGTCTCTTTTTTTTACATTAATTTAGCCATACACCTTTTCAATTAAAAGAGTGTATAATGTTATTTTTATGGATTATAGGAATGATTCTATATAAGGTAGAGGAAAAAGTTGTGAATAATTAAATTATACCAGCACCTTCCATCAATACATTATAACTCGTGACAATTTAATAAGTTATGTAGAAATTAGAATGAATGTTATCAAATCTTACTCGATTGTTACACTCTGTGACCAATTGATCAAAACATGCAATTTTTGCCTACATGATATAACTTATTATCAATTGAACAAGTTCATTGCGTCTGATTTATTGAAATATAGTAATTTATACAAAACTTCTGTCTTATTGGCAAAATTAATATATGCCCACAACTTATATCTGACAGACAACAAAAAATTATTTAGCGATTTTTTAAAAAAAAAAATTGTTAAACATGACCAAATATGCAAAACTATCGCTGAAGTAACAGTTTTTTTCGTTTTGGGCCTTTGATAAAAAAAAAAACTATTTTGGGCTTGTTTGATGGCCACTATGATCCATTAAGCCCAAATTCTTCTTTTTTTCACCGACATACCCGTTTGAACAACAAAAAGAAATTTCCCAATTTCCACATAAATTTGAGCAAATGCCCTAATACCCTAATAATTTTGGGGATTTCAATTTGAAATTCTGTTTTCAATTGTGCTCTCGTCATCTCCAGTGGAATCAACACTTTTGCAGGTTTCTCTTCAGAATTCTTTCTCTTTTACGATCCTAATTGCGATTGTGACAGCAGTAATTAATTAATTTATGTTTTCTGTGTTCTTGCATTTGCTTCTTTTTCTTCAATTCATTCATACTCCTGGCTGTTGATCATTTGATAACTGTGTTTCTAATTTTTTTTTTTTGTTGTTGATCGATAAACCCAATTCGCGTCTGTCCCACTTTGGACTTTGTATTCCTTAATAACTTATTTAAAAGAGGGAAGGTAACAAAGCTTCAGTAATGGCTTCCACACAATGTATATATAGGAAAAAAATAGATATAACTTTTAATCTTAATGAATTCTTTTATTTGATGATCATTTACAGTAAAAATAATAATTTTCCAGTGGATCATATGGGTTGTTTATATATTGGGTGCTTATTTTGGGAGCTGCATAGAAGAATGTATGTTCCAGCTATATAATGAGCTCCCTTTTTTATAGAATTGGAAAATTTTGAGCTAATTGTGTAGGCGGTTAAGTGGTGATAACTATTATAAGAACTATGGAAGTGCATTCTTTATGCGTTCAGTTTTCTATTTTCTTTTCGATGGTATTTGCGTGATGTATATATCTGATAATAATATATGATATGTTTGATTGATGGTATTTGCTAAGGATGGTAATGACACTTTGGCAGGTTGAGAGGTGGACGTTAGAATAAATAGAAAATGAACAACTCTTCTGCAGGGCCATCCTCAAAAGCTAGAGTAGGAGCATCACAACCTTCAGAAAGTTCACTTAAGAGGAAACGTGGCATGTTTCAGAAAGATTGTCAGTGACTCTTTACATAGATGTGATAATAATGTTAAGTCACTTCATCTTGTTTTATTTATTAATATTTCTTTTATTTATTACACAGTGCAACACATGATGTATGGTTTTGGAGATGATAGCAATGTAAGATGCCTCTTTGTTTTACTTTTTATCTCTTCATTGTTTTTCATCTGTGTATGTCCATGGTGTTTGTACTCGTTGATTGTTATGCGTATGGAAATACAGTGAATTATGCCATGCTGCTGTCACCTGGCTTTTTTTTTTCTCTGTACACATTGATAGTGGGAAAAGTTGCAGTTTGTATGGACCAGATTGAATATGGCCTTTGCTTGTTGCTTAATGTTTAACATCATTATAAAAATCACTCACTGGCTATGGGAAATACTTTAATCTTCTTTGATGATAGTACTAAGCTTGTGTCTAGGCTCTAGCAATAATGTCTGAAGGGACTTTTGGGAGGACCAAGGACCTGTGCTGATTCTAAGGAAAGAACAGAAATTCAGAGTTGGATTTTTGTAATGATGTTGTCTAGTTGTCTTTTAAAAGGAATAATCTTCTTTGCTGGAGTACAGTCCTTTTTCTTGTTTTACCACATCTTGCTTTCCCTGTTATACAAGGGAATAGAGCGCGGTCATAATGCATTAGTGACTCCATCATAGAACAGAGATAATTTTTCTGGAAGATTTTCTTATTGATATGTTCCCTTTTGCGGCTGTATTTATTGTTTCTAATTTAGTCAACTAATACTGGACTTGGGGATGGTTGATGGTTGATTACCTTATAGGTTATCACAAAGATGATGGCTGATTACCTTGTAAATATCAAAAGAATTGTCTGGAAGTTGCACTGATTTTGATTTTCTATGAGTTACTGGTATTATTTTGTCCCTTGATCTTTACTAAACTAATAGTGTTGCACTATCAGCCACTTCCAGAAACTGTGTCACTTGTGGAAGACATCGTGGTGGATTATGTCACTGATATGGTGAGTTGAACTTACAACTATCCAGTGCTATTCTTTCGAAGAGGTTTCAGAATGTACATCTTCCTGCATAAAGCTTTGCATTTTGCGCAATTTGTTTTCTATCAGTATTTGATTTAGAAGAAACATGCATATGGTCCTATCTTTTAAGCTCTTCAACTTGGGTAGGTGCACAAAGCTCAGGATATTGCAACCAAAAGGGGGAAGCTTTTGACCGAGGACTTTCTGTTCTTAATTAGAAAGGTCAGTCTTTTTGTGAATTCAACATGCATATATATAATATGTATGCATATCTGCTTCTGCAGCATTATGGTGAATATTTAGTTGAAAAATGTCCATCCCATTTTTGCTCAATAAGAGGTCTTGTGAGTTTTCTATATTATTTCAATTAAGAACATTAAGGAAACTATTAGGCCTGCCTATTAGTGGAACAAACTCATATACAAGTGTCCGGATAGCTAAGTGTAGTTGGACAGAAGCTGAGATTTGTAGTTTTGCTCATCTCAAGCTTAATTACTACTTTAAGGTTTTATTTGTTGCAATTATTTTGGCTTACCTCATGCGTGTTAGTACTGCTATCACACTGAATAATTGGTTTCATTATGATAGATCATAGTTTAGCGCATGTATCACCATTATAGAATTGTATCTGAAAATAGTTCCAATGGTAATTTCATGTTTGTTTGTGCCTGATAAACCTGAAACTCTTTTGGGACTAGTTTGATGTCTCCATGCCAACGAGAAATGCCGAGAATAGTTAGCTTCTTACTATGTTGATCATTAAAACAACAAATTACTCCATCTTTTGGTTGGGTAGAATTAGGCTGGGAGATTGTGGCGTTGCCTTGGCCTTCCATCTGTTTAGTGCCACGTGCCTCATTCTATTGTGTTGCTTACTGGTTTCTCTCGCTCTGATTTGAATATATTTCAACACGTCTCTAGTTGTCAAAAAGAGTATGGATGGTTGTTCTGAAAAATCAGTCCTGCTATGCTTTGCGTTGCCTCTACAAACTGGATATGATGTTACTGCAATTTTGCTTTATGAGCTTCTGAGTTTTGGATGTTGTGCAGGACTTGCCGAAACTTAACCGGTGTACAGAACTGCTGTCCATGAATGAGGAGCTGAAACAAGCTCGGAAGGCTTTCGAGGTCGATGAAGAGAAATTGGCTTCACATCAGTGAGGGGGAAGTGTGATCTTAGTTCAGAATGACAAATTGAGTGGCACCATAGGACCAGTATACAATTTACCAACACTGGAGTAAATAGCCTGCTTGTTCTCATTTTTCTCTAGCACAATAGATGTCGGAGTCACCTTGTAGCTGCGTTTTCTCTAGCACAATAGATCCTCAATGCTGAAATCAGTTTCTTAAGTGTTCTTTTGGTGCATTGAACGCCACCTGTGTGTAGTTTGACAGTTCTAAAGATCTGCACAAACTGATGGAATGAGTAGTAAGGTAACTCTGTGAAGTCACCCGATTAGATTGATTTTGATCTGTTTGCGATGCAAAAGATGGAAAGATCTTGTACGGCTTTTACCTGTTAAGATTCTGGTAAAGCTTTCACAAAATGCTTCATTTTGTATAAGGTATTTCCATTGGAAATTGAAAAAAAGATGGAATATCTCGTAACCAGAAGAGCACGTTAAAAATTTTATAGTTCAGTGGTTTCTTTGACCCCTTGCAAAACACCGCAACTTTCTTGGGCAAAGGTGGATCTAAGATTTAAACTCGGCCAGTGCAACATGCATAAGCTCTTTTTGACAGTGGACACTTGGGGAATTCAAATGCATTTAGATTAGACATCTCAAGTTTAAATTTCGATTAGATGTGCAATTCAAACAATTTCTTCTTTAACGTGTTTTACAATCACATTAATGAATACAATACATGTCAAATTAGCATTTTAATTTTGATGCATGAACCAAATGAAATGGCAAGCGTAACATTTATGTTTTCAAAAAAGTACGTAAAAGAAAAGTGCGATGAATATTTGTTTTATTCTTTTCATTACTTGTATTTGTCATATATTTCTGGTAAGTCGGATCTACATGAAATTCAACCATATTTCAATTGAAATTTGAAATATTGAATTGAATTAATTCAATTTAGCTTCGAGAGTTGGTCAAATTGACAAGTAAAAAAAATGTGACAAGTAAAAGTGAAGGACTAAAGTAACAAAAAGAATACTCGGTGAGTTATACTAAACTCGTTTAGCAAAAAGAATAACTCGCTGAGTTATACTAACTCGTTCATCAACCATCCACTCAGTTTCGCGCCAACAGAAATATAAATAGTCGTATCTGGTAGAACCCATTTTGAATTCTCAAAAGTTCCCTCCACTCTCTCACACACACACATACAAACGCTAATTCTCATAGTTCAATTTTCTAGAGAAAATGTCAGCGTCAAAATCAAGCGCAAGGAAAAGAGTTTCGGAGCCGCAAATACCAAAATCGGAGAGCAAAAGGCGAGTTAGCGCCGTCGAAGATGAATTCGATGCTGAGATCTCAGAGTACGCTTTCATTTACATTTTTTTTTGTTAATTTCTCAAAATTTAGTTCTGGAATTTAATGAGGTCGAATGAAATTGACAGTGATATCAAAGGGATTATGACGGCGTTAAAGCAGATAAGAGAGAAGGCACAACAAGACGGTCTGAAGAAGAAAGAAGAAACCATCTCTAGGTGCATGTCTGATTCCTGTTTTCCTTGATAATTGATTTATCGTGTACAGATATATCGAAGCTGTATAAATTTGTTTACGTTTAGTTAAATCATTGGAGAGCTGAGTCTCAGACCTAGAACCAAGCTCTGGTTTCTTCATTAACTTGTTTGTGCTGAAGTATTTGCTAAGGCAATATCACGTGTTTTTGCGATGTAATTCCTGTACTGATTGCTTTTTTCATTCAAGTTTGATGAATTTCCTCAGCTAGGAGGAACTAGATATTTGCTTCTTCGCACAGAATTGGCTAGTTTTTTCTGCAAGCGTTGTTCCATATTCTCTGGTTTGCAGTTTCTTCATTTTGCAACACTTGGACTAGCATATAGATCTAAATGACCTGGAATAGGATTTGCAATTTGCCATGAAAATTGTACAATGTTTTGATCAGGATCTCGCTTTTGATCAATATTGATGCATTCCAAGCTTCTTGTTGCCTTGTGCACAGTACTTCTGGCAGAACTTTTGATTTTAGGAAATGTATGTGGGAGTTGATTTTCTGGAGATTCCATATTATCTTAATTTGTTTTCTATGGAGGTTCCTTATTATACTAATGATTTGTAGGTTGTTTAAATGAGTTTTGTGCATTAACAAGTTTGTAGAATTGTTCTACGTTGCTTAAACATCTAAAAGTGATTCTAGTTGAGACTTGTTAAGGCACTCAAGCAGCTAATCTTTCAGTTCTGACAATAAACCGTTTGACTGATCTGGTGTATTGTGTAACATCTTAATGAGTAAGAAATACTTATTGTTCTCGAGTGAAATTGATAGTAATTAGGACAATCCCTGCATAATTGATACTAAGTGCATGAGAATGTAAGCCTGATGAGTTCGTCCTCTTTTGTTCCTGTGATATCAAGTCCACCACTTAATTTATGGAGTGAGCCGCTTAAATCAAAGAAATGGTTATTAACATTATTGCTTATTGTGGTCTGTGGTTAGCGTGACTTCAGAAGTCAAGTCAAAGATCGATGAGCTCAAAGTAAAACTTGAGAAAGACAGGTGAGAAATATGTGTTGCATAATATATGCTTAATGTAAATTTAACTGTTGCAAGTGGTAGCTTCTTGTTGATCTTCAGTTTTTTTGATCATTAGGCAAGGTTTTGCGAAGGCACTGTCCAAGAGCTCCAAAGAGGTCAGCCTCAATTAGATAAGTTAGCCATGATAGGGCGTTTAAAAGAATCTTACTACTCTTCAATATATTGCTTCTATGCAGTGTGAGAACTTACTAAAGAATGAAACTGCAAAGTTCCAATCGATTTATGAGAAGTTCAACAAGGAGAAAGCTACACATCTGCAGTCTCTCAGAGGTACTTTTTCTAATGCGAATTTTCCACACTAGTTGGACCTGTTTGTAGTCCGTACAGCATTTGGAACATTGTGTTTCTAGATTAACCACCTCTTATTCATTTCATGTTATCATTTTACAAAATTTTGCAATCTTTTACCGGGCAAAACTGAACACTGTTACAGAATTTCAACTAGACTTGAGCATTATACTTGCGATATGTTTTGAAGAGTCCTTCTTACAAACCCTGCTTGAAGAAAACATTTTAAAGCTAACCATCGTGATGGTATCTTCACAGATACTATATCCAAATATGAGGAGGAAAAGGAAAGACTATTCATGCGATATGAGCAACTAAGTGAGTTACAGGAACTATCTGTATTATATTTTTATTAAATGATAAGGATGCCTGTGACAGATTTTTATGACATTAATTCAGGGAAGAAAGAGAAGAGCATGATATCTGAACTTGAGCAAGACTCTAAAAAACGAATTTCTGAACTAGAGGAGTCGCTGAAGAAAAAGAAGCAGGTTAACTTCTTCGATGCACCATATCTCTGTCACACAGTGCATACATTCTCATACCGCCAAGTGAACCGTCCTTTTTTGCTTGACAGGATGATAAAGCATTCAGCTTTCTGAGAAAAACTCTAGGTTCATTTCTGGATAATGCCTCAGATGAGGACTTCCCACCTGATGATTGAAAGTCGCGAAGATGTATCTGCAGCTGAAAATGACAGTTTCTATCTCCTGATGATTGTAAGTCCCACATATGGCCTGTGGATGCTGCCACTAGCAATTAATTTGAATGTCTTATAGTAGTTTATATTAAGAAGTCTTCTTCCAAAGGTCAAGCGTATACTGATCAATAGCTTCTCTTAGTAGTTGCATTGGTAACTATCATTTGCTGCATTTTTAGTATTACTGCTACATCTTCTATTGTTGTTTTAACGTAGTAGGGCAGTCTAGTGTTGACTCTAAATACTGATTCGAGATGTAGTAAATAATATAGATGTTCTAATTCTTCCGCTGCTCAACTTCTGTTTTTCTTTCTTCCCAACAAAATATTGCAATAGGCAATGATTGTCGTTTTTTACAAATGTTTCTGTGTTGCGCATAGCTGCAAGTAGTGGTTAAACAGTAATCCAACTTGTGAGAGAATATTACTTGTGTAGAAACCACCTGATATTAACTTCAAAATAAATAGAAAAATCATTGTGCAATTAACTTCAAGATATAGAGATATCATTGCAGATTTAAGGAGTGCAATAAAGTCCTCGATCTTCACTCCTATAAATTGCACACTGGTTAACCGGGTTCCGAGCTCGATGAGGCGAAACTAAACTTCCAAAACTAGTGTCACCAACATTCAGAAATTTGACTCTATTCCATATTGAATTTTTAAATAGAAAAGGATTGTTCCAGATTTCTAATACGGTAAAGATTTTACAAAGCCAAGGGAAATGCCAAAGCCATGAAGCAAGCAGTACCCTGATGTCATCTAACTAGCCCAGAAGTTTCATATAAACAATGCATCTACATGATGGATTCCCCAAAATCAGATCAAGATAAGCAAGCTAATGAACTTGGTAGGAAGGATGTCTTCTTCGAGGCTGTTGCACTGACTGAGGTGGTCGTCGGTTGTGGGCCTGGATGTGCAGGAGAAAAGTTCAGATGTCTCAAAAGTCAAGATCGACAAAAAGGAGGGCAATTTAGGACGCGATTTAATTTCCAAAATCACAGAAAATATACATATAAATCATGCGTGTGTTGTGAAATTTCTAGCTTAAAATTTATACTACAAGTGCTGTCCGCAACATGTTAAAGGGCCATAATACATAGGACATCTCGCATATATCCCACCTTAACATGTGGTGCATGCTAACAAGTATAATAGGACTTAATGACATATCAGCTCCAGGCTAAGTTTTTCAAAAGAGAAATGCAGATACCCAAAAAAAAAATATCATATGATTAATTGACATGACTGCACAAGTATTTCTGAAGAAATGAAGTCCATACCCCAATTTTTGTCATGTGGCGACAAGAGGAACATCTAACTGATGGCGCCCCATACGCATACATGAGCAGCACTGCACAACCCCCACACTTAACTTGTCCAACCTCATGAGCTGCAGTGATAACAATCAGAACCATGTGAGTAAGCTCCCCATAGAAATGAGTCGACGGTTTTCAACCATCAAATTCTTCAGGATAGTTGTACGGATCCATGAAAACAAGAAAGTGAAGAAAATGTCTGTATCTTATTTCCTCTCTATCCAATTATGAGAGGTCTGGTATACCAGTTCACAATAGAAACAAAACTTACAGTATCAGAAGGAAAAATCAGAATGAAGGTGCACCACACGGTTATTTTACATCAGTTGTTACTAAGGTACTTAAACATATTGATAATTGGCAGGGCTCCGATTTACCAAAAGCGGATCCCTGAATAAAAAGCATGGAGAAAACTAACTGTTCATATTGTCAATTAGAAGTTATTGTATATGTTATCTTTTCAGCAAATTTGGCACGTGTCATGATTCAACAAAACTTATATAGGGGGCAACCTACCAACCTACCAATGATAAATTGAAATATCTTCACTAGAATATATCTGATTTTGTGACTAGAAGGGGAAAATGTCAAGGACTGTAAGAATCCATTTTAGTATAAAAGAGGAAGCAGAAACCTTCTAGCACAAGATTGACGGTCTGGCAGCATGAACACTTCACCAATTTAGCCCCTTGTGGATAAGAAAGTAACTGTCGGCAACCACCACATACCATCTGACCCATAACTGCATCATAACTTAATTACATAATGTGTTTTGTTCAAAGCATCTCATAAATAAACTGACTAAATTGGATGAGATGAACTATAAGTCTGTTATGCTCTGTGAAAAGAACTGACCGGAAGAAACTGTTGCAACATGTGATGAGGCTTGAGGCACTAAAGGTTTCATCGGTAGTAAATGCGACATTGGTTGCTTTTCACTTTGGGGCCTTTCCTCCTCATTCTTTGTGCCTTCTTGTTTGCGACCCAACTCCATTTCTGATTGGTGAACAGTTTCATCAGTATCCCCAAAAATGTCCACCGAAAAGCTATACATACTAAATGCACTAGTAGATCAAGAAACTCAAACGACACAATACAATTAAGTCAATCTTATCTTGAACTCCTTGGCATGAAACAGAGGTTCACTGCTCTACTACTCATTATATATACTTGTATGTTATTTTAAGGCATTGTAGTACAGTTTACCAGAAGAAGCAACTGATGATGACGACTGAGGTGGTGGTGTAGGTGGTGATGAATGTCCATTCATAGGAACGGATTCTGATCCCAGTGGATGTCCTTCCTTTTCAACATCACAGTCCTGGTTGCTCGCCATTTCAACGTCTACAAAAGCTAATGTTAGCTAGTTACAAAACTTTAAGGATACTGAATAAATAGAATTTGTCCACTACAAAATTAGCAACAAACCCAGATATAATTTCTTATATGGAATGGACATATCAGCAGCTGCTAGCCACTTTGCTATCTACATGCACAACATCGGAACAAAAAATCTATAGGTCAAACTTGTATATATGTTTGAAACATCAGGACTCAGGCAATTGAGTCAAATTGCTAACTCATAGGTTAAGGTTAGAAGGCAGAAATAGTCAAAGGTTGGCTCCAAAGGAACCAAATGTCAAATTTGATACCGCTAATCCAGACTTTTAAAGAGCTACAAGCCTTTAAGCTATGAACCCCTAAATATTTTTCTTAAAAACTTTGTTTAATTAATGAGAACCTCTCATGCTTTAATGCTTATAAATTTTGGCCATACCAGGAATACCTTAAATGCCAAATCCTCCAACAGCTAGAACTTTTTCCACATATTAACCCCTAATTTGTCTTAATAGACAATAATTGAATATTGGAATGAAATAGAGCCCATATAGAGCAGAATGGATATGGAGGACTCGTATAGACGACCCTACTAGTTGGGATTGAGCCACACTGTTGTTTGTATTGTCCACTGATTATTTTCATATTTTGAATATACTTAATCACTAGTCATTTCTACATGCTCAATGGAATTAATTTCTTCTCAGTTTGGCCTCCTTACACATCCCACCAGCAGTTTCAATCAACACAAAGACACAGGGTCATACCCACCTCTCTTACCATACTGATCAACAAGCATGAACTTACACTGAAGGTCTGTTACATAAACGAGGTTCGATTGGTAACTATATCAGAAAAACACAAGCTTGTGTCCATATGGCAAGTAATTGAGACTAGTGTATTTTAGCACATACCAATTGAACTTGTAAGCATGGACATTTCAAATCTGAGTAAAAAAAGGACTCACCAGCAAGAGGTGCTCCTTGTATCCCTGATGGTGGTGTAGATGTCTGTAGCGGCGGTAGTTGAGGGGTCAATTGCCATCCTTGCGGTGGACCATTATCTTCATCTTCAACGGCTTCCTCTTTCTTCTCCATTTCTATATCTGAAAGTCAGAAGGCTAATTCTGATGAACCAAATATAAAGAACTCACGCATCCCCAAATTCCTCATACTGGACAAAGTGACAACTAGATGAAGCCAACATCTAAGCACACATGAGGGCATCCATAACACAGAAGATACTAATGCTATCACAAGCCTTGCATAGAGTTACTTTCAATTGATTATATTAGTCGTTTGGCAAGAATTAGCTTTTATTATCTCTTGATTATTCTCTTATCTTGAATATAATAATTCATCACTTGTCTTTTTGACGTGTTCTATGGAATTAATTTCTTCGCAGTTTGGCCCACCTTAGTTTCAATCAACACAAAGACACTGGGGCATGTCATCTCTCATACCTTACTGATCAATAAGTATGAACTTACACTGAAGGTCTGTTACATAAACGAAGCCCAATTGGTATTGTGGACTAATTCAGAAACAATGAAAAAAACCCAAGTATGCATGTACATATGGCAAGTAAAAGATATTAGTGTATTTTAGCATATACCAATTGCACTTGTGAACATGGATACTCATCTGAGTGAAAAGGAAAGGACTCACCTTCAAGAGAAGCTCCTTGTGTCCTTGATGGTGGTGTAGATGTTTGTAGCGGGGGTAGTTTAGGGGTCAACTGCCATCTTGGCAGTGGACCATTATCTTCATTTTTAATGATTTCTTCTTTCTTCTCCATTTCTATATCTGAAAGTCAGAATGTTAAATCTTATGAACCAAACAAATAAAGAAGACTTATCCATCCCCAAGTTCCTCATAATCTTGCTCAACAACTAGATGAAAATATCATCTAAGCTCATTCATTTAAGAGCATCCTTAATACATAAGATACTAATGTGGGACCATAAGCCCTCCATACTAATACTTCCAATTGGCTAAATTAATTGCTTGGCAAGAATAAGCTAGTGAATTGCAAACCTTTAAGAGACATTACATAAGAACCAAAAAGCATATTATAGTAAGCTTATAGTATTTTTTTAAAAACTGGTAATGTTTATTATAGTAAGCTTATACTAATTTTCTTTTATGGAGTTATCCCCTTCTACAGTAACTCAACAGCGTAGTCTGAGTTAAAGCACATTGAAAACAAATAAGCAAGGAAAAACACCATCAGTATATAGTTAAGTAACATCATAGCAAATGTGACAACCAACAAGCACATAAGTGCAAAAGAAGCTACATAAATGGTAGTCAGTATGAATGAAGTTACAAGAGCCAAATAGTGGTCCCGCGTGATTATATCTTTAAAACAACAACACGCAGTGTAATCCCAGAAGTGGGGTCTAGGGAGGGTGATGTTACGCAGACCTTATCCCAACCTTGTGCAGGTGGAGAGGCTGCTTCTCATGGACCCTCGGCTCAAGTAAAGCATTTCAAAATGATTATCTCTTCAAAAGATGCAACATAAAAAATAAAAATAAAAACAAGAAAATTGAAAGAAGGTGTCACCAACAGTCTTAATGTTTCCACATGGTTCATGTTCATTGCCTTCCAAAATTACATCTACGCATAATTTGAAGAGTTAAGGTTCAAGAACCAATCTAGCATAGATCTGAAAGAAGGCCGACCACAATCTTTTAAGATTTGTTTACCACGAAAATAATAGGCATTAATCTAGTGGAGCTGACAATTCTATTTAAAAGCAATTCTAATGTTTTTACCTAAGTTGCTCGGACTCTTCACTTTTGGTGCCGCACCCGTGTCGACATGACATGGGTGTGGGTGTGGGATCCGTGTCCGTGTCCGATTTGGTCAACCAATTTTGGGTACTTTGATCAAAATCGATGGGGAAATTCTAGATAATTTTAATGATTTCTATAAACAATACTAAAGCTAAGGTGAAATTGAAGAAAATGGAATACCTTTTATATAGAAACTTTTATGTCACTCCTTTTCCTTAAATCTCCTTCCAGGATTCTCCTCAAGTTCTCCACATAATATCTAATAATTTAGGTTTTATAACTCTATTTTTAGATATTTTAATTATTTTTAGGTGAATCCCCAACCCGTATCCATACATGGATCCATATCCCGGAATCTTAAAAATTAGATCATGAAAGATCCGACCTCTAGATCCGCACCCGTATCGGACACCCACACCCCAGTCCGAGCAACTTATGTTTTTACTACTCTATTTCAAAAACTTTTGCAGGCTCAGAAAATATCTCTGTCACTGTATCAGATACAATAGGAAGATGTGACCTGGAAAAATAGGCAAAGAAAGATGGGTGTTTTGTTTGTGTGCAAGGGGGAAAAGAGAGGGAGCCAGCAAGAGAGGGGACAGAGAAGAAAGTAATTTGACGGTAAAGTTAACGACTTACCACAAGTAACTGCTTCTATTGTTGGCGGTGAAGAAGGCAATTTTTTCTGTGGGATTACAGTGTTCCACCCAGGTGGCGGACCATCTTCATCATCTTCCGATTCGTGTTCTTTGCTCCCCATCTCTACATCAGTAGTCTGTTCACGAGTTACCTTTGTGTATATGTAGAATCAAATAGATTTGTATTCACTATGCAAAACACTTCTTCATTAACTATTTCCTCTTCTTTTTTTTCCTTTCAATGTTTTAATGATATATATATATATATATTGCTATAGCCTCAAGTTCTAAGAAATTTCCAACTCTTGAGGGCAATCAAATTCACAAGCACAAAACAGGTAATCCATAAAAGCCAATAAAGATCAAATTCAACAATATAGATAGTCTTCAAATAAATCAAAGACAAATTCCCACAAAATTAATAACATAACTTCTAGGAAAATCTTAATGTTCTTTTCATGATTGACAAGTACTCATATGGCATCAAGACTCAACCTTTCACTAATTTCCCATCTTTTGACCTATGAATGTACCTCTTTACATACATAAACTAAAAGGGGGACAGCACTGAAACTGAATTTCATCAACATAATACATATAAATCAATACAGATGACTCAAGAGAAAAAAAAAATTAAATTGACACCCATTTTAGTGTTTTATGATTAATCTCACCTGGAGATTGTGTTGCTGAGGAATTGATGGCCAACCTGGAGGTGGTCCTTCATCATCATCTTCATCTATGACGACATTGGTGTTTTGCGATGGTACAGCTAAAGAGTCGAAACCAGGTGGTGGACCCTCTTCTTCTTCTTCATCATCTACTTGCTGATTTTCGATGTTGCTCAACTTTTCTTCCATTTTTTTTTTTTTTGCTCTTACAGCGATTTGGGTTTAGGGATTTAGCACTAATTTACATCTGATGAATATAGGTTTTTACAGAGTACTACTTTTTTTGGTAGAAAACTCAAGTGCTTAAATACATACTTGACTTGACATTTTATAAACCAGGATCAAAACTACCCTTCAACTATTCGAAATATATTTTTCAGCTTAAAATACTCTTCTTGTGTTACTATAGGACCAGACTTACCCTTCTGTTTAACGGAAGAGTTATGTGGCCTTTCATGTGTGTATTAATATGCCACATAGTCCTCCACATGTGCACGTCCACCCGACCCACCTCCACATAGACGTTTTATGAGCCCTAATTTCATCATTTTCTTAAAAAAGACCCACGGAAGATTCCTTTCACCAATAAAAAAGTTTAGATGTCATTTTTCCTTGCTTGTCAATCATCCTTCTTATTTATGAACACTAGTTGCCTCATTTAGTGCCATGCTTTTGTTTACTTTTCTATTTTTTGCTCGTCTTTAGATAAGTTGAAGCAAAGAATTCATTACGCACAAAGAAAGTTAATAAAGAGGCAGGGTCCAACCAAATTGCAGCCAAGACTTTTATATTTCGTGATTTAGCAACTACAACAAAAAATTTCCGAGGTGATTATCTTCTTGAAGAAGGAAGCTTTGATAGAGTTTACAATGGGTGATCGAGTCCAATCAGGTCAATTCTCATCAACTCTTTTTGTTTTTTTGCTAATAATGGAATGTAACAAAGAAATCTATCAGATTCTGTTGCACACATTATTCTCTAAATAATGTTGTTGCATAAATCTTCAGAGTGAAATTAGGTCTGGCGAAAGGAAGCTTCTTTAGGTCTTTTTTAAGAAAAGGATGAAATGTGGGAAAATGGTGAAATTAGGGCTCTTAGAACGTCTATGTGGAGGTGGGTGGGGGTGAGCGTGCACAAGTGGAGGTCTATGTGGCATATTAATACACACATGGGATACCACATGCTCTTCCGTTAAATAAAAGGTAAGTCTGGTCCAATAGTAAGACGGAAAGGGTACTTTGAGCCGAAAGACATACTTAATCTATTTCGAATAGTTAAAGGGTGGTTTTGACCCTTTCCATTTTATAAAATCAAGCTATTATTAATTATTTTTATATTATTTTTGTTTTAGTATTAAATATTTTTTAAATGAAATTAGTTTAGCGTTATTCATAAATAAAGTATAATTTCTTGGGGAGAGATACAGAATAAATTCGTAGTAAATAGTAGTATTTTTCATTTATAACTCTTAATGAATATACAAAGGAAAAGTGTGTCAACTAATATAAAACCAACGACGTAGTTGTTCTGTTAATAGATTATTTAAAAAAGATAAGGAGAATGGGATTAAGCTCCATTTTGTAATCAATACTTGTAATTATACGACATCCCAATCCATTTTAACTTTGCTTGTTTCCCATTTTCTATTTTTCATTCTTGATTCATGGTTTTATCACATGTGTTCACTGTTCATACATGTAAACTAGAAATACATTCATGTGCAATAGTCATAACATCTCTGGACTCTAATTACAGGATTTAGTAAAGCAAAAACAGTTGCACTCATTTTTCATTGTCAAAACTGAAAAGCTTCAACTCATTCAATTTGATGCAAGACTAACGAAGAGCCTCTTATACATGAAAAGCAGGAGTTTTTCGAAGAGAAACTTCAGATATAAATATTACTTATATTTTACATGTGAGAATTACTCCATCCTTGAAACCACAGTACCTGCTGGGCTCATAAGGATGTTGTTCTCACTAGATACTACAACCATTCTAAAACCAATAAGTAGTAGTCGATCCACATATTGTGGATGAAAAACTGACTACTGGTAAAGTAAAACCTTTCAATCTATAAAATAGGCAACTTTTTTCTCGGAATGGACTAAATTAATCAAGCTGCTTTCTTCTTTTGATCTTTGGCTAGCTTGACATCCTTTGTAAGCATTCTTGGAGCTATAGCCATAGCCATTAGCTCCTGGAAAAGCAATTTGCATGCATAGGGAATGTGAACCTGCACCAACAGAGGCGACCGTGAGTTTTAAGACCACAACAGAAAAGAACGACTATTTGACATGTGTGGTGTAAACTGTAAAGAGCAGAGCATCCCTGAGCCAGTCCAGTGTACATGTGATGTGTTGTGGGTGCGCAAAAGTAGGAGCAGAGAGAAAATGATTACCTGGACGATATCAGTTTTGTTCTTGCAACCTCTGCATTCGAAAGAATTCTTCTTGAGGTTGGCAATGGCTATCAGCCCACAGCGCTCACAAACGTGAACTCTGTATGCATCGCTTTGGTCAAATAACCGCTCCTTGAGAAAATGAGCAGCACCGTGAGCAATCATACAATCTCGCTCCATCTCTCCAAAACGAAGACCACCATCACGTGACCGACCTTCCGCAGGCTGCCTTGTGAGGATTTGCACAGGGCCTCTGCCTCTAGAATGAATCTTGTCATCAACCATATGCTTCAGGCGCTGGTAGTACGTGGGACCAAGGAATATCATTGCACTAAGCCGCCGCCCAGTATGACCATTGTACATGGTCTCAAAACCACGCATCTGGTAACCACATTTATGCAGAGCTTTGCTGATGTTATCGACAGTAACATCTGTAAAGGGAGTGGCATCACCTTCTTTTCCCATGTGTGCAGCAACCTTCCCCATAATACATTCAATCAGCTGACCAATAGTCATTCGAGAAGGAATAGCATGAGGATTCACAATAATATCAGGACTAATGCCTTCCACGGTCCATGGCATATCTTCTTGTGTATATGTCATGCCGACTGTTCCCTTCTGACCATGTCTACTGCTAAACTTGTCCCCAATTTGAGGAATACGGACTGATCTGACCCTCACTTTAACAAATCTGAGCCCGTCAGCATTTGTTGTTAATAGAACCTGATCCACCATTCCAGTTTCACTATGGCGAAGACTGGTACTGTGATCTTTCCTCGTATAGCGAGAGGCTTGCCCTTGCGCATCATCCTGAGAAATGGGAGTTGTCTTCCCAATGATAACATCCTCACCAGAAACTCTAGTTCCTGGAGGGGCAAGACCATCGTCATCCAACTTATCGTACGAACCATGGCGCATACCCATAGTAGTAGCTCTATCAGGACGTCCAAAGTCCTCCTTGACCAATGTCCCCATCTTTTTCTCCTCGTCCCTGTACGAACGGAAAAATAGAGATCGGAAAAACCCACGATCAATCGATGACTGATTCATAATGACAGAATCCTCTTGATTGTATCCAGAATAGCAGGAGATGGCGACAATTGCGTTGATGCCCGCAGGTAGTTGCCTAAAATGCAAGTGTTCCATGGCTCGTGTTGTGACAAGAGGCTTCTGAGGATAATAAAGCACATAGGCCAATGTGTCCTGCCAGAAGAAAATAAAATTGTCACCTTGTCATATTGAAACAAAAACCTCCCAAATATTATGGAGAGAAATAAGTAGCTACCTACCATCCGAAATTGGTAGTTGGTGACATAAATCCCCATGGCTTGCTTACCCATAGCTGACTGATAAGTATTACGGGGAGACTGATAAAACATCAAATAAGCACATTAGATTAGAAGATCAGAGGCAACTTTGACAAGAGAAGTCACAACCAAAACATGACTCACCTGATTATGATCAGGAAACGGAATAATTGATGCACAGACACCCAATATTAGTGATGGGTGAATTTCGCAATGAGTATAGGTATCAGAATAAGCGTCGCCAGGATTAAGGCGTGCTTGCACAAGATCCTGGAAACATTAACATATGGTGTCAGTATCTCAGCATAATCAGCAGAAACTGTTAGAATAGGAAGACCTCTGTTGACTTCTCACATTTATAGTCATGCTAATCATCGTTGTCTCTTCCTCTTCAGTGTCAATATACTCAATGTATCCCTTAGCCACCAAATCGTGCCAGCCACCCTCGTCAGGTGATTCCTGAAAAAAGAACACTGAATATGTAAGTACCTGAAGCAGAGAGAAGTTCAAACTTCCAAGCTAACTTGAGTGTGATCGAAGCAACAAAAGATAGCAATGAAGGGGGCAAGAGAGCCATTAGCATACCCGTTGTTGCAATGTTTGAATATCCTTCTTCTTGATCATCAGCCTTTGCTTTTCCACAATAAACAATGGACGACTGCACCTGCCATAGTCGGTATAAATTCGAAGTTCTTTCAAACGGATATCACGGACCACCCCAACCTCAGTATTGACGTCAACCTGCATAAATCAGAAACATGGGCACTTACGCAAAAAAAAAAAACCCCAAAGAAAATGTAGTGATAATATTTACAAGACCATGAGTGTTTAAAGAGGGTACTTAGGGGGTGAGACCAGAGAACTCAGTAGAAGCAATTAGATAGTGTCAGTTTGTAAGGAAGAGTAGCCGCGAGTAGTACATTTCCAAGATCTCTGTTATATCAAAATACATACTTCCAACTCATATGTTTAAAATGGTTGGCCGGGAGCATTGCAATAATGTAAAAAAAATAATCAAAGGTATGTATAACTGACATCATATGGATGTTTTCTAGATTACTATGTAATTATTTTTTTATCAAGAAATTACAATGTAATTATAACACCCTCCGCTATATGCTTTGTACTGCACAAGTAGTGTCATCCACTCAAAATTAGTGTAGATTGTTTCTTACCCGTCTCCTAAGTCGTCTCAATGTTCTCACCAACATGTCAGGATCACGATGAATTCCCACCCAGGTACCATTGACAAAGATCTTTGTAGCCTGTGGAATAACTGCAGGAGAAATTTCCTAGATTTACAGAAAAAGCAATGGTGAGCAAGGAAAGATCATATCATCATCACACTTAAAATAGTAAAGAAAATACAGCATAATTAAGCTGAACCACAAACATCCTGACACACTGAGATCTTGCTCACCTCAAAGTTCTCAGTACCCCACTCTTCCAAAAACTCCAAAATTGGATATGCCGCTGAACCAACTGTTATATAAACCATTAAAGCTAGATTCTTCACCAGCCCACATGCCTAATAAGATCACAAGGATGAATCAGTCTCCGAAGAATCTTATTCCTATTTGCATTATACAGGTTTTTATTTGGGGTGGTAGAAAGGGAGGGGCTAATCTAGCCACATCCTGGCATAACAGAACCTCCACAGGAGAGCAGTTACTTACTTGGCCCTCTGGTGTTTCTGCAGGACACATCATTCCCCACTGTGAATTATGCAATTGCCTTGGTTTGGCCAGTTTCCCTGGTAAACAAACATATAAAATCTAAGTAACAAAGAAAAAAATAAAAGGAAGCTGAACTTGTAATAACTAACTAAAAAAAAAATTGACAGGAGTAAGATCCCATGTAAATGAATATAGAGGAATGGGTAGAGTGGGGCAGTGGGCTCTCTGTTTACCACCAACCCACAACTCAACACTTGATTCTTTCCAAATAAACCCACTACTGCTCCCAAGTTTCTTACACCCCTATTGTAACTTCTCCATTTGCTTTGGTGTGTTCTTTGAAAGATTAATAGGACGTGATTTAGCAAAACCCCCTACTAGCATGAGATTAGGTCACAAATTATTGATCCAGAGGAAGCGAGTTACATCAAAATACTATCAGAAAGTAGAACTAGAACCACATATTTCATAGGCAAAACAGTGGTATAGAGAAAAAGTCAATAACCTTCTCGTCCAATAGGGGAATTCAACCGTCGCAAGTGAGACAAAGTAGAGGCATAAGTCAGACGATTCAGCACCTGGGGCATATCAACAAACAAAATTATTTATCGAGGAGAAGGTCGATCAAATAATGTTGTCAACCAACTGAATAATTAGCTGACCTGCGAAACACCAGCCCTTGTACCCGCTGCATTAGCTTGCCCCCAGTTTCCAGTAGCAAGAGAGTATTTCAGCCCACTGGTAATGGTCTTAGCTTTGATTGCAAATTGGAGATTTACATCTTTTCCATTGTCAACACACTGAAGGACCCACAAACAATAAGAACAGTCGGCACAAAGAAAATATTCACCCAATGACGCCGTAATCAAAAGGTCTGTGCATTTACCTTTTGCACATAGCCTCTAACATCCCTTGTCAACTTTCTAAAGAGCTGCATCGAAAGACGGAACCCAAGAAACAGAGATAAGAAACGATGTACATAACAGTGTAAACCAAATTATAAATAAGAACAAACCTACCATCCGAAACAGCCCACCAAGCAAAGGACCAGCAAGATCCAGTCTCTTATTTCCATAATGATCCCTATCATCCTCAGCCCTTCGGCCAAGCGCACATAACAAAAGCCGGTGGATGATATACCTGAAATGAGTAGGTTCAAGATCCTGAGAAACACTTCCACTACTAACTAAAAAGGGGGAAAATCACTAATGCATCATTTCTTTAAAAATATGGCTACACAGAAAAAGGATGGCCTACCCAAAATAATAAGCTTTCTTGGTTTCACAATACTCTCCAACCCCAACATGAGGAAGCATTTCTTTCTGAAGAATCTCTTTGGCATACCTACAAAAATTGATTGGGAGCATTTAGTCTCATGCTTCAAAAAGTCAGAAGAACAGTTAGAAGTTTAGGCACCTTCAGTATACATACTTAATCCTTTTTTCCCTTGTAACACCAACTGTAGCCCCTCTTTTCCCGATGTAGTCAAGAGCAACCTAACAATATCACATAATAAAGGAACGAACTCAAACAACAATAGGTAGAATCGAAATAGCCCATCGTCATATAAGCTTTCTATTTTAGCAGCAACATCATCAAAAAAATGAAAGAGCTTGGACAGGTCAATGGAAGAACCACGAGCACCAATAGAAGTACCTGTTGGTTTTGAATAACAAAAGCTTCTTCCAACGACGGACGTAACAACTCCATCATTTGAGTATCATTGAAATCATAACAGATATGTTCCAATATATCCTTATCAGCAACAAAACCTAGAGCTCGAAACACGATGATAATAGGAATCTCTGTACGGATATATGGAAGTGTCGCTCGAATGTATTGGCCCGAGGAACCCTGAAGCATTAAAAGCAACAGAGAACAGTTACATATATAAGTTTAATCAATTGAAACAAACAACAACTAAAGAGGAATGAAATTGCTTGTCTCAGGCAATGCCAATTACCCCTTTTGCGCTAGTCCTTGAGAGCATCCTCACGAACATAGTACTTGGCGGGCGGTTTTGAGATTCTGCCATTGACCTGACTTCCGCAACGAAGGCATATTTGTTAGGTTGCCTCTTCTTAAAGACATACACATGGTTCGTGCTCATCTTCTCCTGAGCAATTAAGACCTTTTCACTTCCATTTATAATGAAATACCCGCCTTGATCTAATGGACATTCTCCAAGCTCTGTTAGATCTTTCTCAGAATTTTGATATAATGTGCAGTAACTTGACCGCAGCATTATAGGAACCTGCAAGTGAAGATGAAACCAAGTTTAATCATCAATAACAATTTCACAAAACCTCTCAGCATTTCAAATATGGATCCAAAACTACAGTTTATTCACCTTTCCAATAAAGACTTTTGTGAAGTCCTGAGTTTCAGTAACTTCTTCACCATCATGTCCTTTCTTGATGACTCGTTTCGTGACATCCACATACAAAGGAGCAGAATATGTCAGATTCCTCAACCTTGCAGCCTTTGGAAATAGGGTAGCAGTTTCACCATCTGACTCTGTCATCATTGGCTTACTCAAATAAATCTGACCAAAATTGATTTTATAGATAGTCTGCACAAAAAGAATGATTAATAAAGTCAAAACTGTAGTCTTTGTATAAAACTTTTGCCATAAGAGACAGAACTATGCATGGCATGAACAGACTTATTTGTTTACTAGCAGAAGATATATTGCGTTTAGGTCAAAAATCACAACTTTCACCACCATGGTTTGCAATTAGCTAGTACAGGCTGTACCCTATCTCAACCAGGAAAGTATTCACTCAGTATCAAAAAGCCCAGAGTTAATGAACCACATCTGACTAAGCTCAATAAGCTTCATTAGATAATGTTTAACGATTCTGTTGTCAAATAGAATTTAACCTGGGTAAAACATAACATCAGATATGTTGGACAAATTGCCACATCAAATACTTGTCCAGAATTGTTAGAAAGAATGCACTAGTTCATACCACAAAATTCAACTGCAACTAGCCTCACCAACATAAATCACAGAGTTCAAATTTAATACCACAATCAACCTTGATAAAGACTTTAACTTCCTGCAAAATAAGTGCAGTCCTATGTCTAAATTGTTTCAACAAACCCCCAAAACCACTAATGCCTTATAGAGCTGAACCAACACTTTCATAATCCATCCGACCATGTTCTTCTACTTCATTTTCATTAACCCAACTATTTTTCATGTTTTTTCATAGAATGGTTAGTTCTCTAACTACCTAGTATATCTTTTTTCCAATTTCGATCAGTTAGTTCAACAAATACTTCCTCCAAGAAAACCCTAACAAAAACCTAACGCCTAATTGAACTGAACCAACAGACAATTCCAGTAAACATAAATCGCCAATCCAAAACAAAACAACACAAACCCTCTCTCCTCACAGACTACTTCCACTCCCATCACTCTAAACCCCTGTATTACTCAGTTTCAAAATTGTTCAAAGAATTCCCAAATTCAAATACGGACCTCAGCAAAGTCAGATTGGTGACCAGGGTTATGCTGGGACTCAGGTCGGATCTCTATATCAGCAGATTCATCAACAATTTCTTGCATCGTGTTCTGAATAAACTCATCAAACGAATCTAGTTGTTGACGAACAAGACCCTTCTCTTCAAAGTAAGCACTAATCACAGCCCAAGCATCTTCTTGGGTTATCTCCTCTTCATCATCGTCAACATTGTATTGGGGTTCATATTCATCCTCCAAATCCATCCTGATTCAACAATTCTTTCTCCCTTTTTCAGTTCAAAAATTGAGTCTTTTTTCTTGTTTTTAACAGTTCAAATGGAATCAAGATTCCGAGAGAATCGGAACCCAGATCCTGTCTGCTTTGTTTTAGTAAGATAAATACCGGTTCAACTGATGTTCTCTCTGAGTCCAAAGGGAGAAGAAGAGAAGAACGGAGAGGCAAGAATGTGAAGAATGAGAGGAAGCAGTGCTTTTATATTATTTTTTAGTCCTTAGAGGAGAAATAGGTCAAACCGTAATAAGGGAGGCGGTTCTTTTTTTGGTATTTTTTTTTTTCTTTTCTCTTTATTTTATCCGAAATAAAAACGTTTTTGAGAGAAGTCAATTTTCTGAAACTCGTCAGGATATTTTTACTTAGTTAAAATGTGGGAAGAAGGTTAATTATTGGGGAAAAGAATTACCTTTCGTTTCATTTCATTATTCAAATTTGAAAAGTCATTATTATCTGACTGTTCGAAAATATGTTTTTTCTTTAACGGTCATATGTCATACAAAAAAATATCGGTAGTTTTTTCACGTGTTGTGTTATGTGAGAATTTGTTAGAAATACAATTATTATTTTTTATGATAAGAAGGTTAATTATTGGGGAAAAATTAAATTTAACTTTTTTTTATTATTCTAATTTGAAAAGTCGTTATTATCTTAAGGTTCGAAAATATTTTCCTTCTCTAACGGTCATTTGTGGTGGAAAAAAGATGGCGGTAGTTTTTTTCGCGTGGCGTGCTATGTGAGAATTTGTTAGAAATACAATTATTATTTTTTACAGGAAGAAGGTTAATTATTGAAAAAAATTACCTTTTTTTTATTATTCAAATTTGAAAAGTCGTTATTATCTGAAGGTTCGACAATATACTTCTTCTCTAACGGTCATCTGACGTGGAAAAAAATGTCAGTAAGTTTTTCACGTGGTGTGTTGTGTGAGAATTTGTTAGAAATACCATTTTTTTATGGTAAGAAGGTTAATTATTGGGGAAAAAAATTAAATTTACCTTTTTTTTATTATTCAAATTTGAAAAGTCGTTATTATCTGAACGTTCGAAAATATCTTTCTTCTCTAACGGTCATCTGTTGTGGAAAAAAATGTCGGAAATTATTCCACGTGGTGTGTTCTATGAGAATTTGCTAGAACTACAATTATTATTTTTTACGGGAAGAAGGTTAATTATTGAAAGAAAAAAACTACCTTTTTTTTTATTATTTAAATTGGAAAAGTTGTTATTATCTGAAGGTTCGAAAATACCCTTCTTCTCTAATGGTCATCTGATATGGAAAAAATTATCGGTAAATTTTTCACTTGGTGTGCTATGTGAGAATTTGTTAGAAATACAATTATTATTTTTTATGGGAAAAAGGTTAATTATTAGGGGAAAAAATTAAATTTACCTTTTTTTTACTATTCAAATTTAAAAAGTCATTATTATCTGAAGGTTCGAAAATATCTTTCTTCTCTAACGGTCATCTGTTGTGAAAAAAAATGTTGGTAATTTTTCCACGTGGTGTGCTATGTGAGAATTTGTTAGAAATACAATTATTATATTTTACAGGAAGAAGGTTAATTATTAGGGAAAAAAATTAATTTACCATTTTTTTATTATTCAAATTTGAAAAGTCGTTATTATCTGAAGGTTTGAAAATATCTTTCTTCTCTAACGGTCATCTGTCGTAGCAAAAGATGTCAGTAATTATTCCACGTGGTGTGTTGTGTGAGAATTTGCTAGAGATACAATTATTATTTTTTATGGGAAGAAGGTTAATTATTAAAAAGAAAATTACCTTTTTATTATTATTCAAATTGAAAAAGTTGTTATTATTTGGAGGTTTGAAGATACCCTTCTTCTCTAAAGATCATCTGACGTGGAAAAAAAATATCGGTAATATTTTCATGTGGTGTAATATGTGAGAATTTATTAGAAATACAATTATAGATTTTATGGGAAGAAGGTTAATTATTGGGGAAAAAATTAAATTTACCTTTTTTTAATTATTCAAATTTGAAAAGTCGTTATTATCTGAACGTTCGAAAATATCTTTCTTCTTTAACGGTCATCTATTAAGGAAAAAGATATTGGTAATTATTCCACGTGGTGTATTGTGTGAGAATTAGCTAGAACTACAATTATTATTTTTTATGGGAAGAAGGTTAATTATTAGAAAAAAAATTACCTTTTTTTATTATTCAAATTGGAAAGTTGTTATTGTCTGGAGGTTCGAAAATACCCTTCTTCTCTTACGATCATCTGACGTGGAAATGTCGGTAATTTTTTCACGTGGTGTGCTATATGAGAATTTGTTAGAAATACAATTATTATTTTTTACAGGAAGAAGGTTAATTATTGGGGGAAAAAAATTAAATTTACCTTTTTTTAATTATTCAAATTTGAAAAGTCGTTATTATCTGAGGGTTCGAAAATATCTTTCTTATCTAAAGGTCATCTGTCATGGAAAAAGATGACGGTAATTTTTTCACGTGGTGTGTTGTGTGAGAATTTGCTAGAAATATGATTATCATTTTTTATGGGAAGAAGGTTAATTATTGAAAAAAAAATTACCTTTTTATTATTATTCAAATTGGAAAAGTTGTTATTATCTGAAAGTTTGAAAATACCCTTCTTCTCTAACGGTCATCTGACGTGGAAAAAAATATCGATATTTTTTCACGTGGTGTGCTATGTGAGAATTTATTAGAAATACAATTATTATTTTTTACGGGAAGAAGGTTAATTATTGGGGAAAAAATACCTTTTGTTTTATTATTCTTATTTGAAAAGTTGTTATTATCTCAATGTTCAAAAATGCAGTTCTTCCCTAATGGTCATCTGACATGAGAAAAAATATCGATATTTTTTTCACGTGATATGCTATGTGAGAATTTGTCAGAAATGTAATTTATTATTTTTTCTTTAAAAATGCTTATGATTGCTAAGCTTAACTATTTGACTTGATATTTCTTTTTGGTGTGCGATCTAATAGATATACTATTTAATTTGGAGCAATTTTATGACTCTACTGTTTCATTTAGAATATTTTTGTCCCTCAAATATTTGAAATGAAGATAATACTAAACCATTTTTTTCTCCATATATGCAATAGGAAAGTACCACATTCAATTTATGAGTTATCATTTTATAGTTATTGAACAATATTGAAATTAAAAAATTAAAAAATACTTAATGAAAACATAAACAATACTGAAATGTTAGTTCTTACTAAATACTTTACAAAACTTGATTGGGATAAGTCAATCTTCTATAATTCGTTATGATATCTCTACTAGTTAAAACGAAGGAAGAGAGTCAAATAAATCTCTTAATTATTGAAAAATAATAATTAAATTTCCTTTTGTTATATTATTCAAATTAAAAAGTCGTTGTCATTTTTTGAAGGTTCAAAAACATCCCTCTCTTTTAACGGTTATCTAACATGGAAAAAGTTTCGGTAATTTTTTCACATGGTGTACCATGTGAAAACTTATTAGAAACGCAATTATCTTCTTTACCTTAAAGCTACTTAAGATTGTTATACTTAACTATTCGACTTGATGTTTCTATTTGCGGTGCAATCTAACCGCAATATTATTTTATTTGGAGCAATTTTACCACTATACTATTTATAATAGAACATTTTTTATATCCCTTGAAAAGTCGTTGTCATTATCTGAAGGTTAACAATTATCCCTCTCTTCTAACAGTCACCTGATATAAAAGAAGATTTTGACATTTTTCCATGTGGTGTGCCACGTGAAAACTTGTTAGAAACACAATTATATTTTCTTATTTGAGGTGCAATTTTAACCGCTACATTATTTATCCCTCGATCTCCCAGTGATAATTTTAAGATGAGTTGAAGATAATATCATATTATTTTTTCTTAATATATGCCACAGAAAAGTACCTCATTCAATTTATGAGTTACCATTTTATAGTTATTGCATTTTAAAACAAACAAAAAGTTGCCAAATAGATTACTTTTTATTTCAAAAGCCAAAATATGCAAATTTAATATTTTAAATTTGAAAATATTTATGAACGAATCAAATTTTTAAAAGTTAAACAATAAGTCAAACTCAATTTCAAAACAATATAGTTAAGTCACAAAGAAGAACCTTAATATTGTAAGTATCGAAGAAGCTCGAAAAAAAAAAATATCTACCCAAAATGATACAATAATTTTGATGAATGATATCAAACTTATTTTTATATACAGTGAGAAAAAAATAAACGAATAAAAAATATACTTAATAATTATATTAACAAAAATAACTTTTATATTTTTTCCAAAAGAAATCAAAACAGAAAATTGCTTACAAAACAAATGCTAAAACTTTACACCCAAATACTGTGAAGTGCTTTAGCAACAAGGAAGACGGGCTTAATGGGCCTTTCCAGTTTGCATTTGTTTCCAATTGGGCTTTTGTGTATCTCAGATTGGGCCAAGGGTTCACTTTCAAATAATCAAATTTCAATTTGGATCAACTATCATGTGTACTACGAGGGTCGCATTTTTGTCCCTATTTTGTGTATGTCGTTAATTTTTGTCCATCAAGAGTTAAAATAATTATTTATTTGCATGACATATGTTTATACTTTCGTATTATAATATCTGATAAGTTATATCTATATATTTCAAGAATTTATGTGTCGTTAGATATAAGTGTGATTTTTGTAGGTAAAAATTAAAGACCAGTAATAGTTCAATTAAATGGTACTAAGAAGAGTTTATGGATTTGAAAATATAGACCTAATTTCAATTGCAGCAAATATAGGTAAAATAAGGATATATATATATATATATATATATATGACAAGGTCGTGGTTTGAAGCAAACTTTAATGGAATCACAAAATTTACGATTTTTTTTTTTTTGAAATTTTCCTTTACGGTATATTCAAGTCCCCATAATTTATAATGATATAAAAAATTAGGGGTGCGTTCGCTATGAAAGAACATGTTTTATAGATAAATAATTGAATTTCTTATTTATTTTTGTGTGGATATGTATGAAAAAATATATGTTATTCTAAAATTATTTATATACCGTTTAGATAAATATTATGATAGAATGGGGTTGGGCGGTGGAGAATATATAGGGTGGGGTGAAGATAAGATGTGTTGAAGTGTGAGGATGACATCATCAGTATGAAAAATCACTTATAGAACATATTTTTCCTACTTTTATTAAAAAGTCATTTAATTTTCTAAGAAATTTGACCAACGAAATATAAGAAGATAAAAAAATAATTTCCTCTGTATCAAGACTTCCTTAATAATAGTGCTCTCTCCGTCTAACAATAGTTGTCCACTATACTATTTTGGGATGTCCAACAATGTCGATACTTGTTCACGTAATGAAATCAATAGATAATTTTACATTTAGTTCTTAATTTACCCTTATAATTAATTATAGTTATTTCTCTATTATATTTTTCAAGACATTGTATTTATTATATTCAAAGGGTGATATAATAAAATGACTCTTTTAATTATAATTTCTTAAAAAGTGTACAAAGTTAATATTGGACAAGTATTGTTGGACAGACAATAACTTTTGTAATATTATTGGTCAATTTCGAGATATTACGGCTTCACGTCATGACGCGGCTATGGCCATTTACTATAATTCCAATTGCCACCCCAATTTTGTAATGTTCACATTATAAAAGTTTGAATTTGAGTGTTATATATTGAGTGGATAAAAAAAGGCTACATTATTACTTCATCCAAATAATATCCACATGTAAGTCTCTGCAAAATGTGAGATTTATAATTTTAAAAAGAGAAAGGGTCTGATATATTTTTTAATTTTATCATTTGAAGTTAATGTGTCTCTCGTTAGGTAAGTGGCACATATATATCCTTATCGTTATTCAAATGGTTCACATATATTTTTACCGTTATAAAATAAGCTCACATATACCCTTAATTTAATGGAAGTAAAAAAAAAAATTAGTTTTAAATATATATTTTTGACTTTTAATTTTGAAAAAATTCATGTAGGGGTATATATGATCCTTCTAGCAAAGTTTAAGGTATATTTTAATCTTTTTTATACATAAAATATTTTTTGACATTTTTGATTATCATTATTTGAGTTTCTTATTTCATTTTTTTCTTTCATTCCTTAGTGTAAAGAGAAAAATTTAAAACTATTTTTTTTGTGGCTATATTATAATATAAAACTAATTTTTTCGATTATATTGTTATTTAGTTTTTGTATTTGAAAAAAATTTGAGTCATCTATAATGAATTTTACAAGAATATTAGTGAAACATAAATAAATTTGACCATCAAAACAATAACTTTAAATTAGTCGATGAAACACAAAAAAAGAAGTCAAAAAGAATTATGTGTGAGGAGGATTAAATATACTCATATGGGATTTTATTTTTTTTTAAAAATAATTAAAAATTTAAATTTAAATTAATTTTTTCACTTCTGTTAGAGGAAAAAGGTATATGTGAGCTATTTGTATAACAGTAGGGACATATCTGAGTCACTTTCATAACGAGGGGTATATAAGTTTTAAATGATAAAGTTGAGGGGTATATCAGACCCTTTTCCCTTTTAAAAATACAAAAAATATCTATTGTAACAAGTAAAGATACTCTAATTGTGTAAAGCAAAACAATTAACACAAACAAAATATATCACTTAAACTCGAATAAGAAAAAACCAAAAAAGATTGTCCACGTTAGTAACAAATATGGGAGGCGCCGTACACATAAATATTAGTCAACTAATTGGTAGTTCAACTGACGATTACACCCCAAGTTGTAACCTTTTTTCTATGCATCAACACAATACAAATTCATATTAAACTTTGCTTATAAACTAAGATTTTAAATAATCTTCTTCCAGCCTACAATTAGAAACACTTATATATTGGTAGATAGAGTCAATGATTTTTTGTCCAAGTGTGCCACTAGAGGTACAAATCTTCCATGAAATTACAAGGATTAATTAATCCATTAATTAAATATTTAAATCTTTGTTAGGACTAACACTATAAATAAATGTCATTGAGTTTATTTTGTACATTCATTAGGTAACCAAGAACATGACACTTTGTTCCTAAAGAAGACAAGTTTACCACCCACTTATCTGCCTTTTCCTAACACAAAAAAAATATCCCTCTTTATTATTCTACCTATCTTGATCACTTTCTTTAATTCCCCTACACCAATTTTTATGCCTCATTTCTTTAAAAACTAGTGTTTGATTTTGTTAATTGATTATCTCTATTATCACTTTTCCTATTCATAATGACTTTGGCAAATAGGATTACCATATTTCTGCTTAGGTTTTTGGCCTTAGGGGCTAGTGTTACAGCCATTATTATTATGGTCACTAGCCATGACTCTGCTCAAGTTTTGGGCATGACCTTTGAAGCCAAATTTGCTAACACACCAACATTCAAGTAAGTTCATCGTAATCTTCGGTACTTCTAAAATAATTATTCTTTCTACGGAACTAGAGTTTTCAATAAGGGAATTCAAAATATAAAAAGGTAAGCACACGAAGGAGTCAAGGGAATTCAACATCTACTAGGGATGAACGTGCCATCATCACACGTGTCCAATTGATTGAGAGACAACTGATCCAATCATGAGTTTGTTGGTTCGACAGAACTCAGTACTTCACAGTCAAACTCCATTTGTATGCACAAAAGAAAATATGATAAGAGTAAAAAAAAATTACATATGAATATATATATATATATATCAGAACCAATTCTTTCAACTTGAAATTCATAACGTCTAAATTTTGAATCAGACACTAGTAAACATGACCTGCAGGTTAAGATAATTAAGTTGTTGATGATGTTTCAGGTACTTTGTTGGAGTGAATATACTAGCAAGTGCCTATTCCCTCATAGTTCTCTTTTTCCCTACCAAGAAGATGCTGGGACGCATTCTGCTTATTACAGATATAGTATGTTCTACTCCCTCCGTTTCAATTTATTTGTCTTACTTTCTTTTTTGGTCTGTTTAAAAAAGAGTGTCTCTTTTCTTTTTTGTCAACTCTGACATGTTTAAGACCACAAAATTAAAAGACATTTTGATATATTCTACATATCTTTAGTTTAAGACCACAAGATTCAAATGTCTTATAGACTTGGTGCCAAATAAAAACCAGACAAACAAATTAGTATCTTTTCTTGATAGTTTTACATTGATTTTTGTGACTTGAACTGATTTCAACTTTTTAAATTTTGGAGTAGCTTATGACATTGCTTCTGGACTCAAGCATATCAGCATGTTTGGCAATAGCTCAAGTGGGGAAAAAGGGAAATACTCATGCAGGTTGGCTACCAATTTGTGGCCAAGTTCCAAAGTTCTGTGACCGTGTTACCGGATCTCTTATTGCTGGCTTTGCAGCTGCTATACTCTATTTTCTTCTTCTTCTTTTCTCTTTTCACAATGTTCTTAATCTTTACACACTCAAAGCTTAGACTTTTATTATATCCTCCTCTTTCAATGGAGAGGAGATTTTACTTATTACCCTTATCGCCTTTTATTTTCGTCATTTTTGTACTCATTTATGTGTTTACTGATGACTGCTATAAAATATTATAGTATGAAAAGAGGATTTCAAGACATCTTTGTTGTGTTTTGTATGATTATCTCCTTACTATATAGTAATTAGTACTGCGATTCTTTGTTGGTCAAGATCAGTTTAATGTTGTAAGTAATGCTTTTCAAGATGGTAAAATCAAGAATCTAAGTTGTTATTAGAGGAGTTTATCTAATTCTTGTTGTTATTGTTGCCTCATAAATACCAACAAAGATCTAATCTAATCATGAGAACTTGAAAATATTTGAAGATCATATTCTTAAGTTTCATTGGCCAAATGGATTTTTGAAGATAAATCTTCAAATTCTGATGTAAGCTCTTTGGTCAAACGCTAGCTAAAATGGATCTTAAAGAAATAGTCTCAGTTTCGGTCTGACTTTACCTTCCTGAGAAATGATAGCTGAGAACATAAACATGTAACAGAACAACCTAAATTTCATTCAGGAAGAACTGATGAACTCTGCATTTCCAATCAATTTCATAGTTGTTTAATCACAAGAACATGCTACAACTTCTTGGTGTTCTTAACCTATGATTCTGTTCTAACTAAAAAATTATTTTCGAGAGTTCAACGATTCGTATACTACACAGACACAGTTCTGGTTTATGTGGTTCTATGTCGTTTCAATGGCAGAGTACACAATTGCTGTCCAGTCATTGTACCTGTCGATTTTAATAGTGGTAGACATGATCAGTATACATATGTGCTGTCATGTTCAGGGATTGAAGCATGGCTTCTCCTTCTTTGTTGAATTTGAATACACACAATCCTCCATTATGTATATCCACTGAACGAAACCTGAATCGACACAAAATTAGACATGTCAAGAATAGTGGCAGAAGAACCCAACTTTTATAATGTAATTTACATAATAATGAAAGAAAGTTTTATTAAATTATCATGCTGATCAAAGCAAGTTTACTATACTCTAGCAATGTTTTAACATCCTTACATTTGCCTAAGTCAGCTGTCATATCTAAAGGGTTATTTTAATGTTTATGTGCCTGAAATATCAGAAGATTTTGGAGATAAAAGTATGGTCTGAAACATTATGACCTACCGTTCTGGTCCTAGTCCAAGAGCTGTGCAGATCAATGCTCGTAAAATAGATTTGTGTGTCACAACCAAAAAGTGCTCTCCCTGATGAACAATGATCTATATCAGTATATTTTGTTGCGCGAAAAAATCCAAATTAAGCAGTATAAAGAACATACCGGTGTCAATAAAATTTCTTCCCATGCTTCATGTGCTCTTCCCCACAGTTTTTGAAGAGGATATACACCATCTACACAAAAATTAGATGGATCTTTTCTCCAAGTTGTATACTCCTTTGGATATATGCGCTTAGCATCCTCTGCCTCCAAACACTAAACATCATTTAGAAAACTACGAATACTGTTGAGTAATCTAAATGGACGCACAAGCTAAAGTTGATTATACCATCCTGTTTTTGCTATATTGAGGTTATAGTGACTCAAAAGAGATAATAGTAAAATCACATTATTTCAGCAATGAATGAAACAGACCATTTTTCATGCCTTCAAGAAAAAATAGATGGGCCTCCTTCAGGGAATCAAGAAAAACCAGAGGCTCTTCCTTTCCTTTCCATATGATTTCAGCGGTCGTCTGCAGAAGACATTGCTGATATCACTTAATAACTGCATATGTAGTAAGCAAAAGAAAATTACACAACATCATATTCCAACCTTGGCGCGTGATATCGGACTAGAGAAACATTGGTCAAAGTGCATATCAGACAAGGCCATCTTGCATCTTTCTGCTTGCATTGTTCCTTTTTCAGAAAGTATAGATAAGTTTGAGCTTCCCTACATGTACAACCAACTTGGTTACTGGCTATAGAACAGCCCAAGTCACAAGTAAAAAGAGTAAGTTATGAGATGTGAGTTCCTTACTACAACAATCAGGATTATCATTTTGAGTCATGATAGAACCCGAGCCATTTAGTGAGAGAGAATTAAAAGAAATTGTTAGACAAGTGGATGGACTCAAGTCCTAATAAGTAATAAATGGTATTAGAGCTGGGATAAACCAGCTGGAAATATGGGAGTCAAGTCCCATTTGGAGTTAAGGACTACAGTATATGGAGTTGATCAAAAGTGCGGGAGCCAAGCCCATGCAGGACTAAGTGTTATACTATGTGAAGCAGGAATTGACTCTAGAATCTTGGATCAGGCCTGAGAGGATGTCAAGGCCTCAAGCGGGAGAATGTTATACCCTGTCCAACATCAGATTAGTACACTTGAATTATTAGCCTTAACGTGCTTCACTATTAACACTCCGATTTTAATTAGAAAAATGTAATGTTCCATAAGTCTTGCATCAGTAATGGAAGATGAATTTGAAGTCCTTAACAAGGCACATGTGCTTAAAACCAATGATAGTAAAGTGTTTGTAGCTCAAACTAGCAACATCACTCTTGTTCCAGAGCCTCGATCCCGGCTTTATACATAACATCATAGCCTTACACCAGAAAGTTTTTGCATTTCTGTACTTCCATTATACATTTCTATAGAAGAACTAGGCAAGATCACAATCAAGGAATTAAAAACTTACTTGTAAGAATAAAAATGAGTATATGAAACAAACCTGAACTCTACTTTCTTCATTCCAAGAGCTGAGACCATGGCGTACAATAGTAACTTTCTTGGGTGAATCTAGCACTTTTTTAGTTAGAGAAGTAGTAGCTTTTTCAAAATCAAATGCTCCACCAGTCAAAGGAGTATCATTCCTAAGTCTTTCTGTTTAAGATCCATGCTAAAAGTTAATTAGTATTCAATATTAATGTCATATACAAGTACTACACCATGTACACAAAAGACTAGCAATAAGTATAAATACTAGTGTTTCCACTTACCCTCCAACACATTCTTGTTTCCTAGTACACAATAACAAACCGAATTTCAAAGATTTTACCTGTTGTAACTGGTAATCCAGGAGTTGAAGTTGAGCAACAAATAACATAATTAATGCCAGCAGGAATAAGTTTAGGGTATGGGGATTTATTGGAAATGGAAATGAGAGGGAAAGAGAAATAAGGGGCCCCAGAAATCATCATACCGAACAACAATAGTTAACAAATTTGCTTTGCTATTTCAAGATTGTTTCCAGTAGTTCTGTTTTCTCATGAATTTCCAGAGCTATTTTAGAGTGACATTGACAGTTGTAACAACTTGTGGTGGGAATTTCACTGGCTTTGCCTTTGCTACCATATGAAATTGTGGATATACTCATTCAAGGTGAAAACAAGATTCCTTTTTCCTTCTTTTTTTTAAAAATAATATAAAAAAAAATGGTCCAATTTGTTATTTACTTTTTTTAAAAAAAAATTGTATACATAACTTCTATATAAATTATTGAGTAAATTTTAGGTTTAGCAAACATAAAAATTATATTTGTATGCTATGACTATAGTTTGTATAATTGCGCTCCATAGCAAACAAAGCATCAGATTTGTATAAATCGCAGGCAGACATTCGTTTGTATAAAAATGCAACAAATATGTATATCGGTTAGATAATTGTATATATGTAACTACTATGTATATGTATCAGTGATTGTGTTTGTATATCTGCATAAAATTTGAATTTCTATACAATTGAATCGAAATAAAACATTTGTATATCAAATTTCCCTCTCACGCACTTTATACAACACAAATTATACATTGTAATTTGTATAATTTGTGTTTGTATAAAGCAAGAAAGAGAGAAAGGCAAAGAGAACTAGTAGGGGAAGATCTGTATTTGTATAATTATAAGTGTATATGACGAAAATATTTGTATTTGTATATTCAGTTTTCTCTTGCATTATACAAACACAAACGCAATTTATACATTTGTGTTTGTATAAAAGTGAGAGAGGCGAGGGAGATTTCTAGGGAGAGATGTAAATGACAAGTGTTTGCTACATATTAGAATTAAATGAAATTATGGTTATATCATTTAGTTTGAATTAATAGCTTGCTATTTTATACAATTTTTCCTAAATTATAATATATTATACATCTACCAAATGTTTTTAGTTTAAACGGTTGAGTGAGTAGCTATTTGAATTTATTTTTTTAGATTATTTTTTTCAAATGTATTTTTACAAATGATTTAATATATAAATAAGTGTTTTTTTTTTTATCCTTCGGGGTGGTCCAGTGGTTTGGGCTTGGGACTTCCATGTTGGAAGTCTCAAGTTCGAAACCCCTTACTAGCGAAAGCAAGGGGTTTACCTTCTGGGTCGAGCTCGTCGCATCGGGCTTGCCTAGTGCGGGTTACCTCTCCTATGTGGTATGCGAACTATTGCATAAGAGCAAGGATTTTACCTTGTACGCATCCAAATGATAGCGGTTGCGGGTTTTCTTTTTTATAAAAATAAAATAAGAGGTCTTTTTTTATTTATTTTTTCATCCCAAAGTAGACATATGTAATTCTTCTGTTGTTAGCTCAAAAGATAGTGAATCAAACTCAATCCACGTAGTTTATTTAAATTTGATTAGGTTATTGACCTGCCCAGTTATTAGTTCAATTCATTTTAGATTAATTTATTTCAACTCATTAAAAATTGGGTTGAACTCAAATTGACTAATGAGAAATCTTGTCATAAAATATTTTATTTTAAAATTTGATATGTTATACTATATAATCATAATAAAGAAAAATAACAATTCTATTAGGTACTAAATTCTTTTAAAAGAGCAAAGGAAATAATTAAAACTTACTAAATATTAAACGATTGGACTATGACCCTTTACTTGACCCAAGCAATTTTTGATTAGGTTAAGTCTTGATCCGTTAATTATTTTGATCCATTTTAACTCCCATCAAATTTAACCTAACCCGTCCAATTACCATCCCAATTTCAAACCAAGTTAATTAAAAGGTTGGGAAATCGCCCAATATGAACGAGTGGAAGTGTGTGGCATTAACCAACTCTCTCTCTCTCTCTAAATGAAAGTCATGCTTTATGTAATATGTGGATTTATGATTTACGAGAACTTAATAATTTATTTTTTAATTAAGATTAAAAATTCTACTAAATATCTTTTTTTTTTTAGTTTATTTATTTTTTGAGAGTCAAGCTATAGGTTGAACTAGGAGGGTGATGATGTTGTTATGAAGTAAGCTCCTGTTTTAAATGTGAATAAAGCAAATAAATTCGCCTATTTTTAACTTATGTATATTAAAACGGACTAATTGCGGTGGCCGTTACATTTCCTCTTCCCCGTGTAGCATTTTATATTTTATATTTTTATCTCTCTCTTTACTTATATTTTTTATAACAAAATAAATTTACACACACCATTTGATATTGTATTATTTTATTTGATTTAGCTATCTTCCCATTGTTTTCAACAATAAGGATGATGAAGGTTTAAGTGTTATAGACAATGGCACGAACAATAACCACGTTCGTTAAAGTTTAGAGATGAATTTAATAATTTTACATAGCTTAGAAGTAAATTTGAATCGTTTTTAAAATTTTAAGGACGTAATTTAATTCATTTTCCCATTTTAAAAAGGAGAAGAAAAAGGGTGCCTAAAAGCCTTTAATTTTTTATGACACTGATTTATACCGACAGCTAATATTGTCAAATATTGATCATCATGATGTGTATAATCTTAGATTCTTTTTGCCAGTAGAAAAAGAAACATACTTTATTCTTTGGGTGTGTTTGGTATGAAGGAAAATATTTTCTAATTTTCTAATGTTTGGTTGAGTTAAATGTTTTGGAAAATGTTTTTTAAATCAATTTATTTTCCTCAAATTTAAAGAAAATGATTTCCCTTCAAAACTTAAGGAAAATATTTTTCAAAACTCTATTCAAACTTCAAATTACAATTTTTTTTTGTTGAAAAAAATTAATTTATTTTGTTCCTACCCTCAAATCAGCCCCCAACCACCCCCCCAAAAAATAATAATAATAATTTAAAGCTTTTACCCCACCTTCACCCCTACCCTGGCCCCCTATCACCACCACCACCACCACCGAAAAATAAATAAATTAAAAGTTGTTTTTAAAAGATATTTGTAATTTCAATTTTTTATTATTTTATCCCCCACCTCCTTACCCTCCCCATCAGCCCCTCACCCCTTTCAAAAAAAAAAAGTTTCTTTTTAAAAAATTATTTTCTACTTCAAATTTTTATTTTTTCACCCCAACGTACCCTCGACCTCCCCCGCCAACCCCCCCCCCCCCCAAAAAAAAAAATTAATTTTCTTTTTAAAAAATATTTTCAATTTCAAAAATTTATTTTTTCACCTCGATCACTGACACACCCCACCCACCCACCCCCTACCAGCCACCCCCCATCCCCCCAAAAAAATTTAAATTGTTTTTAAAAATTATTTCCAACTTCTAAATTTCATTTTTTCACCCCTATTTAAGTTATTTTTAAAAAATATTTTCAACTTTTAAATTTCATTTAAAAATACTATTTCACATCATATTGTGGATTAACATAAATTAATCCACAATATTATTGAATCGAATAGTTACCAAAATTAACATAAAGAAGTGAATTAATACTCCTCTATTTTAGAATTAATTGTGTAAATGGTCTATTTCAGAATGAATAATTTCTTTCCTTTTTAGTAATATTTTACTTTTACCTTTTGCATGTATGTTTAAAATCAATCATTTTAGTATATTCGATATAACTATAACTTAGAATTATAAAATTATGAAATTTTCTTTGATTTTTAAAAACTCTATATCAAATCTAATTAGGTCATTAGGAGTACTAAAATTAGTGTTGGAAACATTTGTACTTATGGTCATAATTTTTCATTTCATATTTTTGATGTTGTCTAGTAGGATCCACGTCAACTTACATACTACCCACGTCTCCCCCATTCGCTGTTACTGGCGCGTCATCTACATCACCACATTCCGTGATAGTAAATGCTCTGCCAAAATAGATTGAATTCTAAGTAGATTAATTTTTAAAAAATAATTCAATTCTTTCAAATATAACATCTTCACGTAAAATAAAATAGAAAAAATAACAGATAAGCTAAATTTATGCAAATTATCCTTGCATCCAAAAACTCTTTGATGGAATGAAGCTCTACCATTAATGAATTATTATGAAATACTCATAGAGGAATGCTTGCAAGTTGCAAACATTTTAGATTGACCTAATATATAAATATAACATTTAACTTGACGTCAGCTGACAACTATTACCTTTAATTTTGGATTTGATAAGTAGATACTTAACATTGTATAAAATTGAACAAATACACATATTCATCCTACATGACAATTTTATGTCCTATTTATATTATGCCACGTAGACACATGTGTCTACTTGTTTAATTTATACAAATTTAAGTGTCTATTTATATACACTCAAACTGAAAGACATAATTATCCGCTGAAATCAAATTAATTATTAATTTTATGTATTATGCCTTTCAGATACAGTGTGTTAGTAATGTGTTTCCATGTAGAATAAGAAAAGTATATTTGCTTTAGGAAATGCAAACATTGAAGACATACTTACTAAGGGAAAAGTTGACATGCTAAAATTCCAAATTAAGATCCCTATAAGCCTCTCTTTTCCACATCATAGACATGATAATCACTTGATTGTTTTCCTACAAATATGAATTCCCTTATAATTGTATAAATAAATTGATTTAGCTTTTCGATATGAATTTTTTTTTTTAGAAATAATTACAAGATTTTTCAGAAGCTACTTATAAGTTATTTGTGTGAATTATTTCTTTTTTAAAGCTATACTTAATTGCAAATTCGAGATTTTCTTAAAAAAAGATTGTCCGCTAAATTGCAAAGTTATCCAAAATTCTATATTTAACTGGACATTCACACTAAGATGTTTTTGATAATGATAGACTATTTTTGTTGTTTTCTCATATATGGACATTCATTTCCTATAAATAATTTGTCCAGTCTTGTGATATTATCCTTTTAGACCTTTGATTTTTTATTCGATGTCTAGAGTTTATATTAAAGTTCTGATTAAATTTAAATCGCACTGTAAAATTCATATGAGGTGGTGTTCTCCATTTTTTTTTTTTTTTTTTATATTAAGAGTTCAAATTCAAAACCTCTTATAAGAATGAATTAGTCCTAGCACTGCATTGCCAATCAATCTTAGACATCCCCTTTTGATTTAAAAGACATTATGCCTTTTAAGTCATTTTTCTGCATATTTTATTGCCTATTTAAATTTTTATTCAATTTAATGATAATTTTAATATTTAAAATTTGCTCTTATCCCCATAATACTTGTTTTGAATAATAGCCATGTCATGTTGTCTTGTAGGTTTCTCACAGAAAGCTGCAACTTTCAACTTTCGTCCTACACACAAACTCCCACAACCGCAGTTGTTGGCGCGTGGTCTACGTCACTACATTCCCTTTTTTTCTGCAACTCTCAATATGTTCCTCCGTTTTCCTCTCATTAAAAATCTCATCTTTTACTCCATTAAAGTTACACTGTTGATTCCCTTTACCACTACCCCACCCTACCCAGAATTCGAATATACCCGTTACTTTATTATATATTATAGTATATGCATATGTGTTTGTTTGTTTGCAAGTGGCAACTTTTGCTGTTTGAAATTTTGGGAGAAAAGTGGTTTTGGAGAGTTACCCATTAGTGAAAAGCTGTTGTAGAACCAAAAGCAATGAATCTCCGGCCAAGGCCACAGTTCACGCGCGGTAGTGGTTCTGATGACGCGCCGCCGCGGCAGCAGCAACCTCGAGTCGAGCCATTCAACATTATACCCATCAATAATTTGTTGGCTGACCATCCTTCTTTGAGGTATCCAGAAGTGCGTGCTGCTTCAGCTGCTCTACGCGACGTTGGGGATCTCCGGCTGCCGCCGTTCATGCCATGGCGTGACACCATGGACCTCATGGACTGGCTTGGGCTCTTCTTTGGGTTCCAAGATGATAACGTGAAGAATCAAAGGGAAAACTTGGTTCTCCAGTTGGCTAACTCTCAAATGCGCCTTCATCCACCTCCTTCGTCCCCGGACCGCCTTGACTATGGTGTTCTCCGGCAGTTCCGGCAGAAGCTATTGAAAAATTACTCATCTTGGTGTTCATATCTTGCGAAGAAGTCACAGGTTCGACTACCGAGACGCCAAAATCCTGAAATTTCTCGTCGTGAACTCTTGTATGTATGCCTGTATTTATTGATTTGGGGTGAGGCTGCAAATCTCCGTTTTACTCCTGAATGTTTGTGTTATATTTATCATCATATGGCTATGGAACTAAATTACATTCTTGATGGTCACATTGATGAGAATACTGGACACCCTTTTGTTCCTTACACTTGTAAGCAATTTGGTTTCTTGGATAAAGTTGTCACTCCCATTTATATGACAATTAAAGGTGAAGTTGAGAGGAGTAGATATGGCACTGCCCCTCATTCAGCTTGGAGGAATTATGATGATATTAATGAATTCTTTTGGAGTAGGAAGTGTTTTCGGAGGCTGAAATGGCCGCTTGACTTGTCAAGTGCTTTTCTGGATACTACTGTTGGTAGGAGAGTTGGTAAGACGGGGTTTGTGGAGCAGAGGACCTTCTGGAATATATTTAGGAGCTTTGATAGGTTGTGGGTGATGTTGATACTATTCTTTCAGGCTGCTGTTATTGTTGCTTGGCAAGGTACAGATTTTCCATGGCAGGCTTTGGAAAGGAGGGATGTGCAAGTGCAGTTGCTTACGATCTTCATAACTTGGGCTGGTTTGAGGTTTATTCAGTCGATCCTTGATGCTGGAACTCAGTATAGTTTAGTTACCAGGGATACAGTTTGGATAGGTGTGAGGATGGTCTTGAAAAGTGTAGTTGCTGTGACATGGGCAGTTGTGTTTGGGGTGTTCTATGCAAGAATTTGGATCCAGAAGAATTCTGATAGGAGGTGGTCATACGAGGCTAATCAAAGGATCTTCACATTTCTTAAGATTGCTCTGGTGTTTATCATCCCAGAGTTGTTAGCTCTTGTTCTTTTCATTCTCCCATGGATACGAAATGTGATTGAAAACACAGACTGGCCAATATTTTACTTACTAACATGGTGGTTCCACACCAGGATTTTTGTGGGTCGCGGACTCAGGGAAGGGCTTATTAATAACATAAAGTACACAATGTTTTGGATTGCTGTATTGGCGTCCAAATTTGTCTTCAGTTATTTCTTTCAAATAAGGCCGCTGCTTGGTCCTACACGGGCTCTTTTGAATTTGAATAATGTGAAGTACAAGTGGCATGAGTTTTTTGGTAGCACAAATGAGGTAGCAGCTGTTTTGTTGTGGATTCCAATTGTTCTTATTTATCTAGTTGACCTGCAGATCTGGTACACTATCTATTCTTCTATTGCAGGAGGAGCAGTTGGGTTGTTCTCACATATAGGTGAAATTAGGAACATTAAACAGCTCAGACTCAGATTCCAGTTCTTTGCAAGCGCATTGCAGTTCAGTCTGATGCCCGAGAATCAGCCTATTGATGCTAAGGACACCCTGGTTCACAAGCTTCGGAATGCAATACATCGGATTAAGTTAAGATATGGACTTGGACAGCCATACAAGAAGATTGAATCAAGCCAGGTGGACGCAACTAGGTTTGCCTTAATATGGAATGAGATCATCATAACTATGAGGGAGGAAGACCTCGTGAGTGATCACGAGCTGGAGCTGATGGAGTTGCCACCGAACTGTTGGGATATTAAGGTTATTCGTTGGCCGTGTTTTCTCTTGTGCAACGAGTTGCTTCTTGCTCTCAGCCATGCAAGTGAGCTGGCAGATGCACCTGATAGATGGGTTTGGTTTAGGATATGCAAGAATGAGTATAGGAGGTGTGCAGTGATTGAGGCTTATGACAGCATCAAATACTTGCTACTAGAGATCATTAAACACAACACTGAAGAGCATTCAATAGTCACTGCACTTTTTAATGATATTGATGTTTGCATTCATTCTGAAAAGTTTACTAAAACCTACAAGATGACCCTCTTGCCACACATTCATGAAAAGTTGGTATCTCTTATTGAGCTTTTGCTCAGGCCAGAGCCGGATTTGCGTGATATGGTCAATGTATTACAGGCCTTGTATGAGGTTTCAGTTCGGGAATTTCCAAGGGTGAAGAAGAGAACAGAACAACTGATGCAGGAAGGTCTTGCTCCTTCAAATCCAGATACCAATCAGGGGCTTCTTTTTGAAAATGCTATTGAGTTTCCTGATATCCAAGATGCTTTCTTCTTTAGGCAGCTGCGCCGTTTGCAGACAATTCTTACTTCCAGAGATTCAATGCACAATGTTCCAAAAAATAAGGAAGCAAGACGGCGTATTGCTTTCTTCAGTAACTCTCTTTTTATGAATATGCCACGAGCTCCTCAGGTAGAGAAGATGATGGCCTTTAGCGTCTTGACCCCTTACTATGACGAGGAAGTTCTGTTTGGCAAAGAAAGTCTTAGGAGTCCAAATGAAGATGGAGTATCCACCATATTTTATCTGCAGAAGATTTATGATGATGAGTGGGAGAATTTCATGGAACGGATGCGTACAGAAGGAATGAAGGATGAGAAAGAGATATGGAACACTAAAGCAAGGGAGGTTCGTCTCTGGGCGTCGTACAGGGGGCAGACTCTGTCCCGTACTGTAAGAGGCATGATGTACTATTACAAGGCTCTCAAGATGCTTTCCTTCCTTGATTCTGCTTCAGAGGTTGATATAAGGCATGGCTCACAAAGTATTGTTTCACTTGGTAGGGATGGCTCTGGCATGTTACAAACTTCTCGAAAACTTCACAGATCGAGTAGCAGTGTCACCCTTCTTTTCAAAGGACACGAGTTTGGTGCTGCTCTAATGAAATTCACTTACGTGGTGACATGCCAGGTGTATGGTTATCAGAAGAAGAAGCGTGATCCACGTGCTGAGGAGATCCTAAATTTGATGAAGGATAATGAGGCTCTCCGAATTGCTTATGTAGATGAGGTCTACTTGGGAAGAAATGAAGTAGAATACTTTTCTGTTCTAGTGAAGTATGATCAACAGCTGAAGCAAGAAGTGGAAATTTATCGCATAAAGTTGCCTGGTCCTCTGAAACTTGGGGAGGGTAAGCCGGAGAATCAGAACCATGCCATTATCTTCACCAGAGGTGATGCAGTTCAGACTATAGACATGAATCAAGACAATTACTTTGAAGAGGCACTTAAGATGCGGAATCTATTGGAGGAATTCAAGGAGAATTATGGTATAAGGAAGCCCACCATTCTGGGAGTTCGTGAAAATATCTTTACTGGTTCTGTGTCATCTCTTGCTTGGTTCATGTCTGCTCAGGAGACAAGTTTTGTGACTCTGGGGCAACGCGTTCTTGCCGATCCTCTCAAGGTACGGATGCACTATGGTCATCCAGATGTCTTTGATAGGTTTTGGTTCTTGTCCAGAGGTGGCATCAGCAAGGCTTCCAAGGTGATTAATATAAGTGAGGATATATTTGCTGGATTCAATTGTACCTTGCGAGGTGGCAATGTTACCCACCATGAATACATACAAGTGGGTAAGGGAAGGGATGTTGGATTGAATCAGATCGCCATGTTTGAGGCTAAGGTTGCTAGTGGTAATGGTGAACAAGTTTTGAGCAGAGATGTGTACAGGTTGGGTCATAGACTAGACTTCTTTCGCATGCTTTCATTCTTCTACACAACTGTTGGCTTCTTCTTCAACAACATGATAGTGGTGGTAATGGTCTATATGTTTTTGTGGGGGCGCCTTTATCTTGCACTCAGTGGTGTTGAGGAGTACGCCAGCAAAAATGCCACCAGCAACAAAGCACTTGGTTCAATTTTGAATCAGCAGTTTGTTATCCAGCTTGGTGTGTTCACTGCCCTCCCTATGATTGTCGAGAACTCTTTGGAACATGGTTTCCTTCCGGCAGTCTGGGATTTTATAACTATGCAACTGCAGCTTGCCTCACTATTTTTCACATACTCAATGGGAACCCGTGCACATTTCTTTGGAAGGACCATTCTGCATGGCGGAGCAAAGTATCGAGCAACTGGACGTGGTTTTGTTGTGCAGCGCAAGAGCTTTGGTGAGAACTATCGACTGTATGCTCGCAGCCACTTTGTCAAAGCAATCGAACTTGGAGTGATTCTGGTTGTTTATGCTTCACATAGCCCCTTGACTAAGGATACCTTTGTGTATATAGCTATGACTATATCAAGTTGGTTCCTTGTTGTGTCATGGATAACATCTCCCTTTGTGTTCAATCCTTCTGGGTTTGACTGGTTAAAAACTGTGTATGACTTTGATGATTTCATGCATTGGATTTGGTACAATCGAGGAGTTTTTGTAAGAGCAGATCAAAGTTGGGAGACATGGTGGTATGAAGAACAGGACCACTTGAGAACTACTGGTCTCTGGGGAAAATTGCTTGAGATTATTTTAGATCTTCGTTTCTTCTTCTTTCAATATGGAATTGTGTATCAATTGCGCATTGCTGGTGGTAAAACCAGTATTGGTGTTTACTTGCTGTCTTGGATTATTATGGTCGCCGCTGTGGCAATTTACATTGTCATTGCATATGCAAAGGATAAATATGCCATGAAGAGGCACATATATTATCGCCTGGTGCAGTTGCTTGTCATTCTGGTCACGGTATTGGTGATTATTATATTGTTGAGGTTCACCCTGTTTACGCTGTTTGACTTGATCACAAGTTTGTTGGCATTTATTCCAACTGGATGGGGCATAATCCAAATTGCCCTAGTGCTCCGGCCCTTTTTGCAGTCCACTTTGGTTTGGAGCACTGTTGTGTCATTGGCTCGGTTATATGACATGATGCTTGGGTTAATTGTTATGGCTCCTTTGGCATTTCTATCATGGATGCCTGGTTTTCAATCCATGCAGACAAGGATATTATTTAATGAAGCTTTCAGCAGGGGCCTTCAGATTTCTCGTATCCTCACAGGCAAAACTTCATAATGTGAGGTGATACTCTAATTTTAGGTGGTTGTTTTTTCTATTTATTGTATGATTGGAAGTGTAGCTTTTAATTCACATGCTACATATATCTGTTGGTACCTTTTAAAGTAGTTAAATGACTTGTTTTTTTGTCCAAATTTATAGTGATCTAATTCAATTAAACCAACTTTAAATTCATAGTGGCTTAGATGAAATCCAATTTAATTAACCTTTATTAAAGGTGACAATAATCTTTCTGTATGAGAGGCCTTTGGTGCACTGTTGTTTATGAGGCCAGCAACATGACTCTATCTACAACATGATGGAACTGACGGAATTACTTAAGAAAGAACCCAAAAAAAAGCGGATGTTCTTACTTTTGACATTTTGTCCACTGCTTGTTAGGCTGTTTTGGACTGATTAATCTGCAGTGCTTTCTTGGCAGAGATTTAATAGTTCTGAATAGTGCTGATGTAGAAACAGATCCATTGAGAATATACTACCTTTATATCTGCTGGACTTAAATGCTTTTAAAGTCTTTGCATTTCAAGAGTATAACATGCAGATAAAGTACTTCTCCCTTTATAATATCTTATGTGACACTATTTCCTTTTTAGTCTGTTCCAGCTTCCAAAGAGAATGGCCTATTTATTTATTTGGAACAGTCTAACTTTAAACTTTCTATTTTATCCTTAATGACATGATTTTATAGCTATACAAATATCAGGACATGTTTAAGACCACAAGTTCCAAAAGTCTTATTTCTTTTAATTCACTTGCCTAGTCCACATTTTATTTTACCCTTATTTTTTCTTATCACATTTCTTTCTTAATGATTTGAATAACGCCTTCCCTGACATGTTTTCTGCTGTGAATAGCAAAGCAAAATGTTGATGTTTATAATATCAGTATCCTGTTAGTGGAACCCCAACCTCCCATTCTTTTCTAAGCTTTTGTAAGATTGGCTAAAATTATACTTGTAGAGGGATTTGCATTTACTGTGGAAATTCCTTTTTCTCTACAATTAATATCTTCTTTCGAAGGCAAAAAGATTTTCAAATCTCATAATTTATGATCAATTCATTCATCATTTCCATTTTTAGAGGACATAATTTTCACATCCAAATTATGTATTTGATATACCAAAAAGAGTATTAAGCAAGGAATTTACAATATGGTGTCACTAATGTTCACCATATTGACTTGTTTGAAAATAACTCTTGAATCTACACCCTTCTCACCAAAAGATCAAGAATTTACACCATATTGAGTGATCAGCTCCTAATGTTCAAGTCATTCTTTGCTTGATGATAATGTCATCAAGAGTTAGCAACTTTGACACCATGATACTCAACAACCTCTCGGTTAGCTAGAAAGTTTGAGGATACTACTTGATAATTTATTGTTCTACCATCTTTTCTGGGCTTGAAAGCTGACAATGAATCAGATGTCTTACCAATTGGTTACACACTCATTGGTTGCCCTATGTCTTCTATCATATGATATCGACATTAGTTCTCCATCTTACCTCTAAAAGAACTACTAGACAGTGTAACTCGTTTAGTTTTCTGGTTTCCCTTGCAGTCACGTGTAATTATTAATTAATGAACCATTTTGTTGTCGATTTGCTACCTGAAGCTACAAATTTTGAAAGTTAAAATATCTCAGGACCTAACTTTTCCCCTTTTCGCTCTTAATAAATTCTGCTATACTACAATCTTTCTTCTTCAATCAGCTGATCTACATGTGGAAAACACAGCACTTCCCTAAAAAAAGTTTCACAGCTGATTCTTCTCAACAAGTGCACACCAATAACTATGAAGGGTCTCTTTTTATGTGTAACAATTTGCCAGTTTGTTTAGGAAAATTGCAACTAATGAAGCCTGATGTAATTCAGTTACCACTTATGACATTGCTAACTGGTGTCAAGTCACTAAGTAAGGAATGACTTGTTTGGAAATAACTCTTGAATTTTCACCCTTCTCACCAAAAAAGAGAAAAGGAACAAAAGATTTTTTTTTGATTGAAGGTCCCAGGATGGGTGGGGTATTGTTAGGGGCCTAAAGAGATTATAATTCCATGAACTCTGATTTGAGGTAAAAGAATTAGGCATCTTAGGCTTTGTGGTGCCAAATATATGATGCACACCAAGCTGAGAAAATGTTAGAAATAGTCAGATTCTTACAGCAGTTTAGAAGCTAAGTTTTTCCTTTTTGTAAATGTCCAGATGTTGCACATCCTCAGTGCTGGTGGCTAAGTACATCAATTAAATCATTTGGTACACCTCAATAGGTCATACATTCAAAGATCATGTGCTATTTTTTATTTTTTTGATAACCGAGAAATCTGTCTGTGACCCGCCGCCCTTTGGACCAATCACAGCCTTGTAACTCGGTGGATAATGGGCCCACCCCTCTACCCTTCTCCACTTAAATACCGGGCTTCGCTTTGCATGGTGTGGGGCTTGAACCTGCGACTTGAGTCACAAATCCTCCACCTTTTGCCACTCAAGCTAGGCCTTGGGGGCTCTTATCAATATATTTTTTAATGCTTGAGATTATGATTTTCAATGATCATGCTTGCTTTAGTTAACTTTTCTGTTGATTGCAGGAACAAGTTAATTTCAGAGGCATGTGCATCTCTTTTCTAGGTAGATTATATAGGCGGTGTTTCCTGATAAGCTCCTTCATTTTTTCGTTGGCTCTTGGATGAGGAATTTGATTTTGTGCCTTCTACTCAGCCTGGGGTACCCTCTTGTTCTTCAGTCTACCAAGTCGACGAGGTTAATACGACTTCTTTTGTGTATTCTCCTTACTACTTACAACTGTGTGGTTATTGCTTTATTTATTTTTGGGTTGTATATATGGGTAATTTTGGGTTATATTAGTTTTCGGTTGGCTGGGAGGGAGGATGGTCAAAATTTCTACATTGACGGCTAAAAATTTTGATCTGACTGATCAGCTCCTAATGTTCAAGTCATTCTTTGCGTGATGATAATGTCATCAATAGTTAGCACCTTTGACACCATGATACTCAACAACCTCTCAGTTAGCTAGGAAGTTTGACGATACTACTTGATAATTTATTGTTCTACCATCTTTTCTGGGCCTGAAAGCTGACAATGAATCAGATGTCTTACCAATTGGTTACACACTCATTGGTTGCTATAGGTTTGGAATGTTCTTGTGTCTTCTATCATATGATATCGACATCAGTACACTCCATCTTACCTCTAAAAGAACTACTAGACAGTTAACTCGTTTAGTTTTCTGGTTTCGTTTGCAGTCATGTGTAATTAATGAACCATCTTGTTGTCGATTTGCTACCTGAAGCTACAAATTTTGAAAGCTTAAAACACCTCAGGACCTAACTTTTCCCCTTTTCGCTCTTACTAAATTCTGCTACACTACCATCTTTCTTCTTGAATCAGCTGATCTACATGCGGAAAACACAGCACTTCCCTAAAAAAAGTTTCACTGCCGATTCTTCTCAACAAGTGGACACCAATAGCCATGAAGGGTCTCTATTTATGTGCAACAATTTACCATTTTGTTTAGGAAAATTGCAACTAATGAAAGCTTGATGTAATTCAATTACCGCTTATGACATTGCAGGTTTGCACCAGTTTAACTAAGCGGATGTGGAGCAGTTGGGGCTTTTCTTCTTAGTTTTAGTCTTAGTATGGATAGTAGGTTCAGGAGTCATGGTTAGATGATACCACGATTCCAATTTTGTAGTAATGTACATATGGCCGCATGTAAATGGCATAGTTGCTTCTGATAATAACACAATAATGCGTATTTTTGATGGGCTAATGGACCACAGTGGACCGTTCACTAATTATGGTTTGGCTACTGAGCTTGCAGCTGTTTGTTTTTTCAGTAGTAAAGAGACATTGAACTGTACGTGCAAATGTTAGTTGGCTAGCATAAATACGGAGGCTTACTCCATTTTGGGCTAATCTACTCAGTTGCACTTACATTTTCCAAGTAATCAACCTCTCAGACATGTACTGAGGAGAAGAGGGGCCATCTAATCTCTTACAAAAACAATCGACTACTTCAGTTTATTCCTATTATGTGATAAGCCTGACTGCGCAGTGTACTGGTGAAACCTGCCGATGCATTGGCGGCGAAACATACAAGGTCAGAGATTGTCACGATTATCTCAGCAAGGTCTAGACTGCAAATGAGCTCACTAGAAAAAGAAATTGATAATTTTGTTGAAGGGAAGAAAACTTTAAAGGATAATGAGGGCCAAATCAGAAAGCTTAGAGAGATTCCACAAAATTAGAGTATTCTATATATACAAGTCCCACTTAGATTCAAAATGTTCATAGTGATAGTATCTGAAAGAAGAGTTAACTAACAATATGTAGAAACATAGAGTCTTTGCCAGATGTTCACTCTTTAGCAGGCTTAAAGTAAATACTTCATCTATACAATCTTTGACGTATAAATCGCTAGTGTTGAAAGCTAATGAAACTGGTGACAGGAGAAATGAAAGTTTCTTCAATGCAACTGGTGACAGGAGAAATGAAAGTTTCTTCAATGAAACTGGTGACAGGAGAAATGAAAGTTTCTTCAATGAAACTGGTGACAGGAGAAATGAAAGTTTCTTCAGAAATCAAGGATAAAATTTCTACAGACAGTTCATGCTTCTGTAATTGACTCGGTGCTGACTACGGGTACTTTCTCATACGTGGAGCTATCTCTATATCTTCTGGGAAGAAAACAACGGCCCCCAAATCTCTGCTGCAAGAAAACGAGAACAGCAAGCAGCAGACCCCCACAACAGATAATGATGTCCCAAGCAGTGGAATAGTAATCCATTTTCGGGTTTCCATATATGTAATCATACGACCAAGCATTGCTGTGACTTCTGTAAAGATCATATACATGTGGCATTAGGCGCACAAGGGTAGTTCCTATATAGAAACCAGGGGTGAGAGCCCTCTCAGTGGTGTTGCAGAATAAATTGAACAGAATCTGAGGAAGCAAAAATCCATCCAAGATCAAACCGGCATATGATTTAAGCTCAACCCAGAAAGTTTGCTGTTGGTAATGAAAACGACGCGACAATCGAAGCTTCAACTGGTGAGGCATTCTTGACAGATGGATAAAATAAGCAATCAATCCACCACAAATATACATTGGCAAAGACAAATACAGAACCTTTTTATCTGATATCCAGTAATTTTTGGGGCTCTCAACACCTGCTCTTGCAGACCATGTGAGTTGAAGAAGACGGAATTCCAACAAGAATGCTATCATCGTCATGATTCTAATTAAAATCTCATTTACTTCAAGCCATCCATCACTACCAAAGTAAACATTCTGCTTCTCCCGGTTGACCAAGAACAGAGCTTCAAAGTTCAGCAACAGAGGGATCATGTGTGCAAGTGTGAGTACAACTAGCATGACAACAGAGATAAATGGAAGCACAGTTGGGTTTTTTCTCACATAAAATAGCTGCAGACCCACAAAGATGCATGCAAGTGTATTGGAAATTAGAACCATGGTCATTTCCAGATCCATTCTCCACATGGAATTTTTGGCTTGGTCAATGTAGACGGAATTTGATATAAGCTCCAAGGGTTCAAAGTAAAGAGGATCAGACTTTTTCCTCAGGCACTCAATGGTACCTCTAACACCACGGGCAACTTTAGCATTCAAAGGAGGATACTGAATATTAACTAGAATTTCACAGTCTAACAAAGAATTTCTCTGTAAAATCTCCTGACGTGATGAAAAATACATACAGCCAACCATGCAAAGATGTCCACTCTTCGAATCATATAATCCCTCAGCAGAAATTTCAATTGTCAAAGGAGTATGCTCATCACTGTACAAGAACTGAGATGGAGCAACAAAGTGCAGCACATAGCTTATATTGACCACAGTGCTTTGATTGTCGTTCACTTGAACAGTAGAACCAGATACATCCCGGTAAAACTTATCCCCCACAGACAATGGAGATGAATAACTGAAAATATCAATCTTTTTCCTGTTCCTCACCGTCATATCAAATCTCATATCAGATGAATGTACATCGGGATACTTCCCTCCCTTCCCTTTATAAGTCAGTGCCTTGGCACAAGACCTCGTCACATTATCAATCACAGTATACTCATATGTCAATCCATCAATTCTGTTAACCAGATTTCTTACGCTGTGCAAGACTACTTTACCATAAATACCTGACTGATTTGAGTCTTTTCTTTTCCAAATCTCTCCAACAACAACACTTCTCTCCTTCAAGGTCCATTGCTTAGGCAACCTCAAACTCAGCCTCACAACACAATCCCCCACAGAACCCTTTTCAGCTGCATCACTTCCATTGAAAATCCGGCAACCAATCATGTCAACTGTTTTTGTCTTCTCATTCCACTTCCCTTCAGCAACTATTGTTTGATTTATCAAATTAGTTGGCCGGGTGTGCACACCATCACCAAAACTTAACAAGAACCTCCCTCTTCCATTATCCCCACACTCAATCGCATTAAACCACATCGAGGTCGGCCTAAAATTTGACAAATTACCACCAAGAAAATCGCAATTCCCATTGCCACAATTACCCAAATACATCATTTCCATAGTCCCGGCACTACCTATAACTGAACACAAGCTGCTATCCTGATCTATTCCCAGCGAAACATCAGACCAATCACCAAATTCACTAAACCCATTATTCTCAACCTCTTTATCAATCAAAGTATAAACATAATTCCTCAAAGACGTACCAAATATTTCAACAGGCTTAGTATATGCATTTTTATCATTCACATCAATTCTTTCCAATGTACCATTAACCACACTATGCAAAATATCAGATGAATTCAAATAATTCAACTTAAGAACAACATTAATAGAACTTAACCTCCTCAAACCTGATCCGACCATACAAAGCTTTCCAGTACCCGAATCCCAGAAACCGGAAACCCGAATCTCCCTCGAATTCCCGAAGCCTCCGGTAGGAAACCTCGGTGGCCGGTGATAAACTAGCCGAAGTTGTCGCCGGTGTACAAATTCACCGAAAAACTCCGGACCAATTCTTCCTGCAAACCTCAAACCACCCTCAATTTTAAATATTTTACCATTTTGGGTCGGATAAACATTCTCTGTGTAGTAATTAAGGGTTTTCGGCTTGAATTTCCCGGCATTATCAGCCGGCGCGTGTATGTACGCGTTGGTAAGAGTGAGGAAAAACGATGTAGCGTTAAAAGGGGTTAAAGTTTGGGCTAAAGGGGTGCTCGGAACGACGTCGTTACAGTATTGTGGGTATGGGATCTGAGGAAATTCAGGAGGATATGAAACTCCACCGATAACGGAGGAGTTAAGGGAAAATACGAAAATAAAGAGAATAAGATGACCATATTGGAATTTGAGAAATTGGGTTCTTGAAAAGATGGAAAGTTTGAATCTTGAACTAGGGTTTTGTAATGAAGATGGAGCTGACGAATTCTCCATTGCTATGGAGTGCTCAAGGAGCATACCGATACCGTAGAGACTTTCAATGGTTGATCAATATATATTGCAGAAAAGAATACACGTAATTCTTTTTCCTTTTCGTCTCCCCTTTTGGAATTTTTTTTTGGTTCCATAGTATTAATTGTCATTAAATTATAAAATTCTAATGTGAAAGTAATTATGACCCAACGTCAAAGATGTGGTGAAGTGGATGTGGTTACTAGAATCGCTACCTTTCAATAGGAGGCTTTTATCTGGTGCGCATTTAGAATAGTTGGACTGATATATATTGAACACTAAATGAAAAATTAAAATAAGAAAGTAATTATGGCACTACCTTGTTGTTCATGATGTAGTTGCTATGTTTCTACTTTCTTTTTTTTTATATTTGAATTTGATGTACGCGAGTTGAAGGTCTTTTGAAAATAACTTCTCTACTCCCATCTCCTTAGATCTCACTTATGAAATTTTATTAGATAATGAATATGTTATTGTTGTTGGTTAGGATTTGAATTTAATAGTAAATAAAAGACATTATTTTTTTTTTCTTTTTTTGCGTATATACTAAAATGCTCGAATTAGTCGATATATTTATATAGGTGAAATGATCCAATTTCCAGTAAGATAATAGCAGGATTCTTTATTGTCACCCCAAAAAGAAAGACGGCAATAACGTATAATTTCATCATTGTGCTTATATTAGATACATGTTATTTGTCATAGTCTTTTGTAGTATTATCATAAGACACATTTACGTTTGTGTAGAGAGAAGCGTGTACAATTTTAAAAGATTGTTTATTCCAAAATATTTATCATGTTTCATTTTTTTCGAGAATTAATTGACATTGAACAATTTTTAAGGGAAAAATATTTTGTGATTCCTTACCTCAATTGACAAGTATTTATTATGGTTAAATTTTTGTTACGATTAAATGTTGTATATACTAGAAGGTAAATTATTGTTGAAAAATTATATTGTATGTCACTATTGCCAACATGTAAAATTTTAATCTAACAAGATAAGGGGAAAAGAGAGTAAAAGCTTAGGAGTTCTCAGCCACTCTTGTGAGTTGTGACAAGGAGTAAAAGGGCATCCCTGTGCCCAAAACATCTGGCGTTAGCAGGGTTGCACTCCAAAGGGTGTGATGTAGACAGTCTAACATAGTGCGAAAACAATGCAATTTTTTAAAAAAGAAGCAAAACACAAAATGGAGACCTGATATAAAACATGTTGAAACAAGAAGTTCAAAACAACTGGAGAACATAGTAAACATCACTCACAAGGTTCAACCATTTATTCAAGCTAAATAATATGTTACAATTGCAATGCATATGTACACAATTATGGTTCAAATAGTCACCCCCACCCCCCTCACTCTCTCACACACACAACACACATCTGCACACTTCAAAATTAACATAGCAACAGCCCCATCAAGGCCAGTTCAAATACTGAAATTGTAGACATTGATAAAGTTTTTATTACAGAGGTGCATAGCTTACTCTTAATCGGACAACTGACTGCAATCAATACCTTTGTCGGAAAATGCCTCCACGAGTTTAGGGTAAAGCTTGCCAAGCATAATCTTGAATCCAGTAGAGCTTCCTTTTATCGGTTCTTGGTCCTGGTTCTTGGGTTGGAATGCTGAACCAACTGGGGCACCATCCATGTACGCCTTACAAGCCAACAAAATGTTTTTCCACCGGTTACCAAAGTGCTCTTGCACAAGTGCCTCAAAATGCTGCAGAATAATTGACCAAGCAATTCAGAAACTTTCAGAGTAAAAGGAAAGTGCTTCTATATAAAATTCTTGGTGGTAATTATAACTTTGGGTTGATTTCTCATATGGTCAATCAACTAATAGTTATTAGATCAGAAAGTCATTTTTCTTCTTGTTCCAATTTTCTGCAACAAAGTAAGTGACTTTCTGAGATAATAAGTATTAATAGAGTGAACATATGAGAAATCAACTCTTGGAATTTTATGTTGCCGGAATCCAAATTCCAGTTCTTAACATGTCTCTTCTGTACATTCTTTTATCTGAAATCTAAACATGACATGAAAAAAATTAGAAAACTTCAGATGTAAATTACCTTGGGTGGCTTGTGGAGCAGGTATAACATGGACTTCCAGGTAACGAGGAAAGCATTCTCATTATAGCTGACTGAATTCTTTTCACCGTCAGCTTTTCCAATCTGTGCATCATATCCAGCCTCATTGAAATAAGGCTTTTCGTTGAGCACAAGAGCTTGAAGAGAGAGGAGAACTTGTAGAATCGTGGAACTTTTGGGGTTCCACACTTCATTTCCAGAGCCTGTCCATGTGTTTAAGAGGCTAAGGCAAACCTTACCTGACTCATACAGGTTTGGATTGACACGAAGCCCGCCAGAGTGATAGTAGACCATCTGCACAATTTCATTTTTGCAAAATCTAAATAAGCTCTATCTGGAAAGTGTATGCCTGACCTTATAAAACACGAAACAGATGGATTTTACAATTGGATGGTGGAGTTGGATAATTGGATGCCTAACAATGCGTGAGATCTAATGAATACATATGATATGAGTTCAGATTCCAAATGAAGGGCAAGGCTCATGTCTATCAATCAGAACATTGTGGAAATAGGCAACTACTTGTGCATCATGTTACAGATAAACACCACAAGCTATAGAGATTTACTTACAGGTGGCTCATGCGGATAGTCCGGAGGTAGGTAAATATCAAAGAAGAAGACTCCATCATGATACGGAGTCGCAGGTGCACCAATAATGGCAGCTCGAATCAAATCGGTTCTTTCCTCATAGATGCGTACATAGATAGTCTCTGTTTTAAGTTTTAATAAAGTCAGTGGGGATAAATAGCCAAAGAAATGCACTGTAAACCATATATTCAATGATAAAGTGGTTTCTTGTTGATACAATCAGATATTATGCAGCTTTATCCCAAAAAAGAAAAAAGATTTAGCACAGTCGAGTTGTGGTATATTTAGGGTCTATATCTCAGCCCCTCCCCCAAATGTTTTCCTAATTGAGCAATAATTTGTTTGTTTTTTCCAAACTTAAAGTTGGAATTTTTCAGTTGGATCAGTTCATACCACTTATCATCACTCGGAACTTTCTCCCTTCCTGGGTGAAAGTCATTAACTTTTAACAGCTATCAACCAACATTGAATTAAGGAGAAGGGAACTTTCGTTTTTGAGAAGGAGAAGGGAGCTTTCTTAAGAAATTGATATGTGGTGGAGGGGTCGTTACAAACAGCAAAAACTAAACAATTGGCACATAATATCAGAAACATCAAATAAAAAACTAATTTGTTGGCTGTTCTTCTTGCAAAGATCTGATGGAATAACCCACACAATGAATTTTGAATAAAAGATCAATCATTTTGCTCTGATGCACAGATAAAACACAAAACTTGTGGACTGCCCTACCAAAGGAATTACCATTTGCCTTCAGTACATGAAATCCAGAACAACTGACATTTATCATATTCCATAAGCTACTGATGAACAATATTTCAGGTATTAAAATTCTAGTCGCACATCTTGCAAATTCTCATTGAATGACAGGCTTATAGCTTTTCAAAAATTTCCCTTGTTTTCATACATTTGAGTAGCTTCACAATTCCCAATGTTATGACATTCTATTCCCCATTCAACCATCTTTTAGATTAACAAGTATGACTTATACTTGTCAAAAACATCAGTAGATATAGAAAACTATAGCAGAATGTAGATATCACATCATTAGAAATACTTGAGCAGAAACATAGGTTGAAATTCTCACCAGGAAGATCACGTTCCAAAATGCTCCACTCTTGCTGGAGCTTCTTCAGCCAACCTCTTCTCACCTGTGAAGTAATAGAAAGATTAAAGAACGGAAAAGAGAGTCGTAAAAAGAACACTGAGCAGACATGTTCATTTGGGAAAAACAAAAAGTATTTTGAACCTGGGACAACTGGGCCTTTCCAGCACCATCTGCAAAATGGTGGTCTGAGAAATCGGTGACCACATCAAACTGTCTAAAATGTTCAGGCAGCTTGCTGGAAGATGGCAAAGCATCATCTTTTTGGCCCTCAGTTGTTTCCTGTCCTTGCTCTAGTTCCATTTCAGGTGAAGCCTTCAAGTCCTCAAATGTGGGAATTCCTGCATTCAGATGGCTAAGTTCTATGACTTCCTCCTCATCGACAATCCTTGATTTCTGGCCTTCTTCTGATATAGTTTGGTATGCACCAAACAGTGAAGTGCTCAAGGAGCCAAAAAGACTTGAGGTGATACTAGAGAAAAAGCCAATAGCAGTTCGAGAAACCAAACAGGAACCAGAATCCCACAAGCTCTCATTGCAACTTTCACTATTGCCACCAAACTTCAGCATGCCCTGAATATAAAAAAAATATGAACTCTGTCAAACTTTCACACAAGAAGTTGAAGAAAATAAGGATACCTAATATCTAGTGAAAATCTATGCAATATAAGCTGCCTTTTAGTGTAGATGCTAAATGATCTTGCAATCACAGCGAAGTCACAACACACAGGGAGGCAATTAGACTGACCTTTTCCTCCTCATGCTTTGAGAGTTGACTTTCATTTGAACAGATCTCCACACCTGATGGCTCAGCATTTTCAGCATTGGATGCAGTAATGGAAACAGCAGCTTCACATTTATCTATCCGGTAGATCTCAAAGGGTGCAACCTGATGAGCATATATTAATAAAGACAAGATTTGAGCCAGCTCAAGGCATAAACAAAAGATTAGGAAGAAGTTTCTCAAAATATTTTAGCCCTTGATACATTATTTGTTACTTTCAACATTTACCATGTGAACAATACTCCTTAAAAAATAAACCCTTTTGGTTACAAATTTCAAGCTCTTTCGTCTTATCAACTTTAAGCCAAAATATGTCGAATTTCAAAAATAATGTAAAAAGACAATAATCAAATGATTGTAGGAAAGTGTGAGTGCTAATGTCAATTAACAGAAAGTATCCTTTTGAATTTCCAAACAGGTTAAAAGTCATGCTCACTTTCAGCTTTGGGAAACAAAGTGACAGAAAAATATATAGGATTTAACCCCTGAAAAATAAAAGAACAGAAAGAAGAGTTCCCTTACCATGCTTGTAAAACCAGTAGCCCATTTTACTTCAATATCGCCATCTTTGAAGCCAACAATAATACCAATGCAAGATAAATGATCATATTTGGGGAAATCCAAATTATCCTTTCCAGTATCAACATTCTTAAGATCAGTGTTGCTGTCCATGCCAGTCTCAGAGAACATGTGCGCACTTAAACTCTTTCCCTCAAGACTGAAAACCTGATCCTCACAAAACTTGCAAACCGCATCACCCAAACAGTATGAGTAGTCTGGATGATCCATCAGTTCATATGCACTCACAATTTCTTCACTTTGCTCAACCCTAAAGTTATTTGGTTCATTCAAGGAATAAGTTGTCCATTTTACCTTCACAGTTCGCTCCTTTGCGTCAACGCATCTCACCACACCCCAGCGTTTTGGACTGGGAACAGATGAGTTGTCACCCATTCCCTTCTCAAGCACGAACTGCTCAGGCCAAAACTCATGAGCGTCCACAATATTGACAGGGAAAACAGAATCCGAGTCCAATCCAGTAGTCACACTTCCATCCTGCCATAAAACATCAACTTTTGTCCTTGTTTTTGAAATTACAGCAACTTGCAAAAAAGTTGAGCTCCTATTTCTTTTCTGAGATGCCTTGTTTAGTTGCCTATCCTGTTCCATTGGTCCACAGGGAGGTGAGCTTTGAATACTCTTTCGCACAATGTTCTTAGAGTCAGCAACTGGAAGTACACAGCAATCTCCAAGTTGCCACTTTGCATGGGAGTAGCAAGACAACAAGGTCAATTTTTCTGAGTCCTGCAAAGTTGGAGGACTAGGCATCTTTTCACAACCAAGACTGCCACAGCCAATCCAATCTACATGCACCACTCCAGCCTCCACAGCATAAATGGTACCTTGCTCTCTTTTGCCACTTCTTACACCACATAACCAATTGGTTGACCCGGAGGCAGATACAGACTGAACTTGCACCCTTTGACCCGGATAGAAAGGATATTGGGGGTCTTCAACTAAATCAGGGGAAATGGGTGTGAGTATTTCTGAACCTTCTGCTGAAAATTCAGACTTTGCACCATCATCAAAGAGAACTTTAATTTTATCGACAATCTTTTCAACTTTCCCTAGCCATGGGCCCATCACTACATAATCCCCAACTGAAATTGGACGTATTTTCACAAGATCTTTTGAGTTAACATCTTGTATTTTGCTCCCATAAATACTTTCCAGGTCAACAATCATCTCGACGTTGACCACTTTTCCCATCTGTCCAGATGGTTCTTTTTCGGAACATACTATGTCCCCATACATGAACACCCTCTCAAAAGAGAGGAAATCATCGATCTTACCGATGCTTTCCTCAAGACTTGAAAGAATAGAACATGCATGCCCACCATACAGATATTCAACATAATCCTGATCATCATAACTGCTGCTCTCACTGAAACTGTCGAAGTCACTTAGAGATGTATCCATAATGTGGAATCTAGAGAAATATATTCTGCAATTTGAGAAATACCAATTGATAAGTCAAGAAATGAGGGTTAAAAAACCATAGTATTGGAACAAAAGTTGCAGTCAGTGATTCTTGGTGCTTAAGTAGTTCAAATAGTTTGTATAGATACAAACAACTGACTGAAAATTTGACTTGAAAGATTAACACACACTTTTAACAGTTAACATTACATTATATGCTTCATAATTATTCAGTGGCTCATATAAAGTACTGCACTATACTTGTTCAGAACCAAGAACAATTGATTTGGATGACTTGAATAAGAAAAAATGGCAATCATGATCAGCTTAACTAAGTTGAACTAAGCCAATCTCTATTGGTTTTAGACAATATAACTGAAGATAAATTACATGGACAAATAAATGATGAGTAAAGACATACCACGAAAGTCACTTCCAAATCCCTGCTGCGTGATACAAGCTTACAAATTGATATGGATCACCTGCTGATGACGAATACCAATACTGCCAACGATGACTGATGTATATTTCCAAAGATAATAAGATCTTTAGGTCAATCTGTTTTTTAAACAGAGACCAAGATAGTATCTCCAAAAGGAGATAATGCCAAAGGAGATTTGCCCTAAAGACAAACGGTGGTGGAGTCTAACAACTCCGAAATGCCAAAGGAGATTTGCCCAGAGAAATGAAATCCACTAGAAGGGTTGTGTGGAGAAGAAAGTTCCAATTAATTGTGGTCCTAGTAGAAGTGCCACTTCAGCTCTTCCTAACAGGTTGAAGAGGAAGTCCAACTTGCCAGAAATATGGATCAATTTTTTACCAACGAAGGAAGATGACACCTAGAATATAAACACGGCAAAGAACCACCAAACCACGGAACTTACAATTTGCCAAAGGAGATTTGCCCAGCAGAGCCAATAGAGAGACGCATATGTAAATATACGCTTTGCTTAAAAGAATTTGCTCCTCTCAAAGGCCAGGGGAATTTTGCCAAAAAAAAGATTTGCCCCAAAAGAGATGTCTTGGACAGTTGAATCAACAAGAAATAGACAGATGTGTTGGCTAAAGTGCTTAAAATGCGAAAGATATATCCTTTCTTGAGTAATGTTCAGCAAAGGAAGCTTCTTAGAAAGTGTTGGTTGATCTGACGGACAGAACTATCAGGAAATCCTTGCAAGAAATGTTGTAGCTTGACCGTGAAACCCAACTTTCTTCCGAGTCAAATCAAACTGAGCTGTTTCAAAATATTCATGAAACCTGAGAGCAGAATAGATATTAATTTCAACACAATGTTATTTGATATGTAAAGCAGCAAAGGACCAGTTCTGCAGTTTTCGGCCAACAGATACATAGTATGCATTGCAATAGAGACACAGCAAGAAATTCTAAGATGATAAAGGACCACTTTCTAAGTGAAACTTGCTACTCAAAGATTAATTGAGTGATGGCTGAACTTGTATGTACATTTATTCATTTAAGATGTTGTTTGAACCTACAATAAGATCAATTAAAGCTCTATAGTTAATTGCTTCAGCGTGCTTTTGTCTGACCACAATTTTTTTTTTATCTATAGCTAATTCTAAAACCCAAATCCATGACCCTTCAACACCTCAAAATGAATTGAAGACCATATAAGGATCACAGCTCTCCAGCTAACAACACTAGTAAAATCAACCACTTCAATGAGCAGGACAGAAATACCTCCAAACGTCATGGTACTGGGAAAATAATCATCTCATGTTTGTACTCCCAATGATCAAAATATGTTGCACAACTATTAAATAAGAATAGACCTATAATTTTTCCCTTCAATAAAGGCCTCAAAGTGATGAGTTCCAAATTGAAATTTGTTGAGAAGTTTAGGTCTTTGAATTATTACATCAATGACATTAAAATATATCTTTATACTGGGATTTATTTTTCTATCTGTGTGAACACTTAGTTTGAGACTTCCAAGGAGAAGAGATTCATACAGGGTGTTTCTATCCTGGTAAACAGAAAGAGTTCAAGAAAGAGAAGATATTGTAGTTTTTCTTTATAAATGGGATCTCTTAAGATCTAAGATCTTAATAGTGGAATAAGACTCCAAGGCTTTTTCAATCATCAGTCACTGTATTATCTGTGTTTTTTGTCCAGAGTCCACCTCTTTGACATTGAGTATCTACTCTAAGTGAGAGCAATGAGTTTCTTGTTCAGCTTTAACTCTGCTTTTTTCACAATTTAATCCAATTTATTAGCCTAACTTTTATTCACATCATACCACACCCTTATCCTTTCCCAGTTCATTCGTAAAACTTGATTATTTCTGTGTGCCCAAATAATATTAAGTTTCTGATTATCGATGATCTTGCTTCCTTGGGATCAGGTGTTAAGCTTTCAAATGCATTAATACATGAGAAATGTCTAAAACTCTATTATCTTCTGATTCCAGTTCTCACTTCAGAAGTAGGATGAGCCACACGCTAGTAAACAATATTTACTCCTAGATATAAAGTATATGGTGCATCTAGTTTCAACAGAGATTTTTCACTGGTTTGACAATAGCTTGTACTGCACATATCCTTGAAGACCTTAACCTGAAGACCCTCTATGATTTTTCTTATTTATCCTCTCTGACGATATAAACAACATTCTAGATGTAATTCCCTGAACCCCCATGTGTTCAGAATCAAAGTTAACGGCTACACTCAACAGTCAACATCTATCATGTGACTCCTTTTCCATTTAATTAATGGATGCACATCCCAAAGCATATCAAAAGTCAAACCTAATCTTATCCTTGCATGTCCGTAAGCACAAACTAGAATCATCCTCTATCTAAGGAGGAAAAAAGAAGCACAAAACTAGTAAATAAAATTCTCTCAACAACTTATCAAAAAAATCTCCCAACTAATACAGTAATATGGAATAACTAATAAGAGACATGTGCAATTACATTCCTTTTTCCTCCCATTTGATAGTGGTGGTGTATGGGCTAGCTTACTGCACCTTGACTAAATGTGTTATTATTATTCTTAATCAATCTTGAGGCAGTTAGTAAAACTTTACCAAATCACGAAACAATATTTTCCCTTTCGATATCAATTTTCCTTTCCTGATAGTGATGGTCATATAGACACCAGGCACAGTGGATAAAGCAAATTGCATCTCAGAATTTCATATCGAGTTCTACTCTTTTCACTGTCCTAAACTTTCAATGAAAACAAACTTTTTCATCTCTGAATCAGAACCCCAAAAAAAGAAAAACTTTTGAATTGAATGAAGCTGCTAGTATCCATAAAAGTTCAATAAAATTCAAACATAAAACACACCTTCACACAAAGAACACAAATAAGAAGGAAAATTCCATCCTTTTGTTCATTGCATATCACACACATAAAGAGAAGTTTCAGAAACATTTTCATCAAGGTGAACAAATATAGATGTTAGATAATTCAAACAACAAAACAGCCAATAAAGGAGAGAAAAAAAGGCAAGACAGTCTTAGGAGAAAAGGGAAACAAGATTATATAAGTAGCAAGAAGTTGAGAAAGTTACCATCTTTTTTCCCTCTTATGCTCATATCAACCAAATACACCTCTAAATGAGTAAATTGAAGCAACCCCAGAAGAGAGCCTTTGACAAACCACACTAAGCCCACTCCAACCAATCTTTTTCTCTTGCAAACTTCTTTACTTTCCAGAGAAAAATCCTTTCTTTTTCCTTCCAAACAAAAACAGTGATGACCCTCAACCAAAAAAATCCAAGAAAAAGAAGGATTAAGGGAATTCAGAGAGGCAAATGACCTCCCTAAATTCCCATAATCCACTCATATTCAAATCTTACAAACATGACAGCATTAAAGTTGCAAAATCACCAACCCCTTTTTCTCTAATCAACTCTCTTCCACTATGTGTGTGTTGAGTGTGAATAAAAATGAATTCTTGAATGTTAAATGGAGATTTCTGTGTAGTGTTATTACTGTTTTTCAGAGTCAAATAGGTTGAGGGGTATTAAAACCCCATATATACTTTTTATTAAGAAGAATATACCATAGTATCTACTCCTTCTTTCTGTTGTATGTATTTTCTGCCGTACAAGCTAACAGTCAGCATCTCATATTTACAAAACTACCCTCTGTGCCTGTAATAATCAATTGTCACATTGATCCCAACTTGGATTCTATTAATTAAATTAAATAATTTATCACTTTTGTTCTTTTGAAAAAGATAGTGCTGTTTTAATATATTTTAATTTTTATATGTGATGATTCTATAATTTCTAGTTTATGGTAGGTGTGAAAGACTCAAAAGAATGATGTATCACAAATAATCTATCTTAATATAAGCATGACTTTCACAGTTTAAATTCCTAACTTACGGGTCATACATAATTCATTTTTGGTAAAGAGATTCTATCTAAAACAACATGAAAACTTGTCACAGATGCATGATTGTCTGTTTCTCTATATCCATGATCTTCATATTTGACACTGTCATTATTGAAAATGAGTGTAGTGAAAAGGACCAAAATTTTAAGGTTTGACTATTTTCTATATATATAATTACTCTCTTTGGACTTTGTTTCAATTCATAATATTTGAAGAAATTTGTTTTAAAACAAATGTCATTTTCTTATAATTAAAAATAGAATTTTTTTTTATTTTTTTAATAAAATAATCAATTCAAATTGTATCAGATAAATTGAGATGGATAGGAATTATTATTCAACTTATTATACTCCACATCCACTAACATCTTGTACTATCTAAGTTCTAATAACATCTTGTACTATCTCTTAAAATAGATATCAAGTGGGATTTGCTTTGGTGACACAGTTAAAAATCTTTCTTTATTTGTAAAGGCTTGACAAATGGCATTACAAGAAGGGGTTTTCGTGATTAATAAAGTACTATATAATAATATAATTCTTTATAGACATTTCACAAAAGTCGCCATTAAAGTAAGCATACACATTTTGAAAAGGAAAAAAAAAAGTAACACGACACACTCAATATTTACGAATATTCCATCATAGCTTAAGTAATAATCTAAATTTAATTCCCAATATTCCAAAATAATCTAATAAAATTAGGTTTGCACCTTCGAAGTTTGCTCTAGTCGCCTGAAGCCTTGTGAATTGATTGTGAGAGATTTAGGTTTTCATAGGCAAAGATCTGACAAATGGCAAGTAATCTCTCTCCATTTGAAAGTTTTTGGAAATGGGATAGCTATATATCTTTCAACTATCTAATTTATTAAAAATAATTAAAAGATATCCGCTCAAAATATATCATATAATAATTGCACCACCCCCCTCCCCCCAAAAAAAAAAAACATATAGTACTAATATATGTTAACCCATGCAGACTCTTTAATTTTGATTTCGCAATTCGTGTTGAATTCTCTAAAAATATATTATTTTAAAAAAAATTGACATACACCTATTAATATTTTTAAGGAGTTTGAGCAACATATATAGATGCTAACACAACGAGCAAATTAAAGGATGTTGAATAAAAAACTTTAATTTTTTTCTGACGAACACACAAGCCAATGGAAATGTGGGCTTTTTATATCGGATGTGATGACATGCTAATGTTATGTCAATTAAATTTAATACGATACTTATTTTAGTAGTATGTTTATTTATTTTTTAAAAAAGAAGATAAATGATGCATCAAATAGAGCTTACGTAAACATTCATTTGTCATATACATAAATTATATAGATTGTGGCTCAAATATTCTATAATGACAAGGAAGAAATCCAAAAAGCAAATAATATAGTGCATAGGTGAATGTTCTTTATGTATGACCGTTAGATTCAATTAATTAATATAAGAAAAAAAATTCAATGCATTGAAAAATGAGAAAACGAGATTTCTTGATCACTTTCTAGTTACAAATTGAATAAGAAAAATGTCATATTCAAATCTTTTAAGTATAAAATAATTTTTTTTTATAAATAACCTATAAAATCAATTCTCCTGATGGCCAAGAAATATAGCCATCCATTCAACACTACTAAGAGACGATATTACTCAAAAAAAAAAAACAATCACTTTTTGCCTAGTCATAATTTTATTTTTTAAGTTAATAACACACTTTTCTTGAACAAGTTTGGTGATGATGATTCAGTGTTGGATTGCAACATTTTCCACCACATATATAATCAACCAAACAAGAGTTGTCTTTATATATTATGTAACAAGTTAAAAAACATCCTAGGTTTTTTAATTCTCTCAGTCTTCTAACTATATATATACATACATATGTCAAATTGTCAATGTTATAAGAATCTTCCAAGAATATTCTTTTAGAAATCACTTTTGTTTCATAATGTTAGAAGCACATGCATCCTAATTTGTCTTGCTTAATAAGTTTATTCCTTCTCTATCTATCATGCAAAAAAAAGGAAATGCATTATCTACTATCACTAGCTTATTATTCACTCATATTATAACTAGGGGTGATTTAATTTACAAGAAATGACCTCATAAGAGTGGTCTTGAATTCTTGGTCCACCTAAAAAAATACCTTGTACACATTAGTTTTGCATATGAGATAGTAATTTGTGATATTTTAATAAGTCAAGACAATAAATCTGTTCAATTAACATCAAAATTTGTCTCATATTTAAACAAACAGTGTGTGTTGCTCCGTTATTTATTAAGTCAATACAACTTATTTTTTTGTCCAAACAATATATATACTAACAATCTATATGAATTATTCTATATACGACAATAACAACATATTCAGTGAAATCTCATTAAGTGAGATCTAAAGAGAGTAGAGTGTACGCAGACCTTAATTACCATTACATCGAGGAAAATAGAGAGACTGAAAGGGAAAGATCATCAGCTCAAGTGCATATGTATTATTCTATGGAGAGAAATATACATAAATTAAAGGCCAACTTAATTAACTTTTACAAGTCTCATGTGCTTACTCGACTATTTCCAAGTTATACGAAATGGTTTGGAAGGTGTTGTTAGATGATTTAATTTTTAAGTGATTTACTTATTTAGAAATATATATGTTGAAGTAAAGATGGATTTATTCTTTTTAAAGGTGCAAAGTTGGAATTAGATCCAAAGATAACAGTATTATGCACTAATCTTTATTGGAAAGACATTTTAACAAAGTGGAAGTTTTTTGGGGTTTGAAAATGACATTTTCCTAACTTTCAATCTATTTCCACTTCAGTAAGTCTAGCCAACTCTTTATTTTTTAATTTAAAAAAAACAACTCTTTATTTATTTTTGGTGGGTTTCAAATTCAATGGTCTTAGCACTTTACATGATTGTGTTTTTTCCCTTGAATTAATCCTCTCTTCTTCTTTTTTTAATGTGTGTGTATTTGCATTTGGTTTTATACTTAGTTCTTATGCACATGCAGGGACCACGAATCACTAATCACCAATAAGATCTAATTACAGGCATAATTAAACACCTTTTTTTTTTTTTATTATTAGAGATACATTTACAACATGGAAGTAAGTATATACTTTTTACGATTTAATTTTTTTGTCTGATTTTGATTTGTTATGGAGCTTAAGAAAGTAAAAAATAAATAATGAATCATGTGATATTAAATTAAAGATATGTAGAATGTACCTAAAATTCTTTGATCTTATGCTCTTAAATATGTCATGTGAAACATTAAAATTAAAGATTTTTTAAAAATGGAGAGACATATTTTTTTAAATGATTAAAATAAAAATTAGACAAATAAATTGAAACAGACGAAGTAGTAAAGACAATGTTGGGTTTTAAAGGTGTGAACATGAAATGAAGGAAGGGTTGTGACTTTGACGAATGAATGTGACCTTTATGAAAGGTTGTGTCTTTTCTAAAGGATTGTGACCGTTTGAAAGGTTGTGCATTTTCCAAAGGACTGTGACATTTCTGAAATGGTCTTTTTTTCAAAGAGATGTGACTTTTACCCTTTGTTGGCTATAAATAGAGAGACTTCCTCTCATTTTTCTGCATCGAATTCTTCCCTTCTCATGCATACATTTCTTACAAAACAAAATTGATCGATCGTGTATGTGTGTGTGATTCGTTGAAATTATTGAAGTTTGAGGTACCGCCACTTCTTTAATGGTTAATCCATTTTATCTTGGGAGGAATTAATCTACAACCTCGAGTACTTGAGGGGATTAAATTTTTTAAGGACACACAGTGGGTTCTGTGGACTCAGATTGTTCTTTATTTTTTCTTTTCATCTTTTATTATTTTTTGGTTTGCTAATCTGAATACATGAGATAACAGACAATATACTCTGTGGTGTAGATGGATATCCTTGGTCGAAAAATTATATTATGTATATAGAAAATTGTATGAAGTATCAAGGTCAAAAAATATTTTCAATATGTATATATTAAATCTTGGACATCCTTAATGAAATTTATGACGGAATAGACTATTGCACGTTTATATTAGGCGGTGTATGCGCTTTGAACTAATCAAACACTTTCTTGTATTTAAGAATGTATGTCATCCAAATCAAGAAATGTGGTGTGTCTATAATAAGTGAAAGTGGTCACAAATTTCGTAGTAATAACAGTTTTTTTTAATCCATCAGATTAAGTTGAATTATAATGGCAGATAATCTAATCACCAAAAAGCAAAAAAGATACATTCAACAATCAACGGCAAATCAAACCAAACTCCAAAAGTAATTGATTTTGTGTACACAAATAAACAAGACTATTACTTGTTTGGCTAGAACCTACTTTTTTCTAACCTATTGCTTTTGAACGTGAGACCTCATTGATCACTACGTCACAGGCTACAACCATTAATTTAACGTTAGTTAGAGGTTAATGGAAGGAGGAAAAGATGGTGGACCATGAACACTTCGATCATATTAACATTATTATTTGTGGGAAGTCATGTTGTAGAATTTAAAAAGAAAAAAAAAATCATTTTTTAATTCAGAAAAAAGAAGCACAAAGTGCTCATGCCATG